CACAGTCGGCAACCTGGGCAACCTCTACAGGGACCAGGGAAAGCTTGACAAGGCCGAGGAGATGTACGAGCGATCGCTAGAGGGGTACAAGAATGCAGTTGGACCTAAAAGGATCACTACCTATGTGCCAGCTCTCAACACTCTGTGGGCCCTCGGTTCGCTATGTGACAGCCTAGGCCGCGTGGACGAGGCCAGAGCGTGGTACTTGAAAGCACTCTCAGGCTACGAGAAGGTGTTTGGGGAAGGCCATCCCAAGTTCCAGCCATTGCGCGACAATCTTGTCGCTCTAGAAGGGCCAAACAAAGACAGCAACGCCCCAGTCCAGACAGCTCCAGTGCAGGAGCATTTGTATCGCCAAGATATTGCGGTCCCTAATCAGCGACAGCCCAGGCTGTGCAATGTAGGACTTAGGTACGCTGGGTCCAACTACTGGGAGTGGGCCAAGAGATCCCCTTCCCCAGATCACGACGCTTCGGACAAATTAGATTAGATCGTCTAAGTTACGCAAAGAAAATGCTAGAGCTTTAACTTTAGTAAACCGGTCTACTGAAAAACTGCGATCACTAGCAAGAGCTCAGGCGCTTGCACAAAGATAGACGCTTTACGCGCAGTTGATAAGCTATATAAGACAGCAGAGTGTTGTTGTGCCGTGATTGATCTCTGCGCTAGTATCTCTCAACTACAAGCCACGCTCGTGCGACAGGGCATGAGTACAACCACAACACAATCCTGATTGCTCTACATACACCTCGTCTGCAATATGCAATCAAGTCAAGCTGGTAGCCTTGCATGAACCTTCACACAGCACCCAACACAGCGGTGCTGTTAGCTTGCGCGGACTGCAGCAGGGCTTGTACAATTAGGTAGAACACTTGCGTGTTTCAATGACCACGCGAGCTTGTCAGTGGTCTGCTGTTAAGAAAGGTTGGTTTTACGACAAAACAAGGCGCGACGCAGGATAGGCATGGAAGGTGTCAGCGCGACTGTATTTTTCAGGTCTGAAGATATCAGCGCGATTTGGCAGTACCTGCAGCACACAACGTATACGGTACTGCAGCAGATGCTGAGAGTTGCGCAGCGCTTGAGCTGTGTGAAGCCAAAGTACCCCCCGTATGTCTCGTCGCGGCGGCCTTCTCGGCACTCAGGGTGGGACGTTACCGATGAATAGGAAGGGAGAGATTGGCCGTAAAGACACCGAAGTATGTGGTGCTGAATGAAAGCATTATGCGGCGCTGTCGTGAGCACTGAACCTTTCAATGCTCTCCGCAGTATACTCTGTAATTTGGTTGTCCCAGTCCGAAGCGGTAAACTGGGTGGTCGCGTTCGACAGTAGATTTCTTTGTTCTCACCCCGGCCCGAAGCGGGCAAGACAAGATCTGTCGAGTACTCAGACATTCCTGCATTCCTGCAGCCAGTCATGCAAGGAAACAATGCCGCACCTTGCACAACTCATCACAAATCTGCTCGTCTCGGAAGCTGCATGACAGTGGTGTGGCTGAGATGTCATCCCTTCCTCGTGGGGCAATTGGCTGGGTAGTAAGTGCTGCGTTGCTCGAGTCGCTAGTAGCCAGGTGGGAATTTCAGTTTAAAACTCGGTGTATCCTTTCCTGGAGCCTTCTTGTCATTGTCAGAGCCTTGCGCTGAGCCTCCGACATTGACAGTGTGGTTTCCGCGTAGTAGGCTTGCGGCTGCCCTTCCGATTAGCTGGTGAGCTGGCCCGCTGAGATGTACATCGTCCCTGTGTCACCATTAGATTGGACAAAGCGTTTGTACGCGCTAATGACTTACCAAAACAGATGCTTGGATGCATCGGAACACTTCTCGACCCCCGCTTCTTGCAGTACGCTTGCGCTATCATCCGCCTTTGACTTCAAGCATGGCTCTTCTACGTAGTCGAAGAGAGGCGCTTGTTTACCCATGCCTGATGCATCAGATATTTGTTTGGAGTACAACTGTTTAGCTCGGACTTGGTCCAGAATCAAGTTGTTGGGGTTTGGCATAAAGATCTCGCCATGCTTCCACTGCGATGCTGTTCGAGACAAGACCGTGTTCCAATATGTCCACAGAAACACCAGATGGTGTTGGTCTTCCGCGAAGTGTTCTTTGTCAATGTCTTTCCTTGACTGGAAGCGTGGCAGAAACGTAACATCCACCAGTTTGGGAGCCACGATCTTCATTGGCGCCACAACATGTTTCGCCAGCAAGTCAAGGTTCTCAAACAGCCCTTCAATACTGTTGTCGATCGCCTTCAGTGCATACTCTTTCTCCAGAGTGGAATATTCCAACAAGTCCCAGAGTCCAAACGATACGGTAAAGATGGTCCATTCGTCGATCTTGCGCAAACGTTCCGGAACGCCGACGCGGTGCTTTTTCTTTTCATATTCCAGAAACTGTTGCACCTGTGTCTTGAAGTCAAACATAGCCTGGGTGTTGTTGTTGTTGTCTGTCACAGGGACGGCCTGGGCGCGGATATCTGAGTCAATGAGAGACCCAATGGTCTCAACATCGTTCTGTGGCGGCATTGAGCGAGCGAAGTTGTCGATGAAGTTGCAAGCGAGCTACATGGTGTTAGCAAATGCAGCTCATGGATTTGATGTGGACTCACTTCTCTACACAGCGTCTCTGTCCATACTTCGCCACGATCAGGATCTCGGGTAATAGCCTTGGCCTTTAATGGTGGAGAAACTCGATATTTGCCTGTGTCAGACCAGTCGTCGCCAAAGACAACGACCCTGTGCGCTGTGCCTTCCCATGCTTCATGTATGTTGTGCCCAAGGTGATCGTGTTGTAGCCATGCGAGGTACACGACAATCAGTATGGCGGCTGCAGCACCAACATGCAGGAGTCTCGGTAAGAACCTCATGCTTATCCGGAAAGGCGCAGGAAAGAATGATGCGGAAGCGTATGGGAAGAACGGAAGACAACAAATCGCTCAAGACAACAACAGACGAATGCGCAGACAGCACTCAGCAAGGCCAAACGGGGTCCAAGACATGTTTGTTCACATATCGCACGTCGAACCCAGTCCAACCTGGGTTAAGGCGATAGAAGCATGACGACGCCTTGCAAAACAAGCACCGCATCACCCTGCAAGTCGGTTCTCTGACTCCGGGGTACCAGGGTCGCATACAAGCTAATACGCCCAGAAGTGGGAACATGTCGCGTGTGCTTCATTGCGCGGCAACGCAATCCCAATTGTAGCATTTGATGCCTGTCGTTGCGAGGGCCTTCGGAGTGTTCGGCAGAGGAGCGGGTCAGTCTTCGTCAAAGCCGTGGGGCTGTCCCGCTCAGTCTGCCCTTCTCAGACGGCAACCTGTTACAGTTGACACTGATGTTGGCACGAAGTTATGATCAAGCTTTCTTGAGCTGTTGGACAAGGCGCGGCAGGTGAGGACGTGGCCCGCAACAGCCGGACGATGTCGCAGAGATGATCTAGCTAGGTTGGGCATGGCGCCACGTGAGAGCTTACGTAGATCCATGCCCCGTGCAGATGGAAGGTGGATAAGGTCAAAATACCGTGACTTTGTTTATTTATTAACTTAATAGACTACGATTAACTGCTGCGCCTGCTGCGTATGTTGCGCATCGACCTCTACCGTACCTCGACTTCGATACTTGCGTCGAACCTCTACGTGGACGCCGCGCCTATGCATCAAACGACTACCGCCTACAACGCCGACCCTTCAACATCTCAAACATATCGACAACTTCTCTAGGTTTTGAGGATACTGGCTGCAACTAGGATCGCTGCGCTGGTCTTCTCAACCCACTCCTGCGCCAGGTCGGCATCATCGTCGAATGTGATGCTCTCAGTGATACCTGGGAAGGTAACTGGCGCATATCCGGTGTCGCGTCCAGGCGCAAAGATGGTGTGCTGGTAGAACTCCCTGGTAGGCAGACCACCCTGGGAAGTGAAGCCACGAGAGAAGTCGCGCGCCTTGTGGTTCTGAGCGGTGATCAGTGCAGTGTCGTTGTTTGCGACAGCTTGGTCACGGAGATCATTGAACTGCTGTGCCAAAGTCTCGAATGTTGAGATGGCATCTACAAGGGCCGAGAGATCGACTGTAGCATTGGCGGAGGCGATGGTGGTGTTGAGCGCGGTGAGGTAGGTGTTGAGCTCCTTGACATAGTCTGCAGGCTGGAGAGGGACCACAGGGTCGTTGACCATGTGGTAGAGAAGAAGGGTCAGGTACTGGCCTATGGCCTTATGAGTGTGAAATCCAGGGTCACCGAAGGTTGTCATCCAGTGGTAGGAGTCGTAGTTGGAGTGGTATGGGTAGACGGGATCATTTGGTCCGCCACCCGCGCTCATGTCGATTGCTGCGATGCCGCGGTGGAGGAAGGCTGTGTAATCACTGCCACTGCCAAGGACACCGACTGTGCCATCGATGGTTGACCAGACATCGTACATAGTCTGGTTGCTGCTGCCGCGGAAGGGGTAGACGATTTTCTTCATGAGGCTGGTGCTGATCGCATGGAGATCAGGCGTTGCCGAGATGTCAGGAATAGGGCCAGAGGCAGCGATATCGATGTTCAGGTAGGAGACTGCGGCATTCTTGAGCCACGGAATGTACTCCTCCACCCACTCAGTACTGCCAGAATATTAGCATGGCTGCCCTACGTTAAGATCTTATCTCCTCGTACCTTCCAACAAGCCCGTACTCTTCGGCATCCCAGCTGCAGAGCACGATGGTGCGAGCCGGCTTCCATCCAGTCTTTGCAAGCTCACCAAATGCCTTCGCAAGTTCGATGAGTACAGCAGATCCGGAGTTAGGGTCGGCAGCGCCTCCAATGATCCACGCGTCGCGGTGGTTGCCAACGATGACGACCTCATCCTCGAGTGTGCCATTGATGATACCGATAGCGTTCCAGATGGAGCCGTAGGTGTCGTTCATGACATTGCTCAAGTCAAGAGTAGCGCCCGAGCCAGCTCCGACGCTGTAATTGGCACCAGGAATGGCGCCGACCCAGCCAGTGCGGTTGATATTTGTACTTGATGGACCAAAGCCATTCAAAGCTTGTAGCAGTGGCTGTGCCGCGGCCCACGAAATTGGTAAAGAGGGGATTTGAGGAGTGATGATGCTACGGTCAGATCTGGGAGAGTTTTCCTTCGATACATATCCCGGAGTCGTAGGGTCGCCAGGGTAGGTGCTCACGTACTGGACGCTACCTCTTTGGACTGTGGTAGGATTCCTTGCCGGCCCGTCAGGGTATGCGAGCTGTCCCTTGGCCTCAGTCATATTACCATCATCACCTGGATCAGTGAAGATGACAATGCCAATCATGTCATAATCCTGAGCGTTCTTCACCTTCAGCCCACGGAAAGGGCCTCCATATTTGGCGAGAGCGATCTTGCCTTCAAGCTTAACACCGAGTGCTTGTAGGCGCTCGAAGTCGGCCTGCTGACCCCTTCCAACGTAAACGTATTCTGCAGACGCGTTTCCGGTGAAAGAGTAGCCGTGGAAGGTGGAGATGCTGTTCGGGTAGCTAGTGGTAGGGTCTTCTTCGAGCACTGCTTCCTCAAGGGTAGGAGTGTACGTGCTGCCGTTGGGGTAGGTCAAGACTAGTGAGTGCGAGACCGGGTAGTTGAGGAAGACATCTGAATAGTGTCAGTATACAGTCTTGATTGACAATACTTTCAGGGTGCGTGAATTCATGCCACTGCAAATTGAAAGAAGGGCAGGTGTGGGTGACAGGGTCCGAGAGCTTACAATATTCGTCCAACCTAGATGTGAAGCCGTACTCTGCCCACTTGTCGGCTGTCCATTGTGCCATTGACTCATTCCTTCCTGCGATGTGATCGCCATGGGTGTAGTAGTACGACCATGTGGAGATAGAGGTGTTGTCAAACGAATTGATCAGAATCTGCTCATTGGGGTCCAACACAGGTGGGAAGGTAGCATTGGCAGCCTGTCTCTTGATAAGACCGTGAGCATGGTGCTTGAACACACGCTCACGCTGGCACGCTTCAGCGCCAATGGTGGCGAGCAAGAAAAGTGATGTTCTCATGGTGTACTATCCAAGAAGCACCTCAGGATGGCGGGGCATACAAACCAGGGAGCGGGTTTTTGTCTCTTGTAGAATCGAACATGCGTCAACCGCAACCCTGGTACCAGACTTCTGACAACGTCAACCGCATCGTGCCGGTTCTGCCATGGTAGACCGATGAGCTGCCATGGCGGCATTTCCAAGCAAGAAGATGCAGAGCTTTTGCGTAACCGTGGAGTGGCTTGGGTAAGCATCAAGCTGTATAAGGAAGGTAGCATAGATACTGACGCGGGGCGAGCTTGATGGTTGCTTAGCGATCGACGATGACGGTGTCGTGCAATGGGGTACATGGGGAACAAGGAGCTCTTCGGTACGCTGATTGCAGTCAACGGCTTACTTCCGTGTTCTTTCTACAAGTGCCAGTAAGGTGGAAGCGAGTATGATCTTGGCTTCCAGCAACGTGATACTCGGAAAGTTTTTCCTTTACATCACGGCTCTGCACGCAGAATATAGCGGTAACGGCCAATGACCTTTCGATGCGGGGATATGATCGGCAATGGGTTTCAAGGATCCTGTTTGACTTTTTCTACCCACCACCAGGTCTCGTGCTCTTCCGTGAAGCTCAACCTTTATTTGGCAATGATGCTGTCGTCGTTGCCTTGTGATGAGGTGGAAGTGAAAGCAAGTTCAGCCGCAAATGTCAGGCACGGAGGGATGGACCGGCACCATGACAATTTGGGCTAGCATGTGGAGAAGGTGCCCACACCGTGCATGAGGCATTCGTCAAGCGCCTGGAGTGGTCGCAAGCTGGGCCGCTGCGTAACAAACAGCATCAAGCTGCAGATTGAGCGTCGTTGCTGAGGGAAGAAGCAGAGGGCGTCACCACAAAACACGGACATTGCAGAGATAGCACCAGCATCTGCAACACTTTGCGACATCACAGTCTCAGAAGCACTCCTTTGTAACTTCCTCGTTCACTCCTTTGTAACTTCCTCGTTCACTCCTTATACATGTTTGCGCCGTCGCTCCTTCCCACCCACGCTCGTTACCATGGCTGCCTTCTCGTCGCCGATGCGACTGGCACCTCCTATCACACCGCGCCGGGCCCCCTCACCCATGATGTCGCCCGGTACCCGCAGAGGCCGCATGCTCGGCAGCTCTGAGGAGAGTCATTTACGCGATCTGTCCCCCGAAACCACACTGCGCGCCTTCACCGAGGAGCCCATACCGTTCGATACGACACGTGACGAATACAAAATCTTCGCCTGCATCGACACCCTCACCGTCGCCGAGCGCGATCTGGGCACGCGTGTCGCCAAGGCTGCGCAGCGCTTAAAGAGCTGGTGCGCCGAAATCGAGCAGTGGGGATGGACTGGCAGCTTCGAGCAGCCCAGCGAGGAATACAAGGAAACGCGCCGTCGTAGCCTGGAGGCGCGCATTGCAGAGCATGTCGGCAATGCGGATGCACTAGCCCCGTTGGAGTACTATGGCTCGCTGCTTTCGGTCGAGGTGGAACAGCACGAGGCGCGCCTGGACGACATGGGCGAAGAACTGCTGAAGCTAGACGTGGATGAGCTGAAGGAGTACGTGCTGGACATGCACCCGCAGGGCAGGTCACGTCCCGGTTCAGCCGGCTTTGGCGCGAGTCGCTCCAGCTACCGACCCATGGACGACTTCTCCTTCCTCATCACCCAGACGCTCCTCTCCGCCCTTCCTCACCATGCTCAGCTCAAAGACCGCCTCAATACGTGGACCGCCCGTGTTTCGATCCTTCGTTCCGCACCTCGGTACCTTGACGATCTCAAGCAGTCGCAGAAGGCTATGAGCCTCGGCTGGGATGCGCTTGAGCCGCCAACAGACACGTCAGATGTTGCCTTTGGCCAGTGGAAGGAGGCTGTTGATACGATATCGAGCGTGCTGCGGGGCAAAGTCAGTGACTTGGGTCGACGTCTCGATAGGATGCTGGATACGCTAGAAGGCCGTGACGATTGCCTGCCAGAGCGCTGGATCGATGTGTTTGAAGCCTTGGAGGCTGACTATGGTCGATGGGTGCATGAGTCTACTAGAAGAGTGATTGCGTTCGATGTGCGCAGACAGTCGAAGCAGACGAAGCCAGGGGAGCCACAAATTGAGCAGAAGGAGGCTCTCAAGCCAGATATGCACTCCGGTACACCCACGACCCCGCGAGCGCCGCTGCTCCCAATCGATAAACGCGTACACCAATTGTCCACAGAGCCTCAGTTGCCTCGGCCCAAGACCCTCGAGGGCAGCTTGCGCTCGCCTGTCGCGGCCAGAGTGAATTCAGCCCATGTGCCAGAAGGCGTAACGATACCTACACCGAGCGCTCCGATGCTTGAGGACGCTCCTGAAGGGGTATCTCAAGTCGCTTCGCGCCCAACAAACCTACAGTCTGAGGATACTCCTGCGCAGCCAGAACCTAGCATCATTGTCAACGCCGTCAGCTCTGAAAATGCTGGCGATTCTGCACACCTGGTTACAAGCATACCTCCCCGCAAGATCAACTTCGAGACTGCATCACCTTCTACTGACGACGACTACGAGTTTGATGAAGGCGACACTGTGGTACACAACGAGGTGGAGGACGTCCCCAGGGACGCTGTTCGTGTCGTTGCCAGTTACGAGAGCCTTTCTCACATCCCAACCAGCGAGGATGGCAGCCCTACCAGCTTCGTGCATAAAATCGCCTCCAAGGCTTTTTCTCACTCTCCAGCACTCATCTCTACGGATGGTACTGACGGCGATGCACCCCAGACTCCACGTCCACGTCGGCTGAGCACCAGTTCGATCTCGTCCAGTGCTTCCTTCGATTCGAGCCCCGTGGGTACTGTTGAGGAATCGCCCACTACGCGCACGGCTGGCAACCGTAGCATCAGAGCTCCTCGACCTGAGCTCAACGCTGCCATGTCGAAGCGTCGACCGGCGAAAGATGCAGCTCTGCCCAGCGTCGAGAGCGCGCCATGGCCGCCAACACAGTTCAGCCACAAGAGACCGACCACCGCCGATGATCTTGAACGAAAGATCTCAGACATCTTGACAACGATTCCAGCTCACATTCGCCTTACCTCGGGGCCAGGAGCAGACGCACATGAAATCAGACCATCTCGCGGCATTGGCCACAAAGGTAGTAGGGGATATCTGCGTGCTGCTCGCTCAGCGAGTGGCCTGAAAACACCCCAGCTTACTTTGTCGCCCGTCAAGAGTGAGTTCGAGAGTGCTAACGCTGGTGCAGGACGCAAGTCTACAAATGCAAGGATCGATAATGACATCAAGCTATATCATCTTACGCAGCCTGGCAAGGAGCAACCCATCAAGCTGTTCATCCGCCGCGTTGGAGAAAATGGAGAGCGTGTCATGGTTCGAGTCGGGGGAGGTTGGTCTGACCTAGGTGAATACCTGCGCCAGTACGCTGAGCATCACGGTCGTCGCACAGCAAGTGAAGGCAAATTCGAAGTCCTCGGTCTCGAGGTGCAGAACTCAGACCCCGCATCCGCGAGACCTGGAAGTGCAATGAGCACAACGCGCCGCTTTAGTGGAGCTGGCCGTAAGACGCCAAACACAACGCCAGACGGCAAGCTCGCAGGTCTCGGCATCTCGACTGATTCTCCGCCACCTCCGATGCCCAGATTTGAAAGAGACTCTACACCAGCTATCGCCGAGGAGGCACCTACACCCCCTTCGAACAACTCTCAGAAGTCATGGCACGGTACCGAGGTGGGACTCGCAGGACCGAAGACGAGGAAGGTTGAACTTACTGGTGATAAGTTGGAATGGATTGAGGGCATGATAAAGCAGGCGCGCTCTGTCAGCAATAGCAATCTGAACAAAGCTATGAAGGAGGATGAGCGTGGGGAAGGCAGAAGTAAGAGCAGGAGTGAGAGTCGCTCAGCTAGCCGATCTACAAGCCGTGCTGCTGCGAAGAGGCCGGTGCAAGACTTTGTTGATTTGGGTAAGACGGGTAGCACGAGGAGGGTTTTCATGAGAGGTGGTGGTGGCTCGAGTGAGCGCTTGAATGAGCGCTGAGTATGTATGCGTTGGTGGAGCAGTCGCATTTCTGTGCATGTACTGCATGGTGGAGTACCTTTCGTATTGATACCCCGGATATAGATATGGTGCGATTGTATGTGTAAGATACCGAGGTTCGGATTAGGAGTTCAGATATAGGTATAGAGGGTTGCGCTCAAGCGTGCATTGTACATCGGATTTGGACATACTTTAGTGATGTTGTGTACCTGGCGTAGCCTCGTCACCTTCGGGGGGGGGGGGGGAGAGGAGGCAATGGATTATGTACAGTTGAAGGACGCTTTTACGCCTCGCGATCTGCCCAGGTATATGTCTTGAGCTAGACTGACGTACTGTGTGCACAGCCAGCCACGTCTGATCGCATTCCATCTAGCCCTCCACCAGCGCATCCAATCTTGAGCATACCACCGCTCGATGACTGACCGGTGAAGTCAATGTGGCATAGTGCCTCTGCAGCACCCCACCAGGATTTGAGCAATCGTGAACACCTCGCTTGAGTTATGCAATACAGGTAAAGGCGCGGAAATAGAAACCAAAACAGATAAAGTTGTAGGAGTTCATCTCAAGAGCTGAAAACAGATCCTTGTGGATACTATAAGCAAACGCTGAAAGTCCCGTAGCCGTAGAACCCAACACCAACCTTGCGCTCACTATGCGCTCCAAATTTAGCCTGCTGATGCTCGTTCCACTCGTCCATGCTTTCCCGCTACCAGCCCAAGCCCTCCATCCAAAAACGTCCAAGTCAACACACAAAGCGATGAATGGTCGAAAGAAGAAACGTTGGCTTTGATTGGTGTTTGTGTGGCAGTCATCGGCATACTCGTCGCTATCTGGCTAGCTTCATTCAACCGTTCAGGGTGGCTGTGCAATTCAGCCTTGTCAAAATGTCAGTCTCCCATGCGGCCAGCTTACTAACACACTCTCCGTACCGTCGGAACAGGCTGACTTGTGACACCAGACTTCACTCCGTGTCCATCTGGAATCGATTTGGACGACCCTTGACGATACGAGATTGGAGACAACAAGATCAAAGAGAAGTGCGCAGACAGACTCAAGAGCGGTACAATGAGCTTCTGGGAATGAGAAGGCAGAGATACTGATAGACGAGATATGCATATCAGGCTTTCTGCGTGTTAAGGGTTGTAGATGTACGAAAAAGAAGCAGATACCAGAGTTCGATGATCTATCACGTATAGATGCAAACTTCTTGTTACAATAATAACACCACCGCATCTGAACGCATAAAGTTTCCAGGCCAAATTTCGAACATGTTCGTTGACAATGTACCAAAATGATGTTCTGCCTGCGAACGATGCGTTCGAATTTTGTGGGCAATGTGTCGACCGAGTGTGAAAGTTGCAACCTTGGAATATTAGGAAAATCCACGGTGCGTGATCGCAAACTTACTGCACAATCCAGCATCATATCAGCTCTTTACTGAAAGAATACAAGAGCTCCGGAAGACGATGGCATCTTCTCTCGCCCTTTGACGTCCGTCTAGCTCATTGACGTTGATTGCGTCAATGACCACAGCAAACGCAGCAAATGTGAAAGACCAACAATTTTATAACTTCACCTCCACTCTCACCCATCTTGAGCAAGTGCAAGTTAAGAGACGAACAAAGCCTTACAATGAACGAGCTCACAATATCACCTGCCCTAGATATGGAGCCAAGCAAAGATGGCCGCGCCCCCTACTCACAAGTCTTTCGTCGCATCTTTAAATGTGGACACCCAGACGAGTTCATCGAAGTTCGACTATTTGATGATGGAGAACAAGTTCATAACCTGATAACACTCGAAGTGCTTCAGGAACACAGTCGAGTTGAGAACCGGCCGGTGTATGTTGAGGCGCGATGTCTAAACTGTGCGAAGGCAGCGAAAGAAGAGCAGGACAAAAATCCGAATGTACGACCAAAGAAGACACTGGGCGCATATCAGGCAGGCACATTATCCACTTACATAGGAAAGGCTGATACGACCTCCCTAGCTGGGTTCGACGCTGTCTTAGAGAGATACAAATGTTCCGGCGATCGAGACATGGGCGTAAAACTTCATCGGCGCGTGTCTGAAGAAGAGCATCGAGCTCACCGCCTCGGAATTCAAGCAGAAGCTGTAGAAAGCCCTGGCAGATGGCTAGCGGTTCCAGTAAGAAGAGTTTGGAATGCGCCAGGTCAAACAACGAATAAACTTGAACGAGGGATTCATCAGCGAGACATGTCTCACTCGTCCGAAGATGAGGAAAAATTTCGGAAGGGCGATGAGAGCTCCGGCCAGTCTTCTAAGCCAGAAAAGAACACAGACAAGGGTACTGAAGATATGATCATCATGAGAGCTGGAACCGACGTCGTGCAGGATTCCAGTCATCTCTCGCTCGCACACACGCCCAAAAGCAATGACGAGAGCTTTCGATTAGCTGCCAGGAACGTGAGCACTTTGTCAGGGTCTAAACTCGAAACGAGGACGAAGATTTCAGAGGCAGCTGACATGACCACGAATGACAGCGATAGCGCTCTCTTGAATCACGAGACAGACGCTCGTCGTCCGCAGACTGCCGACAGATCCAATTCACATGGAAGCGCTTCCGTTGTCGTGGAGCACTTGATCGACCAGTATGCTTCACCTTTCGACGATTTGTCTGACCCACCTCTTGTGGATCTGAAGTACACGCATCCTCGACCTTCCCCTACTGTACCGAAGAGAGGCCCACTGCACTTCATGAAGCGACGCAACAGTACTCCGACAAGAACATCTACCAGGTCTAAGCCGGCATCGAGGAATTTTCGAAAGCTCCGCCTGGATGTCCAGCAGTCTGACGTATCGATCAAGAAGACGGAGCCAGGCAGCGACAGTCCAGAATGGGCGTGCCAAACATCCTTGGCCATCGAGGCTGGTAGAATATCGATGGACAACGTGAGCCTGCGAAGTCGAGAGTCGACGTCGCTGAACCACATCTCTAAAGCGATGCGCAGTCCCATCAAGACTTTGTCCACAGGGCACAGGAAAGTGCAGAGCGCCGGAACAAGAGGGAGGCGCAATACGTACCCGTCGCCTTCCAGTGAGTACAGCTTAGCTCTTTCCACGTCAGGTAGGCATTCGGAAGGCGCTATGCAGGCTGCGCAAAGAGAAGGTGCTGTCCATCAAACAGGAAGACTTGAGGGAATGGAGAAAGCATTGGGGAAGGAGCCGTCTAGGCGTGACAGTGCGCAGGTAGCTTCACCGATGGATTTGAATAAGAGCTTGCCTGCCTTACCTTCGCAAGAAAGTGGGAAGGAGGGTGAGGAGTGAGTTGGATCTAGATGAGGAAAACGAGGTTAGGCGTTACCGTGCCTGGAAATGTATGATAGCTTTGAGATCAAATGAATTGCAGAACATGTGCGATTTGTTGCCTGACCTCCCAAAGTTCGGAAACCTGATATCTTGCGTCATTTAGGGTGAGTTTTTGCGCCATCGTTGGACTCATTTGTCCCAAAAAGGCAATTCTAACAGTCCCGAGATGTCAAAGGGAACATAGAATCGAAAATTGGCCGCGGACGGCCAATTTTGGAAGTAGTGTTGCTTCTAACGAGTTCAATGTGTCGTTGCGCAGGCCTTGATGAGTTGAAGAAAGGTGAAAACTATGATGCGAAGGTTGGTAGAGCTCGGCGATTGTGGAGATGGGGCTTCGGACATGTTGCTTATCAGATGCAAGCTACGTAAGCTTTGCAGCTCCCCACCTGCGGCAGAATACTCATCCATGGCACATGGCCAATAGTAGCGCCATCATGAATAGGCACCAGAGTCACGAGTTATATCAATACAATGCGCCCTATGTCGCGCTGCCGAAACTTCCATGTATAAATCTTTCATGCTCCCCACTCGGATTAGAGGAGTACAACATACCCTTCAGCTCTACTGATCCTCAAGCTTTACCTTCAATCAGCAAGCTCTGTTCATCCTAGATAGCCGTCATGTCAGGACAAGGACAATCCTACGAGAAAGATCCGCGCTGGAGCGCAGTCGATACCTATTCACTAGGTCACCTCCACCCCTCATCACGAACTACGCCCTCAAATGACGTGCTCAAGCATGCGCTCTCGAACTCAGAGAAGCAAGGTCTTCCTGACATCGCCGTGTCGCCTTCGCAAGGCAAATTCCTCCAGCTGCAGGCGCGCCTATTGAAGGCGAAGAACGTTCTCGAAGTCGGTACCCTTGGTGGCTATTCAACCATTTGGCTTGCGAACGCAAGTTCTGATGTGAAGGTCATCAGTATCGAGGTAGATGAGCACCATGCAACGGTTGCGCGGTCGAACATCGAGCATGCTGGAGTTGCGGACAGAGTGGATGTGCGTCTGGGTCCTGGAGTCGAGGTCTTGCCCAAGATTGTGGACGAGGTTAAGCAGGGAACGCTGGGCAAGTTCCAGCTCGTCTTCATCGATGCGGACAAGGAAAACAATTGGAGCTATGTCGATACTGCCCTCGAGCTATGCGAGCCTGGAGCATGCATCATTGTAGACAACGTTGTGAGGAAAGGGCAGCTGGCGAACGATACGGACGACCCGAGAATCGCTGGAGCGCGGCGTGTGGTGGAGAATGTGGGGAAGGATGATAGACTTGATGGCGTCGTGGTCCAGACAGTCGGAGTCAAGAACTACGATGGCTTCTTGATCGCTGTTGTAAGATGAATACAAGAACAGGATATCGGTGGTTCCTCTGACCCCCACCTCGGGGGATGCATTTTCAGTGCAATCTCGGACGCAGGTCATTGTGCTGGTAGCGTAGGCTTAGTTCGATGTACAACGAGTAGTCTCGAACTGGTGAATACCCAGACCCTTCTTCTAATGCTAGCTTCGTGCATTCCACAAAAATTTGGTGTTGTACATAACTAGCAGAGTGATCAATATCCATCGACTTCCACGTTGAGAAGTTCAGCAGCGGAACCCTCCCGAGAGGCCCTCGTGTTCGCTACTCAGCTCGATCCCTCCGGTCACAACAGCATGCGGTTGGCGAGATCCTGTGATGAAGTTGCAGTCGCATAGCGAATACGACAATGTTGACCTGTGATAGCTTGCGGTACTCGGAAATGATCAACATCGCTTTCCGGCAGATGGAGTGGAACCGCAACTAAGAGCCGCGTAACTGATGGAGAATTCCCGAATGAAAGATGAATAAGTCTCAGATTAAACATCCAATGCCGACTTGAACCGAAGCATGGTTGTTTGGGAGACTTCGAATCGAATCGAGAGCGTTTAGTAGCGCAGTTGGGTGTGCGGGGTCCACGCCTAAGCACTATAACTGGGGCCCTGGGGCCCTATGACGTCCTTTATCTTGATTGGGATGGTATCGCATTTTGAACATGCACTTTTAGAGGATGGGTGCGCTGATGATCCGTAGCGAAACGGCGATCTTTGACGTCGCGTCTGTAGGAGTGGCGGAATCATATCCACCCAATCCGACCAATCGTGCAATCTGGTGGCTGGCGTTTGTAGAGGCTTGCACGAGACCGTTCTTTGATGCTGTTGTGTGTAGAGTCATGCCCAGATACGCCTGCATAGCGTGTGTTGCAGATCTAAGGAGGGCTGCAGTGGCGCGGTTTGTAGACAAGGCTGCATGTGGAGCATTCCCCACGGCCAGATAGTAGTCGATCGAATGTCAAATTTGGTGAAGGTCCTTCACGAAATAGATTCCGCGGAGCACAGTGACAGTCTCGAGATCGTCCGGGTGGTTGAGACCGCCGAGGGGCCGGACTCGCCTGAAGATACGAAGCTTGCCATGGTCAGTTTCAGGCATAGGGTTGACAATGAGTAGCTAGATGTGGAAGAGGTTTCTGGAGACATGGAAAGGATCGACCCCAGCTGGCTCAAATGATAGCAGAACATGTGATGAATCGCAAACGATTCCTTCATCAGCTTAGAGAACCAGACACTTGCGTGTATTGCGCCTGCAACGAGTAATCTTAGCTCTTCAAATTTACACAAGCGTTTGGTTCGTGAAGGCTTGACAAAACAGCGTAACCTTAAGCCCACGCGCTGTCTCAAGGCCTTAAGACTCGCGTATTCGCACTCCGGTTAAACCTAAGCTGTCGGCCTGCTTCCAAAGCGAGAACTCTATCAAATAAGCAGACAGTTATGGAGTGCTAATTGTGATGTGATCGGTTGTGGCGCTCCAATGAGCCAGACAGGACACGCTCGGAATATACTCCGATCTCACCAGCTGTTTCACACACAGCTCTGATGGCCCGTGTAGCGTGGACGGGACCGTTAGGTGACAGAGATATAACTTGATATAGCAGGATCAGCAATATCGTTGGTGGTGAGCGGACTGAATGAATTCATGGTAGAGAGTCCGGCATTAGACCAGACGACTTGCGCGTCCCACAAGGAGTCGGATGCACTGGCTCCAAATTCTAGTGATGCGGTTGCTGAGTACGAAGAATGATTTCCTTCGTCCCAAGATTGTACGTGTCGTCGTATAGAATCTAGCAGTGTAGTTTGGCTCCTTGATGGTACCGCAAGATTTATATGTCGGCGGACGAACCTGAATCTTGGATCTTAGTATCCCGTGTAGGTTGTCATGACGCGATTTGAGACAAAGAAACTGAACTCTCAAGTGCATATAGCCGCAAGTAAGAGCTCGCACCTTGATCTTCTGTATGGTCCGGCCTCTGCAAGTCAATAGCGCAAGCACATAGCTCTGCGAGTGGTCTGATAGGTGCCAAATATCTCGTAGTTGCGAACAATCTGGCTTTTTGTGTTGCCTGGTTTGCTGCGGCGGAAAACCGCAGTAGTGCCTGACTATCTTGCCCAAGTGGAGGTGAATGCAGCCATCTGGACGCGTAAGAACTGACGATCATCTCGAGTCTGAGTATGCTTCTCTACAACATCGAATGCGATCAAATTTAGAAGTGCGAAGCCGGAAGTTCATTCGCCTACTGTCAGGTGCTTTGTGATTACAAAATCCGATGGAGTTCAATAAAGTGAAGGATTTACTAAGTTGTTCAAGTGCATGGGCTCTCTGGAGGTGTATTGGCGACGAATGTAGCGATGGTCGACACTGTGGAAATACCAGGTCACCAGGCTCGGTCTGCGGTCGACGATACGAATGCATAAGTCTCTTCGCAGTACCATTGGCCTTCTGTATCTTCGAAGGTGTCCCAATTTGATAAAATCGTAGCTATTGCCAGCGCAAGTGAGCAACCTGGAAATGACCTGCGTATGTTGCTGAGCGGCTGCTGCCACGGCCCTCCGTGATCCAACAATATTTGTAGCCCGTGGAGTGTACAGCCAAACTTGAATTTCTCTTGGGTTCAGCTACCGTCCCCTAATATCAGAGTTGGTGACACTGCATGTGGTAATATGATCGTAGCCGTAACAATTAGCATTTCTGGTCTCTATGGGTATGACCCATTTTGAAGAGGTGCTCTATGTGAGGTGGTCCGATATACTCATCGTTCACCAAAGGACAATCTTTCTTTATGTTAGACCAAAGCGAAGAACATGAATGCATTGGCAATGCCGTACGTCCACACGCATGCTGATATACCTTTGCAAATAGCAATCGACGCCAGCCGGTTGTACCCGTCAATCATATTCGTGATGACCTTCCTGCCTCGCGGTGACCTACCTAATGCAACTTTCAAGACCGCAATTCATTTGCAAGTCCAAGTAGCGTCAGCTCAGCGGTGATTGTTGGTGCGTAGCTTGATATTGGCGTCTACAAATCCATGAAGTGGGGCCTACAAGACTAGCGAGCCAAGACCAGTTTGGATGGGGCAGGTACGAGTCACGGCGCAACCACACGATGTCCAAATCGAGCCCCACTTTCGCGCTTCGCGAGGCTCGGCTATAAGAATCCGACGACCTGGTATCGATGGAGCCAACACCGAGTCAATAGGAAAGAAGCTAATTCGCTCTGCAGGGACAAAGCAGACGAAGCTCTAGAGTCGCGCTGCGATAGCTGACATGTGCAACGCAGCCGGTCGAAAGTAGCAGTCTTTCGTTGAACATGAGATGCACAAATAATTTGGCACCAGAACAACATGGTCTAAAGAGGCAAAGAAAACGCGCAACGCCGCAATATCTTCTGCTGCAAGGCCACCACACTAGGGACCAGCTCCATTATGCCAATGTGGGGAGGTGACGGAAATGCCGTCGGGGAGCGTCCATCACCGGCGACCAACTTGATGAACGTTGTCTCGACCTGCGTTCGCAAAAGATGCATGATGGGAAGGCCCGATTAGCTTTTAATCAGGCGAGTCCCACGTGTGATTGCCATCTATGGAATCGCCCAGGCTTCCGTGTGGTGGACGTCATGCACGTCTTCAGAGCCACTGTGCTGGGTCAGGCCTTTGTTGGCCTTTCAGCGCTCCAATATTGACGACTCATCCATCGCGTACCGCCAATCGCAGTAGCCAGTGACATCTGCTGTGCAACGATAGCAGCAACAATGCAGGTCTCTGATCACCATGACGCGTGTGGAAATGAATCGAGGCTTTTCTCAAGGCTATTGTTAGCGAGATGAACGAGTGTGGAGAAAGGACACCTTTTCCGAAGCCATCTGTCGCAGCGTGTCCGCTCTCGCTGCAAGTGCTGGCGCCAGCAAGTCGCGCCAGCGTCATCCCTGCGTTGCCTGCGGTCTCTAGCAACTGCAAATATCGTCTGCACAGAGGAAGGGCCATGGTTGCTGGAGACGCCGTATGCTGGAACGTCACAGCATTTGCAACCAGCGCCGCCATTCGTGCGTCTCCACTAAGCGCGTCAGCTTTGGCTTCAGGCATTTCGGCCCTGTCTCCACGAAAGTCCTCGTCATCTCAGATCCAGCGATGTTGATGAAAGGTACCCCTGACCACGTTCCCCAGGCCTCGTTCCAGCGCACAGAGCCGGGCTAAATTGACGTCTCCGGCTCCTGCAGCGTGCTTTCAAGTGGGCCCCTTACAGATGAACCCCTCGGAACTACGTGTGATGGCCGACTGCTAAAAGTGTCGTCGACAGGCACAAAGATTCATGTCCGACTAACAATGTGGACTACGCCCGCCGCTGACGCTAGACGGCGGCTACCGTCGTGTCATCGGCCTGGCTGTCAACCATCGATGGTGTGGTGGGATCCGTGGGTCGGAGCAGGACGACGACGCACGGACTTCTCAACCTGGGAGCGAGCGAGCTTTCATCCATCCCACACATCAGTTGGTCTGAGCCAACTGTACAGGGGTCTGTTAATCCCTCCTTCCACACTGGCCCAAGATCGTCTTATGAAGGCCAAGCCACCAGGATGCCTGCAAAATCCTCTGGTGAATTGGGTGATTGGGCCCTCGAACGCAACAGGCCCATTATGGCAATAGCGTGTGTCGCCTCGCCACTTTTATTCATCCACTCAGTTCAGCCAAACAGCGCGTTCCAAAATTCAAACATCAAGTCCCTAAATCTTTTCGTCTCGTGCAGGCTTTGCTTTTGGCGCCTGTCACTTTGCTGATTGCGAAAGTGGCCCCTGCGGTGGTGGCAGCTAGCTTACATACAACACTGTGCACCAGTGCTTCACCATCTTCCTTCCCTTGGTCTTCACTTCTGGACCCGGACCATCATATGTCGTTTGGCCCTAACCCGTCGGATTTTCGCCCATAACACCCATTGTGCCTAAAGCCCATGGCATGGTCGATCGCCCGCAATCGCCTCCGCCAACTGCTCCCGTCCTAAGACAAGATCTAGTGCGGGCTCCAACGTTTTAGAATTTAACTTGCCTGACTTTCTAGGTACGTATATCGCTTAGGTTCCCATTTACGCGGTGGGTCCCTCCCGAACTTTAAACATTCGATGCTTATATTCCCAGCACACTTCGATGCACTGTCTGGTTTCGTACGTTCAGATTCGGGAATTGCGACAACACAGCGCTGCACATGGCTGTGGGAACGGACCGCCGTGCGAAGAAGACCGCTTCCAGACTAGACCAGCCGTTGCCTCTCCAGCCTGTCCGTAACGTAATGTCCTTTAATCCTCCGGACCACAGTGCTGGCGTCGATGGTCCTGCTCCAGAGCCTACCTCTGTTCACAGTCCAACGGATCATCTTGACCTCAAGAACAACTTGACTGGACCGGAGTCCACCATCCAAACACATCAACATCCTAGCAAAAAAAGACGTTCGTCTAAGAGCAAGATACCTGGAGAACTTCGACGATCAACGTCTACGCCACACATGCGCAACTTGGCTTTAGGGACATCTGGCGAGTTGTCGCCAACAAGCAATAAGGCGCGCAATAAGCTGGGATACCATCGAACATCTGTCGCGTGCGGTATGTCAATAAAGCAGTTGTTTATCGCATCGCAAACATGACTACAGTGACTAACACAAATGGACGCAGGACACTGCCGACGGAGAAAGATTCGATGTCTTCTGGCGCCAGATGACCCACAAGGCCGTTGCTCGAATTGCATTCGATTAAAGAAAGAATGCAACTTCTTCCCAGTGGAACACAATCTCGACACACAACATCCCTCAGGTGCAGTAAAGGATCTGAGTACAGGGACACCAACAACACCGGTGGCCTCATCGCCAAGACATCTGCCTCCACACGCAGAAGAAAAGATCGGCGACTTCCACCCGCCATACCATGGGGTTTCAGCAGCCGCGCCGAATGCGCCTTACGGATATTCCGGCGAACCAGATATCGATCCTCATCATACGCCCACTTCAAGTGGAGGTAAGGTCTTTCCTGTATCAAGCTGTGTCTGCTAAGCTAAGACGTACAGTACCAGTACAACATGCAGCCTATTCGTATCCTCCTCCGATAGAGACACAGTGGCCTCCAACAACTAGCTATCTTCCATCGTCAACGATCGCCGAAAGCCCCAATTCATACTGGCGACAATCTCCGTCAACAGCGAACTCCGTGTACGGAAGTGAGTCGGGCGTCTCCGGCGTGCATACCCCAGCTACTATGAGCACAAGCTCAACAATGTCGTACGGCCACCCAGAGAGCCACGCGTGGGGTCAGCAACCTTCGTTCCAACCACCACCAACACGATCGATGTCTTACGGCAACATTGAGGGTTTACCGCAACAATACCCTGGTCAAGGTCTTGGAATTCAGCAGGACTTCGGGCGACGAACCTCCCCCTACCCTTATCCCACCAGTATAGACACAAGTCAACCAACGTTACACGCCACCACCATGGGAGGGTCGACATCCGGACCTCTTTCCGCGCCAGTGCTTCAGTCCCACCAGTTCTACCCACCAGCTTGGAACTCCTACGAACATAATCAGATGTCACCAATGCAAATACCTGGTCGCTCAATGAGCGCACAATGGTACGCAGAGCCGGGGCATCTGGACCAAGTGCAGGAAGAGGGCGGACCACCTATGGCTTACAACCAGCATGGGGTACCACAATACTACTCTGGCGCATGATCTGACAAGCCAGCTCCGTTTCTTACAGCAAACTGGCTCCCAACAAGACTTTCACATTCAGAGATATTGAACGCTTTCAGTGGGCTTAAAACCCAGGCAGTACGCATTGCCTGTCGTATCAAGGGCTCCTATAACGGCGGTACTTTTCCCACGAAAACACAGGCGTAGGATACCGTTTTGGGAATGGAAAAGTTCAGGTTTATCTACGCAGACACGAAAGACTCCTCTTTCGATAGTCCTCACGCCTCTACTGGACGAATGATCCAGTCGACGCATTTATGCTTTTCAAAACGCCTTTGGTAGCTCGTCACAACTTCGCGGCTTCCTTGCACTCGGTCGGCTGTCTGTTCTCGGGTTTCTCTTCAGATTCACATGTATAAATAGGACGACTCTCACACATTGGAGTTATATCATTGGGAAAGGCGTCACGGAGAGATCGCGCATAACGTTTGTAGCGTAACGCATATGCGACCATGGACTTGTGAGAGGTCACCAAGAATCTCATGACCTCTGGTATCTTCTCAAAGAGCTTCCGCATCATTGTTTCATATGCTGATGTGGCGCCCCCACCATTGCAAAGTCGATCCGACACCCGCATGGTTTCGTGCCGAGTCCGTCAACGCAACCATCAGCACTATCCAGACCGCCCGCATTTCACAGAAGCTTTACCAACAAAGCCTTCAGCACCAACATGACAGGCAACGACATCTTTGGTAGCTTCAGTTGGGCATCACCTCAAGCTTCCGCTTTCATGCGGCTCTGATCGCGTTATCTTGACGTGTTGCGTGATGATTAGGATCTTCGATACACATGGCCTCCACATAGCATAGCATGGCTAGACCAGGGCCTTTCACTTTCAAACTTGGCAATTGGGAAATACGCGAAGAAATCCACTGGGAACTAGCAAGCCACAGAATAGCTATCTGCTCGAGCATGCGCCGGAACTACATCCTGCAGCATGGACCAGTCAGTCACAGCGTCTGAACGGACATACTTCCTCTCCAATCTAAGTCTTTGTTCATCGGTGCACTGACCGGAAAGGAATCTAATCCACTTTAAGTAACCCACGACTCAAGAACTCACATGGCTCTATCGTTGCACGCTCAACTCGAGCATGCAAGCGATGCGGTCCGGCTGCCAGCGAACAAAAGAAGCACCGAGTCGCCCAAATACGAGGATGTCTCCAAGCCTAATTCTTACAAATTCTTCCGAAAATTGTTGTATAGTTGGGGTGCCTCGGCACCGAACCTTACCGGAACGCTGAACGCCTTTTAATCTTAACGGCTGCAACGGCTTTCTGTCAGCTACCGTTTAAAGTTTCTTTGACGTTTGACTAGATGCAACCGATAAGCGTATCCCAGCACGTGTAATGACATTGATTCAAGCTGCGTGCTCCAGACTTTCGCAAACCCCAAACGACTCCGAGATCCGTGATTCGGAAATCAAGACCCGCTTTCGCACTGCGTACGACGCCTAGCTGCGCTTAATTCAACATCCTCATCCTTAATACCGCCAACTCAGGCGTTTGTAACACAGCATGATGCTCTTCGTGATTAGTCTTCCCGTTACCACATAGCCGGGAGGAAGGCCCGTCATTGCTGTGCCGTATACCGTTTAAAGTAAGGTCGCCGTCCGGGAAAGACAGTGTGGGTGTTGATCGCTGTCACGACCCACGAATCGTGGACAGACTCTCGATTCTCAAAGAACCGGAAGACCCCGGCGACCTGTGCTAATCGGTAAGATTACCATTTATGGAAGGATTCCGCGCGAAATGACCATGTCCAAAGAAAGGACGTCGACGAAGATTATGTATCGTTTAAGCAATGTGCAAGGAATCTGTACATGAACGACCTCGGAAGTTGCAACAAACAAGGGTTGTTCTATGGCTGGACGTGGCCTGCTTGCGCCGCAGGAGCGCGGATACTTGCGCTAGGGGAATGCGTGCCTACACGCTAGCTCACGACCGGTGGATGCTAGAACAGCACAACTCATCATCATCAAGAAATGTTCATGTGCTCACAAGACAGTATTGGAGTTCCACCTTGTTCATGCAGGATTATGCCTAGTCGCGACTTCCTAATTCCACGGAGCGCGCGTTACCGTATTCAGCTAGTACCTCAAACAAATCGGACGTGTTCCTGCACTTAGTATCTCATCTCCACTCTCACACACCCACCATCGTCACTCCATCCCCACACCACCTTCGAGTTATCTCCGTAAGCCACAAATATGCTGTCATGGCGTGGATGATGCCCAATCCATGTCTCAGAGCGACAAGCGCGCAAAATCGCCGTTGAGGAAGGTCACATCGCCTGCTCATCCATGACACCAGTAACGATGTCCTGCGCCAATGGCATCAACATGTGAGTTCGGCACATTCATTCGGCGTCCCGAACCCATACGGCCGGGGAGAGTTCCAGAACGTCGGCAACGTCTGTTCGCGGCAAAGTTCATAGCAGCTGCAGAGCGACCTGCACCGATCGACGTCGTCCACACCCTGCTAGCAAGCCCGTGCCTGTCACTCACGGTCACGTTCCGTTCCGCCCCGTCTCTCATTCTAACTTCTGATGGCAGCTGCGCCACCAGAAGGAAATGATCCAGAACTTGTTTGCTCTTCCGTGCATAGCACGACTGCTGGCCCAAGTCTGTGGACGCTCTATGACGAGAGTCAATAGTCTGGGTACCAAAGCATCGACACACGGACTCAATAATCCGTCCAATCGCATGCCCCTGCGTCATGCGTAAAATGTCCGTACGCATGCATGCCCAGTTCTTGAGGATCCACCGTGCTGCGTATCTTGTACGACGGCGACCTGGTGTAGATGGTTGCGCTGTCAGCACCGGTCATGCACCCCATCGTACGCATACATATGCACTCTGCACTCCAGTCTCTTGGCATCACTGATCACCCGCATGAAGTGAATGCTGTGTCCCTGCGTTACCCTAGACGGTATAGAGCTGGCGGTGGTGAAGGCTTGTCTGTGAGTTTCCAGTGGAGTCGGGCCTCGGAACAGGTATGCCGGCGGGTTCACGAGTACCCGAGGTATGTGGTAATACTAGCATTTTCCATGTGGAGTGGGACGTCAGCTCCTTTGTTTCTATTCTATTTGCAGAGCTTCGCTTTGTCCGGTCAAGTCGTAGCATTCCATCGTCCGAAGACTACCCTGTCAGCGTGCACGAGACCACCGGTACCTTATGTGCGAATCCGTCAAGAACATTTGAGTACGGTCTTATGCATGAGAGACCAGGTGTGGAGCTTGCAGCGCTTAGGCGGCTAACCCATCTCGTATTGCCCTACGCTACTTACGAATCTGCATGCTCAGCGGCGAACTTGCATCATGTGATATTCGGCTGCACAAGGGACACTGCAGCGGATTGCATGGTAGAGGCCGGCGAGTCTACCGAGAGGGTCGTTTCTGACAGTGTACGCGTCTACCGCCAGCAATGCTTGGGGAGAAACGTCAAGAAAGAGATGTGTCTAGTGCAACTGAGTGCGACTTGGACAAAGCAGACATTCTGCACTATACAAAGCAACAGCTTCACCACAAGTGACATGCTGTACCGATGTAGCTTTATGCAAGTAACGCAGATATTGGCGGAGATTTCTGTATGTACATGAGTAGGTGGTGCACAGTACAGTACATCTGAGCTCTCGGCTCGTGCCTTCAAGTAAGATATGAAATGGGTGAACGCTGTGTTCTCATGCGTCGTGCAACGGCAAGAAGAGCGACGTATGGTGCTTGGATATAGCAAGCTCATGTTTTCAACCGGTGCCTTTTCAACAGATGCAAAAGCAAAAGGGGGAAGTGCATCCTGGAACAGCTGTGCAGTCGATAATGAAGCATGCACCTTCTTTGGCAAAAGACAAGTGCAGGCAGGTGCTGCTCATGCTGGGAAGAGTGCTGCCACTGTACGGACAGTGGAAAGCAGAAAAGCAAAAGCGGAGCCTGCTTCAACTGTGTCGCGCACGTACGGCACATGGACGCGCTAACCGCTAGCGCAGGACGGTCTTTCACCCCCAGCACCACCAGTAAAAATTCCAACTCTGGATATCTCGACAACCACAAGGCTGAGGGAAATAAACTTGGTGACAAAAAGAAACTTTAATTCTAGCCCGACGTGGGGCTCGAACCCACAACCTTGAGATTAAGAGTCTCACGCGCTACCGATTGTGCCAGCCGGGCTTAAGATGTTAATGTCTATTGATGATATCATGATATTTTATTAAATTAATATCCCAGTCATATATACTAAAAGCTCACGTTCTGTCTAGCTTAATTCTTCATCCAGCCTCTGTCCACCCTCACGAGAACTGATGCACAAAGACAGTACGACCCGTTGTTGCGCTGCATGTGAATGTGGAACTTGAAGAAACTTCCTCGCTTACGCGCTTAGCCGCACATCTCTACCAGCTTGCTGGGATCTGTACCTCGATCAATATTTTTCGACACCACAGAATGTCACGAGCTGGCATGTGATAGCATCAGGAGAATGATTCAGTACGTAACGAGATCAGAGTCTTCGACGGTCTTCGCCTACGACAGATAACAATGGCGCGGTAGCACTTGTAGTGGAGCTCTTACTACACTGATCGACATCTACATTTCACAGTGCATCAGCGGTTTCAAGAGACGACGCGTATGCACAACCTGATGATCGACCCCTTCTATAAACACTTCAGATCAACGACCCGATGTGCAAAGTTGCATCTAGCGCGAGCCTCACTTGGACCCTGAACATGGTCCTTGCGCTGACCTCCATCTTCAACTCCAAGGTCGCATCCCCCAATGGCCCCATGTGGAACATGTGGGACGATGTGGAAGGCCCCATATGCACCACATCATCAAACTCGCGGAGGCGCCCATGAGCGCTTGGAAACATTACCGACCTTAGCCTTCCCATGATTCAAGACTGGAAGCTTAGCGGTTCACCGTCGCACTACGAACGTATCGGCTGCCGGCTAGCCATCGTTCTCGCTCTCTACGCCGTCGACTGCCAGCGTGAGGCCAACGCAAAGCTAGAATGACTCCTGTCCTTTGTTTCGTACGACAGTCTGTGGAGAATTCAGGCACACGAATATGGCAAGTACCGAAAGTCAATGAGGCCTGAAACATAGTAGTCTCGGATTTTAGATGTCAATCAAGGGGATCGGCTTCAACAAGACTTCGGGTCGATCTCCCGGTCTATCTTCCACCGAGACTACGTCTACTATCTCTCCGAACGCTCGGGATCACACTACGAGTCGGTCAATGTCGCCATTAGTCGACTCTTCGACACTTACTCGCCGGCAGGCACCATGACAGCCTCGAGACGGGGTTATCAGAACTTCGAGAACGCGCATGCAGACTGCAAGAGTTGGACTACATTGAGTCATTATCGCATTTCGACTTTTCAGTAAGCGTCACTGCCTGCAGGAGGTAAAGGATGACCCTCGAGTCTGTACGAGATGTCCGCATCTGGAACACGTCTGCCAAAGAGACAACATGACCGGAATTTATCGAGCTGCCTGCGACTCGACGTGGCAGTATTCCGCACAGGTCTATTCTGAACACGACACGTGCGGAGATCGATCGAGCAATTTTAATTCACGCTGAGCGTAAGTGAGGAAAAGCTCAGCACCTTAATGCCGTGATCTGTCATTTCAACATGTGCACCAAGCTACGAGGGAGTGTAGTTGCAGGAAGCGCAAAGAGGACTGCGAGACAGACCAACTTCACTGTGTCTGGGTTTGACGACCTGAAGGTACATAACAGTTGGTCAGGTTCAACAGCATGTCTTTCGTTTCTTATATCCTTCGCTCCCTCTATATCCACATATTCTTTGTCCTGAGACCATGTCCCCTTCGCTTTCCCTGCAGGTTAGGGCAGCTTCACGTGGGCTGTTGGAAAGCATGTCCTCGATCCAACACCTCCATTCATACCAGTAATGGGGGCAGCCACTGGCTAGGAGTGCTTTTCATGCCCTAAGGACAAAAGACACTCTGAACCTGAGGCTGCATGGAGTTCTCTGTTCCGATTGGTTTTTCAACACCGCACAACTGAACTCTCGGAGTCATTCCTCTATCCCCAAGCTTCTCGACCATGTTATTTGGTTGTTTCCGTACATCAGCACCATCACCAAACGACATATTTGCTGCAACCAGCTGTGAACCCTACGCGAAGACCTCCAGGACACCTCAGCATCTTTCGCAATCACGTCAAGTCTAATCATACCGGTGACCCGCTTCCTTCACTTTCACAAATGTCACCTCTTCCTCATCTTCCTCATCTACCTTCACATACTCTTTCCGTACTCTACATAACCTCTCATTCCAGGGACTTCCCATCTCCAACTTGGAAGGGTATGTAGTTCAAAAGGAAGACCTCCTATCGCTTTTCAGTCGAACGATTGAGAGCAGCAACGTGCTTGTGGGGAGATGCGGGTTCGAGTCTCGCCATATCCAGTCTTTTCGCGCCTCTGGACGAGGCTTCAATAGATTTAGAGGACTGACTTGCGTCTAGTTGAAGGGAGAGGGCAATTTGATTACTATTTTCAAGTGAAGTGTGCGAGGAGATGAGAGAATAACTCCGTGTCTGCTTGCTGGAATATAAGGAATCGGTGACTATGCACCGACATGGAAGATAAAGGAAAACCAAATACATCATCGCCCTGTACGTCGCCATCCAAGTGCTGGATTCATCAAAACACCTGGCGCCTCTTCTCTAGCAGCTTGCTGTATCTCTCCTGAGCTTGCCTTCGCACTTCACTCTGATCCTGCTCTTTCTACTTCGAGAACGTGGAGGTATTTTGAGATCGAGCCTTTCTTGCCAAAAACTCCATGTTGGACTGACATTTTAGACCAGTAGAGCTTGTTGATAGCTCATGCGCTAAGCCGTGTAACTTACAGTGAGACAGGGACGTTTTGCACAGCCACTTCGGAGGACCAGCCAGCCAAACAGCGACAGTAATGCCGACAATGGCCACGCAGACACCGATGAGGGACAGTATGGCTTCCTTCGACCATCCAAGATCTTCGTGGGTTGCGGCGCGTCTGCCAAGGAGCTGACTGTCGTACAGTGCACGCCAGTGATGAGAAGCGCGCTATGTTTCAACAAGAAAGAAGAGCTGGTTTGCGGATGGATCGAATAGAGGAAGGTGCAGAGCAAAAGACGAGGTGGGGAAAGCGCATGATGCGTGGTGTTACTCTTGCCGAACATATCATTAATATTTTTCTCTACTACTGCCGCTGCGTGCCCACGTGGATCAGTGTCCGTGTCGTGAGGTACCTGTTCCAAAACCTTGATGCCCTATTGATGTCGTCTGTATATCCAACGTGTTCAACATGGCGGTTGGACTCGGCATAGTCAAGGTCGTCTGCTTTAATTATAGCGCTGTATGTCGTATGAAATGACACTCTATGATGTGTCTGTTACGTGGCGATTGTGGCCGTTCTGGGCATCATTTGTTGAAGCCTTGTTTCTCTGACCTTCATCTTTCTTGTATTGCTTCACACAGGCAGCCCCTCCTCATCAGGCGCATCAGGTGCTCCTGTCACTGCGCCGTACACCTTGATCGGAACCTGTACCTCGAAGCTTTCTGCTGGTAGTCGTTGTGCTGCAGCCAGGATGACACCTCTGTCGTCACTCGATATCTCTTCGAGCAGGTCGTCAAACGACTGCACTCCCCCATCCTCATGCGTGACACGAGGTGTGATAAACTCGATCCTCAACTTCCACTCCAAGCTGATGCCGCTGGTAATGAACTCTGGTGTTGCATTCGGAGGTATCGTAGGTGAGAATGCCAGCTTCTGAGCGAACAGCGCGTTCTCGGAAAAAGAAGCATGGGCTTTCTTTGTTACACGGTAGATGGATGCATTGGATCGAAGCGCGATAGCTGGGTCGACCTTCTCCGATGTTTCAAGTGAGATGTGGACGGAGTAGCACGGTATGTGTGAGTCAGTGAAGTCGATCACAGCCAACATGGTCTCCCCCAATCGATATGCAGGTCGAGCCAACATTATGACTGCAACTCGACGACCGCTACGGGCGATTTCGAATCTATTGGCGCTCTGGTTTGCTGCACCTGTAAGATTACTGCGGAGAATGGCCATGTCGATGGATTCCTTCATAGTTTGAGGATGATGATCTTCAGCTATCGATGATCGTCCAGGTATTGTGTCGGTTGGCGATAGTAGACCCACCATACTCGAGTTTTGCCGCGGTCGTTCCAGGAGGTTGTCGACATATGTGAGAAACTCGGCGAACGGGTCCTGACCTGGTTTACTGGCAGCAGCTACTTTTTTTGCTGTCGAGACCGAGTTGGTGCCTGCTGCTGCATCAATGCTCGCAGTTCGAGCTTGATCACGCAGTATGATGTATGGAGACATCAAGTCATGACCGAGTATGTCTCCACGACCTTGTAACTATTAGCGACATTACGGTTCTAGCGGCATGCTGACATACCATTGACGCTGCTGAAAACCCGGAAAGGAACATCGACATGCTTCACTTGTTGCTCCTTGGTGGAGCCTGCTCGCTGTGTACCGATTGTAAGATGATAGTTGACCTTTATCGAACGCCCTTTGTGCGATGGTGGAAGTCCTCTCGGCGTTGTGAAGCTGTAAGTATAGCTGCGACTCTCGCCAGGGGCGAGTTTGAGGTCGACAAACAGGATCGACTGCGGCGTGGTGATAAGTGGAACCGTTTTGGAGCTGGCTGTGCTTCTCATCTCGCGAATACTCGATGGTTCGGAGGAGCCCAGCAATCCACCGAGAGATTCTCCTATGTTGCCCCAGCCTAGTGCCCCAAAGAGCCCGCTTTCGCGCTTTGGTCTCTCGACTCCGACCACGCCACCACTCCCCTGGCCACCTACGACGCCCTTCCTCTTCACTTCCTCGAATGGTGCCTGGTTGACTAACGAACCGTCCAGGGTGAATGATCCCATGATCTGCGCATATCCCATCATCAGCAACTCCGGCTGAAGCTGCCGCTTTGGCGGTGCCAGATGGCTTGCTTGTCGCTGATGCAATGCTCGTGGCAGCAATCGTGCGGAGGGATGAGTGACATACTCGGAGGCCAGAGTCTCTGACGAGTTGTTGCTCATAGAGTAGAACTCGCCGCTACTGCGTGGTGTACCTTCCATGCTAGACGCCGATATTATCCTGGCGACAGGCGAGAGTGTCTCGAGGTGGGGGTTCGTAGGCATTCGGCGCCCACTATGGGTTGGTTGTGGAGAGTGAGCTCGCGCTCGCGGTACCTGCACAGGCGGAGTAGGCACAGGCGGAGTAGGCACAGGCGGAGTAGGCACAGGCGGAGTAGGCACAGGCGGAGAATGTACTGGCGGTGTGTGCGCCGTGTCTTGCGTCTCGAGTCGTTCTGGCGAAGGATCGTTGGTTGGAGGACCCATTGGGAATTTGAAGTTAGACGACAACGACTCTGACAGCTTTCGCCCTGCGGTAAAGAGGGCCGGCGTGCTCGGCGCGGTGGCAACGCCCGGTCTCCTTCTCGGTGGACGCGCAGGGAATGTGAATTCGTTCGATGGTTCTTGTATGGTAGGGGGGAAAGACGCCCCGCCTGCGAGAGGCGAGGGATGCGTAGCTGAGCGGAAGCCAGGGGAAGACACTGCAGCTCTGTCAGTCATTGAAGTACATCATCTGCGTTGCTTGTACCTGGATACGAGGAGGGCCCGTTTGGCATGACCTGCATACTGGCAGACCTGCCATGCCCCCGGGTCGGCCGTGTCGGCGTGGCGCTGCCGTTGTGGCTGCCTCCAGTCGCAGCATCGGTGCCTAGCGATATGATTGATATCGACCTCCCGTGCTTGTGACCCCTGCCGCTGTTGCCAAATGCCCCACCCGGTGATATGGGCGATCGCGCGTCTCCAGCGACAGAGGATGCATGTAGTGATTGCGCTGGACGATGGCCGTGTCGGTGTGGAGAGCCTGGTATCTGCGAGACAAAGGAGGAGTTGCGCGATATCGACGGTCTCGAAGACGAATGGACAGGGGGCAGCTTGCGCTGTCGCTCTCCGCCTGGCGCAAAGCCATTGTGTTTGCGCGCCGGTGAGGGGTCGCGTCCCTCAGGGTTTGCTACGTTCTTGAAGGTGATTGTGCATTGCACATCTTCGCCGGCGAACACGGTCGAGTCCTTCCATTGTACGAATACCCGAATGTTCGACGAGGACATGGTAGGGAGGGCAGTCGGCGCGGGCGGCGGAGGTTTCGCAGGCGGCTCATCTGGCGTGTCTGTCCAGCGTCATGACGATTGTCGTTTACAAAGCTCCCAAGAATGTCAGCAACACCAATTGAGGGCTGCTGAGTGTTGCTGTCATGCCTATCCCGTCATGCAACCGACGACATGGTCCGCACGGGGCTAGCCAACCGTTCCCGAATCTTAGCGGCTAGATCTGCCAGCCAGGGTTCAAGCTCGTTCATCTCAAGCACGTCGAGACCAATGCAAGGAGATGCATTCACCCGGAGCCGGGGTAGAAGCCACAGTGAGCAGTCCGAGCAAGATCGCATCTGGAGGCATTCGGTGAGACCGCTGCAGTGCAGAGATGGTGTCTCCATGGAGCGTGGTGCAACCTCGTCACGGGCTGGCAGCTTCAGGTGCCCTGGTCAGCAGCTTTGCTAACAGTCGTCGACACAGACAACTGAATACAGACAACTGAATACAGACAACTGAACAATCAGGGTCAGATACAACTGCAGCCAGCTTGTTGTCTCTGGGCTCACATGTGCCGGCCGTCGTCAGAGCCTTGCTCGACGGCACTACGGCGCTCATCAGCTCCTATGTAGAGCTCTTCTTCGTCCATCAACCAGAGCGTCCAAGCTTGCAATCGTCTCTTGTCGGGAACCACAAGCAGCTCTCCCATTCTTACCAGAAGACTTGCAGGGTTCTCCTCTACCCGTGTTCTGGAACTGCAGGTACCGTGCCCTTTACCGCGTACAGCCCAGGAGGCCCTCCCAGCTGAATGCACAGCAGCCTTGTCCAGCCCACAACTAAAGCTGCCTCGTGACAGTTGACACCTCGTAATTCAGAGGTTAGAGCAAGGCTCCATTGGTTGCCATGCCGTCATTCACAGCCACGTCAAGTTGCTGCACGCAAGCTTCACTGGGAAAGCGGGGACATCTGCTCTAGATTGACGTCACCATGAAGCTAGCTGGCGCATCACTCCAACCCCTCCACACCCTTTGAACAGATCATTCACATCAATTGATCCCCCGACACTAAACAGATCTACAAACACCTCACCCCTCTATACACACAATGGACAAGATCAAGGAGAAGCTTCACATCGGCTCCAGCCGCCGCAAGTCGCAGCCTGAGAACGACATCGCCGCTACGTCCGGCACGTCGAACACAACGCACAGCACCACCTTTAACTCTGGCCCTGGCCACGCTGCGCCCGCTGGAGCTGCCACCACCGGTTCCCACGGCAGAACTGGTAACACCATCGAGGACACTTACGGTATGTGAAGCTAAGAAACGCATCGAGTTCCCTATTGCATGCACTATCATCCATTGTCACGACGCTGTACTGACCAAGCTATAGAGGACCGTGGCAGCTTCGATGAGGAGCTCGCAAACATGTCTCCTGACGAGCGCGTCGCCTACCTCAAGGAGTACGACGACTCCGACAAGCACGGCGAGCCCAAGACGGGCGGCCTGATCGAGAAGCTGATCGCACGCGGCAACAAGAGGACTGAAGAGCAGCTGGCACGCGAGCACGCTGAGAGGACTGCTGGGCAAACCAACATCGGCAGTGCAGCCGCCACCGCTGGCCAAAACCCTGTCATTCGATAGATGGCTACCAAATCTCATGACGAGCAAGAGCAAAGGCATGAAGGAATGATCTGAGTGGAGAATGAGCGATCCAACGGTATCATGTAACCTCACCTTAACAACCGGTTGAACACCTACAAACTCCTCATCAATTGCCTATTGTGAACACTCTTCTACAGCTTGCATCGAGGACACTCCTTGAGATCACTGCACCGAACCTACACACTCGTCAGCGCGGACACCCACATGCATCTTCTGAAGTTAGGTTTACTTACCCATAGCACCTAACATGCTCCAGCAATGCATCCACAAGCGCCCTGAATCTTTTCGTATCAACCGCGCCAAACTCCAAATACTTGCACAGCTGGTGCCACGCCTGGATCGGTGTGACTTCGTTCGCAAGACAGAACGCCGACGACAGCGACAAAAGATTGTCAAGGCTACTGGCAATATCGTCTTTAGTACACGATTCAGATGCAATGAGCTGGTCTTCGACAAACGAATGGTACGCTGCCAGCTCACTAGGACCGGCGTGGTGATCGAGGGGGTAAGGATTGAGCGGATCGAAGACAACCGATTGCGCGCGTTGTATACACGGCTTCTCCAGTCTATACAGTGTCAGCCTGCGAACTGTAGGGTGGTGGGTGCACGCACGTCAAGACGAATTCCATAGCCATGTCTGCGTGGCTTGCTGACATGGACCAGCTCTGCGACGTACTCGGCCGCCGCACTACCGCGTTGCAGGCCTCATTCGGTACGTCTTCTACAACAGACTCTCGCCCCCAAGTCAGTACACCAGCGGGCATGCTCGGCCATTGCTCTTCGTTATTATAGCTTGTGTTCGTTGATCCAGCGTCCACATCGCCCCCAAACCATTCCGTATCCCAGTCCATACAATGGATTGGGGTCTGCTGTGTATCAAGCCGGCTTCTCAACTGCGCAACTTCGAGACCCAGCGCATCATTCTGCTCCTGGACACTGCGCGCTTTAGTGCGGAGCGCAAGAACTTCAGACTCGAGGGCGTGGATGTACACCTCTTTCCTCTCACGGTGGTTTCTGCGATGAACGTCAATACGTATCTATCAGAAAATAGGGATAGCCATGCCTTTGTGCCCGACGCACTTGTTCACGGCGCTTCAGGTACGCTGCGCTGGACTTGTCGGTGGGTGTGGATGTGGAATCACTCGTCATAATCACGCTTTCCCTCGCTGAACGCTAGGAAGGGCTCGAAGAATGGGGACTGATCTGTCATCTCTCTCTCCACCTTGCTTGCACTTATGAGGAGTCCAAAGCATGCGGGAGTACTGAGTGTGGTCATTGTTTGCTTACTGCGCCTGCAGAGCGAGTTGACAAACACTATGCATCCAGACCAGCTCGAGTGAGTTTCCGTGTATGCAAAGGATAAGCCAGTGTAACGAAGGTTGTTTTGACGTATGGGCGTGACTTTCATACCCCTTGTCGCTGGATTGGGCAAGTCCATGCGTGTGCTGACTTGTCAGCTTCGTGTTTTGCCAACACGTGCCAGCCCGTTGTTCACTTTCTCCGCGGTCGTGGAGGTTCTCCGAATGCTCTGATGCATCATTGTGTCGGGGCCATGCTAGGCTGTGTCCGTAGGAAACTAGTCGACTGAGCAAGACGCAGTTCGACGCGTTGCCTTATGCATGTGCAACGTAGAATGTCTTAATTTGAGGATTATGCGTCTACAAACATGACCTATGTCAAAATAGACGTCCAGCCCATATATACAAGTGGTATCTCTTAAACAATGAACAGTGTTGCCTTTCTGTCTTCCATATAACGCCTGTAAATCACGGTCGCATGACCCACGTTCAGCTCAATGCTTCCCAAACATCTCCGTCAACGGACTGACGCCCATCCCATGTCCCGCACTTCTCGGCGAGTTGATGGTAGCATCATCGCTCGGCGCCCAACTCATGTTCTCAGTTGGTATCCCACTGCTCTCCCCATCTCTTTCATTCTCCTTGTAGCCATCCGGTCGCGGCAGACGGGCTTCCTTCCACCTCGCCGTAGTCGCAGGTGAGTAGGGTACTGCGCTCTCAGCGTGTAGTTCTGCTGGTATGCTGTTCAAGCTGATAGCTCGCTTTTGTTCTGATGGGAACGCCATGACGGCCGGCGAAGCAAGCTCGGTGAGCGGTGTGCCGCCCATCTCTTGTGGTGGGAGCGGCGCGGGAGCTTTCATGGCGGTGTTGTTGCCAGCGCCAGTGAGATGGTGTTTCGACCCTGTGTCTGAGACTTCGGTGGTGGCGAGTTCGTACTTTCGTGTGTTTTGGCGGCGTTTGCGGAAGAAGAAGAAGGCGGCGAGACCAAGGAGGGCGAGCAAGAGGACGACGCCGACTACGATACCGGCTATAGCGCCGGCGCCAAGTGATGAGGACGAAGAGCCGTTGTTGGTCCCATCATTTGGTGGGTGGATTGTAACGACCTGTGCGGCCGGGAGCGGGTCAGGGAACGTGGCCTGGGCAACCGTGAAGTTTGCCCTCTCGTAATCTACTATTATGTATGCCTCCTGTAAGAGCGTCCGCCCAAGTACGTATTGTGTATCGTTTGCAGCGCGGCGGATAGGAAAGTATCTTGTAGCGTTTGCGTAGTACGGGTAGGAGGCTTGAAGATCGAATGCTGCGTATGGTAGCTGGATATTCGTGTATTTCGTCGCTGTGTCCTGTAGCGAGTTGACTAGCTTCACTGTGATGATAGGGTTGAGTGCTGTGAGATTGGCGTGTATTGTGTCGTTTACGAGGTAAAGGTCGGTGTATGGATCGTATGTGAGGCCGAATGCTTGCTCGAACTGTGTACATATGTCTGTTGGTAGCCAGAGTTGAGCTACTGTCGAGTCGATGACCGAGAAATGTGCTCCAGAAGACAGTGAGAAGGTTCCCTTCAAGGTGTTCGTGGCCATGATACTCTCTACGCCAACCGTGAGCAGTTTCGAAGGGTCCGACGAAAAGGTAAAAGAGAAATCGTTCGCATTCGGCGTAAATCGTGTCGAGTCATAACCACCCAAGATCAAGCTTCCGAACACCGACTTGAGTCTATACTTTGCGCCAGCTGTATATGCGTAGGACAGACTCGGTATCCGAGAGCTGTTCCGAAGGTTCCAGATGAGAGACTTTTGGGCCCCGCTTAAGCTTGAGAAACTGGACTCTGCCTGACCCAGTGGGAGGACCCCCATGAAGTAATCCATGTCCGCAATCGCAGCGACGACTTGATGATCGATCGACGTGACGTTGGCGTCTGAATCGGTGTCCACGGCAGCACCCAGCACAACATGGTCATATCCAAACAGTCCTTCTGCGGTCATGTTCAATGCATCCTCCAGATCCACACCGTATTGCCCTATTGCCGACCATTGCGTCGATCGTGCGACCTGAAACCCCGTATTCTGTGTCGAATCGAATATCTCTGCGCCGCGCAAGTTTGCGCAATTCGTAGGATCGGTCGGTTGATTGCACCCCTCAGGTGATATCACGTATGTGACGCCGCTCTTGGTGGATGGAAGTACGCGAAAGTCCTGGCCTGGTATCCCCACACTAATTTTGAACGTGCTCCAACTCCCATCGTTGCCATCGAATTCCTGGGAGAGAGGGACGCTGTACGGTGCGACAGCCTTGGAAGTGGACATTGTAGTAGCGAACGTGGGTATAGAGAAAATTAGAGAGAAGCCAAGGTGTATCAGGTCATGTGCATTCGGTCCAAATCACAAGACGTTCAGCTATGTAGCGTGCATGTCGATGTAGTCGCGAAGCACGACGTTGAAGTCGCCTTCTCGAACGTCAGAAGGTCAACTTTTCCAGATCCGGAGCCCAGACGAGGGCCTTATCGAAACAAAAGGAATGGTAATCTGGGGAGGTTCCGGGACCGTGAGGAGTCGTTCGGATCATGGGTCTCTGCCAGGTAGAGCTTGGCTAACAGCTGTTTAGGGGGCCTATCGAGCCAGCCAATATTGACCGCTGCACCATGATTCGGCGACACTGGGGGCGTGCAGGGAGCCGGACGCGAAAAATACGAGGTACCACGGTAGGGGCGCAGACAGAGCGATGGGATGAGGTCAGGGGTGGAGTCTGGTCGATCATAAAGCCAATGAGGGAAGGCGCACCCAGAACGCCAACGCGTTTGATCTTGAAAGCTGACCTCAAACCACCAACCTCGTCAACAACATCCTAGCGCTGTCTGCATATCAGCACGCCGGCCACTCAACTAGGCAAACTCTCTTAAGTACTTGCATTTGAAACGCGCCTTTATGCACGAAGTCAGCTCAGCGCCAGCACCATTTGCCGTGTAAGTGAGAACAGCTCAATGCTCGCTTGGCCTGGCCAGCGCTCGCAAGGCCCAAAGCGGACAATTTCATACTTATGTGCTACCAATCGAGGGTTGCATTCCACGTTTCCTCGGCCAGTCTCCCGGGCTGGAATCTGATTGGTGCTCCTGAAGTTCAACGTATCGAAACAGAGCATAGAGCCGCCGCTGCTTCTGAGCGCTGACAGATGGTGCAACAACGACAAGAAGACCTGATGATGCGTTATCGTCGAGACTACAGAACCTTTGGTTGATTCGGCTGGGCATGCTCAGCCGTCGAGGCACGGCCACATTTCGTGTGATCTGCTGCAGCTCATTCGCGGGTGCCTTGCTTATCCATCCGCTAGCTGCCACTAAAGGATGAGCGCATAGATCACACAGCTGTCTATTCATAGCGGTCCAGTCTTCGGACTTGCGTATGTTTTCAATCGATACTTTTCGCATCTCACGGCTTGTTTTGGCACCGTTTCCACCCACAACTTGCGCTGCGACGTCTTTGTTTGCACTTCGCACTGTCACTGGTTCATGTACGAGAGGTGAAGGATGTGGAGATACGCCCTGTTGGGGACGGCGTCTCTCGCGGCCGCCTATAACGGCACTTCAACCGACACAAAGAGTAGGGTTTCTCGCATTTTACGTTTTTTTAGATGAAAGGCTAATCAGAAACAGGATGTATGTCTACTGACTTTGGCTTGTTTGCCGTCATTTCTAACTTGTTACCAGATGGCAACTCTTCAATTCCAGCAGTGTCTGGTAGTCCTTCAGTACCAAAACCGGTCTACTCTGTAGCGGACGTGACGTCCTCTTCAAACATCGCCATATCGTCTGATAGCCAGAGCCCAGTGTCAGACAATCGCTCGTTACAGAATCCAGGCTACTCAACGGCGGATGCGGCGTCTTCATCCAACACTACCACAGCTACAGTGATCCAGATACAGGCGCCTTCAGTTCACACATACGCACCCACTCAGCCGTCTTTAGAAGCTTCATCAAACAATGATTCCAAAGGATCGTCTGCTTCGATGAAAGCCAGTTCGCTTGCGTGGAACTCACATTATCCCACTGCTTCGCCAAGGATCAGCATATACGTACCGTCTAGAGTACCGTACCCCTACAAAAATGGTACTGCGGCTTCCAGCGCATGGATTTCGACCATTACCCCAGTCTCCAGGGGACAATGTACAGGCTGTGCGCTTGCCGCGTTGAACCCGATAACAACATCATACGAGTCAGCTTTATTTGGAAATTGGACAAGCTTGGTAGTGACCGAAACTCTTCTTATAGAGTTCGTTACTTACGTGGACAACTCGACAATCGACACAGTCGTTACCGAGACGAAGACCGTCAACCAGACTAAGACGGTAGACAACTGGATTACCGATACTGCGGCAGAATTCAACATCTACCTGCCGACTCCAGGCCTGGACTTGACTTTGGATGTTGGACCGACGTATGTGATCTACACGAGTCTCTTTGGTGGCCCTGACGCTGCCGTACAAATCAATGCAACGGCGCAGAACAATGCCACGCACAGCGAATTGAGGCCGACTCAGAGCACTTGTCGGCCACACGTTTCAAGTTTGAGGAATTGGATACCAACCCGGACTCAAGACTGGGACTTTTTCATCCAAACCTTCGCCAATGGATCAACCCCAGAACCTACAGCCATGGACACCCCCGTGCCAGTACCCACCAAACTCCAGAACTTCCTAGCCCAAGATCCAGACCTTCAAGTCCACTTTCAGGGCGCTGATATTGCTACCTGTACTTTGGCAGGAATCTCAGATGTGTTGATCGGAGACCCGAATAGAACCTTTTATCCTCCAGCTCCAACGTCGGCAGCTGAGGTGTCAACCCAACCAACAGTCACAGCAACTACTCGACCGGCAGCGACGACGTTCTCGCCACCGGCATTCTCAAGTGTTCCAGGCACTAATACCTTCCTTTCGACAACGTACACATCAACGTCAAAGCACATAACCAAACAAGGTTGTCTAAGGTGCGACACGAATCCAGGCGATCTACCGAAAACCCCGAAGCCTACAGAGCAAGACCCCAATACGAATAAGATCAATGATGATCCAGTCCCCACCAAGTCGCCCAATCCGAAGAATGACGATGCACCAAAGTCCAACGATAATCCAAATGGCGATGGTGGCCCAAAAACTGATGACAAACCTCAAGATCAGCCCCAAAACACACCCCAGAGCCCTCCAAAGCCCGATGTCAAGACAACACCAAGCGTACCAGACATTCTCAGCTCGATTATCTCAGACAACCCCAGTCTTACCAGAAAACCGCAAGAGCAACCCACAAACTCAGGACAAACAATCACCATCGGCAACAGCGTAGTTACCGTCAAGCCTCAACCGACAAAGCAGGGTCAAGGTGGACCTAATCAGCAAACCAACGCACCTACGATGGTCATCATTGGAACTCAGACAGTCACTGTTGGCCAAACCACGACGATCAATGGTGTTCCTGTCGCTGTACCCACTGCTGGAGGAGGATCTACAATCATAGTTGGCGACAAGACCATCGGTCTCAACCCTCGAATAACCCAAGCACCATTGCCAGTTCTAACCGTTGGACATAACACGATTACTGCGAACTCGCAAGGACAGTTCGTTGTGGGCATGCAAACGCTGCAACGAGGTGGCCCTCTAGTGATACTAGACGACCACACACTAACCCTGGGCCCAAATGGCAGGATCGCAATATGGAATAGCGCCACACAAACCCTGGTAACCATGGCTGGCCCTTCTGGCGCTCCCGCTGTGACGTTCGGCGGACAATCCATCACCGCCAAACTGCTCGGCGGAACTACTGTCTTCGTCCTCGGTGACAAGACCCTCGCACCGGGCAGCGCAGTCACTGTTGACGGCACAACGTTCAGTCTTCCATCTGGCTTCCACGGCTCCAGTGTCGTCATCAACGGGCAAACGCAACGCCTCAGCGCCGGCCTACCAGCCTTGACAATCAACAACTCACCCATTACAGCAACAGTAGTAGATGGTACTACCGAGTTCGTCCTCGCACCCGGCCAGACGCTTACACCGGGCGGTGTCCTCACTATCAGCGGCACAACGTACAGCCTCCCAACCGCAGGGCAAGCATCAACTATCGTCATCAACGGCGCGACGTCCCGCCTGAACCCGTCTCACTTTCCCGTTCTACCCCTGAGCAGCGAGGAGGTAACCGCCACCGTAGTCCACGGCACTACTGCCTTCGTCTTTGGGCCAGACGAAACACTCACGCCTGGCGGCGTAGTTACAGTCTCAGGTACTACATTTTCTCTTCCCGCCTCCGCCTCAGGCTCGGTTGTAGTGATAAACGGCGTAACGTCCACACTTGCACCCGAATCAGGCATGGGTCCGATTACGTCCGCGCCTCCAATCATTGTCGATGGAAAAACCATCACCGCAACAACGCGCGACGGAAAAACAGAATATATCATCAACTCCGCCACAACCTTGCTTCCAGGCGGCCAGATCATCATAGATGGGACAACATACTCTCTAGCACCTGGAGGCACAGCACTGATTATCGATGGCAAGACGAGCATCATTTCGAGTACACCAGCGAGTAACAGCGCGAGCACGACCGGCAGTGGAAGTAGTTCAGAGACAACAAGTGAGCGCGGCGCGGGAGATTTCATTGCAAGCGGGATTGGAGAGTCAAGTAGGAGTCAGGGAGCAGGAAGTTGGACGTATGGCAGGCGAGCGAATAAGTGGGTTGAGAGCTTGGTGATGGGTGTAGCGGGTTGGCTGTTGTGGTTTCTTTGATAAGTAGGGGTAGTTTCTGATTTAGCATTCAGCGTGGCGTCTTGGGATGATTAGGAAAGGCAATCTGGATAGGCCATATGTTTTGGGAGGGTACACAAGGTTCAAAGGTTCACACAAAAAAGCTCTGGGTTCGTACGGAATACACGGAGGTCTAATGATAGCACTTGGAGCAATAGGCACAATGATGACTATTTTACTTCAATTGGAATGAATAGATATTTATACATGGCATGATCAACTGTGAATCCATATCGAGTGTAACAAAATGTCGCTGAGTGTTCAAATCGAAATCGTGAATCATGCCTCGGTCTCTCCACAAGGCCTCGCTTGTTGTTCGGTCCAACCATGCTCGCGCGTCCATGCTCGTCTCGGTTCCCCCGCATACGCTACCATTCCCACGGGTCCATCCCCCCCATTATGTCGTGCCTCGGCTCGTAGGAATTCGGTATGTCACGTGTTTACAGCTTCGCGGCCGGTGTGGGTGAGACAGGCTGAGGTAGAGTTAGCTTGTACTCCACAAGCGTATAATATCCTTCAAACAAGTACAAGCGCGCAAAGTAACGTGATCAAGCTTTTGCATTCTGCTTCTAGGCCTTCATTGGACCTTAACATGGTGGGTATGGTAGTTACAACATAATCATTACGGTAAGGAAAGGGTGCGAGAGTCTACAACTTGGAGGCAGGCCTGGAGGCACCTACGTTTGTGATCTCGTTGTACAGCAGCCTAGTGTATGTTAGCGTACGTCTCTCTGGACTACGATGACTGGTGTTAGACTTACGATGTAAGGAACTCAGCGTAGTCCTCGCCGGTGACCTGGCCCTCGAAGTACTTAGCCGCCAGCTGGAACTTATTGCCCTTTGGTGCCTTCTCGCTCAGCTTGTCAGTCTGCTCCTTCAGCAGCTTCAGCGCGTAGTCCTTGGTGACGGTCTGGCCCTCGGCGGTCTTGACGCCATGCTTTGTCCACTGCCACAGCTGAGACCTCGATACCTCGGCGGTAGCAGCATCCTCCATAAGGAAGTTGATGGGCACACATCCGACACCACGGACCCAGGCCTCCATGTAGCTAAGACCGATGTCGAGGTTCTGGCGGATACCGGCCTCGGTGATCTTTCCGGGCACGTTCATGTTGAGCAGGTCATTGGCGGAGATGTTGACGTCCTCGCGGCGGACGTGCATCTGGTTGGGTGTGGGCATATGCTCGTTGAAGATGTCGGAGGCGATCTTGGCGAGCGCAGGGTGAGCAACCCAGGTACCGTCGTGGCCGGCGCGCACCTCGCGGAGCTTGTCGGACTTGACCTTGGCCATGGCGGCGTCGTTGGCCTTCTGGTCGTTTTTGATAGGGATCTGAGCGGCCATACCACCCATGGCGTGGACGCCTCGCTTGTGGCAAGTCTTGATGAGAAGCTTGACATAGGCGTCCATAAAGGGAGAGGTCATGGTAACGGCATCGCGGTCGGGAAGGATGAAGTTGGGGTTCTGGCGGAAGCGCTTGATGGTATTGAAGATGTAGTCCCAGCGACCGCAGTTCAGGCCGGAGGAGTGGTCACGGAGCTCGTAGATGATCTAGTGGGGTTAGCAATTTATCGCTGTCATCGCAATGGGAGTGACTTACCTCGTCCATCTCAAAGGCAGCAGGGATGGTCTCAATCAAGACGGTACCACGGATGGTTCCACGGCGCATGCCAATGTAGTCCTGAGCAAGGTTGAAAACATCGTTCCAGAGCCTGGCCTCAAGATGCGACTCCATCTTGGGCAGGTAGAAGTATGGGCCGAATCCGCGTTTGACGAGCTCGTGTGCGTTGTTGAAGAAGTACAGACCGAAGTCGAAGAGACCACCGGAGATGGGCTCGCCATCAACAGTGAAGTGCTTCTCCTCGAGGTGCCACCCACGGGCACGGGCAATGAGTGTGGGGAGTGTGCGGTCGGTGCGGAGCTTGTACTCCTTCTCGCCCTGCTTGAAATCGACCTGGCGGCGAATAGCGTCGTAGAGGTTGGCCTGGCCATTGATCATGTTGTCCCATGTTGGTGCGCTGGAATCTGGTGGTCGTTAGACCAACTATTCAAAGATAGCTATACTCCCTGCTTGCTTACCCTCGAAATCTGCCATGTATGTCCAGACATCAGAGTTCAATGCGTTGACGACCATCTTACGGTCTGTTGGTCCAGTGATCTCTACCCGGCGATCGACAAGACCGGGAGCTGGTGGTGCGCCCCTCCATGTGTCGTTCTCGCGGATGTGCTTGGTCTCGGGAAGGAAGTCAAGGAGGTTTCCCTTGTCAAGCTCAGCCTGACGGATTACTCTCCTTTGCAGGAGCTCCTTTCGGCGGTTGTTGAATGTGCGGTGGAGGAGGGCAAGGAAGACAGCAGCATCCTTGCTGAGAATGTGACGGTTGGAGTCGTTCAACTCGCCGAGGATGTTAACCTCGCGGAGGATAGAGTCAGTGCTGGCTGCCATTGTGGTTTGAAACACTGTATGATCTTTGTGTACTATGCAATTGCGTGTATACTCAAGGCATAAACAGTGAGGAATGCGATGGTGTATGCGTGCGGAGAGGGCAGGGCGGCCAGGCTATATAATCTATGTCACAAACGTCACCCATCTCGAGGCTGGACCGAGGATCTTCTTTGTAAGGTCTGATGCAGGCTAGGCCGGCTACTGTGAGTGGTGAATCAGAGCTTCGCTCGGGCGGAGGGGATGGTTAGAGAGCTCCCAGCTTGTGACGATGCCAAGGTCATAGCTCAATTGCGGGGATAACGCGACCCGATCAGCGCAACAACCTCAGCAACGCTGCGAAATTTTGTAAAATTCCAATCATGGGAGACGGTGCTGCTTATCGCATGTGGCAAGCTAGAGTCTCAAATCCGCTAAAGACCGGGATGCAGCAGGGTGGTGGCGTCAATTCACGGCTATTGCAGGAACTCGTGATGCTCGCGGGAGACCACCCGAGGCCTGCGCGGCGTCTCCCGATTGCATTCACCACCATTACGGCCCGTTGGAGCGCAGGTAATGGCCGGCACTCGCTGTTACGGATAATGTGACAGAGCCTCATCGAGTAACGGGAATGGTGCGAAGTACAGATTGTTGCCAGCGCCACACATCGGCGACGAGAAGGTCTTACGTACCGGTATGATCGAGCAGTGAAACATCGATTAGCGAACGTATGTATTATGACTACAACTTTTCTACAACTCTCGAAATCGCCTTTCCTCTCAACATCACCAACTTTTCAGCGTATGTGTACATATTAGTTCTCGTTGTCCTATCAAACAGACTTTAAGGCAGTCTAGGCAACGCGACCAATGACCTGCTTGTTGTGCTTGATGTTGATATCGCGAATGAACACAGCGCAGATGAGAGCCAGCGACAGCATGCAAATACTGGTGATCAGCATAAGCCTTTGCGAGTCACCATAAGCCCTCGCAATACCCATGCGCTCAGGAGAGCCCCACTTATACGACAATTGCTTAGGCAAAGCAGCGTAGATATCGTTGATATTGACACCCTCCGGAACGTGCTTGTGAAGATTCTCGCGGAAGGTCGCAGTCCATATCGCCGCGCTAACGGTCGAACCGACTGCACTACCGATGGAGCAGAAGAGGTTGAGGATGGCAAGAATGACAGCGATATGCTGGTGATCGGAGGGTGCCATCATCGCGAGCTCACCACCGATGACAATGGTTCCTCCAGCTACGGCCGTGAAGATCTGTGTCATAACGATGTAGCCGATGCTGGTACCCGGCTGGCGGTAATGGATCATGAGGCCGATCGCGAGAATATCGAGAGGCAGCGCAAAGTACGCGATGGTCCACTTAAAGCGTCCAGTATAGCGGATGAGAGGCCCAAGGATGAAGAAGCACCATCCGCATTGGACGACACGGAAGACCTGGGTCACGTATGAGGCCTCGGTGACACTAAGATTCCAGACGACTTGCAGCATGGAGGAGAAGTAGGAGCCCCAAACCGAGCTGTTGAAGTAGACGAAGACAAACATGCATCCAGCCAGGAAGACAGTGCGGTCCAGGAGCAGCTCGTATGGGATGAATGTAACCGGGGCGAAGAACTTTTCCCAGATGGGAAAAGCGATCAGAAGGATAAATCCAAAGACGATCATGCAAATGATCATAGGCGACTTCCACTGCTCGCCTTGGTAGGACCACAAGCTGAAAGGCAGCAGGAATAGAGCCATACCAGCCGTCAGGATTAAGATGCCGATCAGATCGATGTCCACGCAGAACTTCTTGATGTTGGCTGCTGTCCATTTGACCTTGGTCTCATCGAGCAAACCCATCTTCTTAGCCTTGCGATCGTTATAAAGCACAAGAACGGCGAGAGGAACTACGATAACAGGGATTACGATAGCGAAGATCCCGAAACCCCATCGCCAACCTGGGCCGTGCAAGACGGATTGCGCAACAGGTCCTCCGATCCAGGTTGTGATGATATAAGGTGAAGTCGCGAACGAGAGCATGAGAGCACGGTTTCTTAGGCTGCTGGTATCGGCGATGAAGACGGTGAGGATGTACGACACGGCCTGAGATCTATCAAGAGGTCAGCGATCAGGTCTTCAGTTGTCCAGGATTCTCTTACCCAGTAGATGAGAAAACCTGTGCAGCTGCGTATGTCTCAACGTTTTTGCAGCCAGCCATCATGATATATCCTACGATCCACAGAAAGAGCGAGACCAGGAGACCTTGAGGACGGCCCCATGTGTCGAGCAACTTCGCAAGTGGGATCTTGAAGAGACCACCAACTATCGCGGAGACAATACCGGTAGCAGCAGTAAGTGAATGAAGTCTGAAGGCACTGACAACATAAGGGTTCAGGGCGCGAACGACGACCTCCTGCAATGCAGTCACGAAGTAGATCCACCAGATGCTGGAGGCTGTCAGCGTTTGGAACCGTTGCCCACGCATTTTTGAATACTTACATCACATAAGCACCGACAAGATGCCACTTCGTCCAGACAGTTGTAGCTGCCTCGACCCTCTTGACACCTGCCTGTGCATTGGCAGTGAATGTAGCATCATCGTTGGCCTTCTCCGAAGGAGTGGAAGACTCAGCGCTCTTCTCCGCATCGACAGCAACATTGGTGACAGGATCGATAGGCGTGACTTCCTCCTTGGTCTTGCTCTTCGCGAGCGTTAGGGCCGTAAGGAAGCCCATGGTGACTTTCAGGCGCTGAAACTTGACAAGGAGATCAAAGTTGATCAAAGTAGACGACCCTGGCCATCCAAAGCTGCCAACCCAGCATCTTTATCCCTTGTCGCATACTGTCTGATCACTTCCTTTTTCCTCTCACTACCCACAATTCACGTACGCGAAGCACTCCCGACGCAGTGGTTCATCCATTGAAGCCTCAGCATTGTGGTGTGTCGTCCCGTTGTTCGTATTGACATATGCATCTTTTCTGCTCCAGCCGACTTGGCAGTACTAAGTTTATGCTTCTCGCAGGCAAGGCTACCGATCGCAAAGGGAAAGTTGCAGTGAAAGTGGAGTGGTGGTAGTCCTGATGGTCACTAGCGCCATCAGATAAGATTCAGAGTTTTCAAGATCAGGCGCCCCCTGCCACACCTGGGCACGCTTGAGGCGTTCTCGACACATACTCCGACGTTCGGCCGGCCACGGGATCCGATTAGATTCGTCGAAGGATCTCTGAAAGATGGTGGAAGTGCGGCACAGTTGACGACCGTTGAGAAAAAGTTGTTCACGAGAGTTTTGAATGGTGGCCTTTTTGTGGCCTTTGAATGCTCCTGCTTCATGCGGACGAATTAGGCAAGTGCCCCCGAGTGACAGTGATTCCGTAGGAATAACATTATTGCAACCTTGGAAAATGGACTGACAGCCTCCAGGGCTTCACTCGAGATCTCGTCTTCTCTCCTCAGTGCAATCGACACTCTTTGCTCAGTGGCAACAACATGCAGGTCAGGATCATTGTGGCGCTCTACATGAAGCTTCCTGGATAGTGAACGCAGGGTTACAGTAGACCATCACACACATCAACAACGGCCCCACAAGCTCGTATATAGCTTGTGTAACATGGTGCTCGTGCCGTGTGCCTTTGGTGGGAGCGCCGAAGCTTGTGAAGGTACCAGTTACGGTTCCACCCGATTGTCCGAATGCTCGGCTTCTCGCTGCAAAGGATCACTCGTGGATTGCGCTGCGATGCTTTTTCGGCTTCTTCCTACATCAAGTTTGATGTGATTCATCGGTAGGTATGAGTCCAAGAAGCCGGAGCTATCGTAAGTGCTCACAGTTGACTGTCAATGGGCTGATCACTGATCTCTAACACGATCAATAACTGCGACAAATAGTTTAAGACCCGCCGGTTTGTACGAATGGCCATGGCCGAGTCTGATCCACATCACACATGTTTTGATTCGATCACAAGATGTCTCTAACGCCCAGTCTGTGACCAACGGACGGGACAGTGGTGGCGATGGCTGTTCATCATTAAAGTACTCCATATAGCTGACTATGCTGTCATCTAGGGTCCCGTTCTCCAATTGTTACCGTTACTGCTTGCCGACATCCGTTACCGCGATTTTCGACGTCCGCGATCGGCCTTACAATGTCCTCGTTACGGGAACCAGCAATGGCTTGACTGCAGACGGTCAGCGTCGATCTCGTGAACACTGCATGACTTGGATGAGGGCTTACGCTCCGACTTCAGACTTGCACCGCAAGTACCGCTCGCTGAGCACGAGTAAGACGTTGTCCCATTGATTCCAGCCTTGAACGACGCTTCACCCTCGATCCTCCCTCTGAACGACTGAATCATTTGGCCAGGCTCGACTACGTGGATGAACTTGAGCTTGAAGTCCGAGCCCCAGAAAGCGCCTTGGGTGCCAGCGTAGACCTGGATTGCCCAATGACCCTTCTCTGCTCGGTCACAAGGGTAAGTTCGACCCTCGCTGTACTCGCCACTGTACCACTGGGCCTCACAGTTGATACCTTGAATACCTGCAGGGACAGTACCGACGGTGTTCTCTTGTGTGAAGGTGTATCCGTTCGGGTCAGTCACGTTCGCCCGAATTGTTGTCCCTGTAACACATCAATGAGTGTTCAAGCAAGTGGTACAGACATCTACATACAAGGATAACTGCCAGGTCGGCCATTGGGACTGTTATAAGATACGGCAGTGACTTCGAACGGTTTCAGTGCATCTTGACGGGACTCGAGAGGTGCAGCCGTGGTGCCAGAGCCGAGTGCCAGGGCAGCAACGAGCGTTGAGACGGTGAAACTCATATCGAGCATACCTGGTACAGCTTGGGAAATATGTGCTTGCCGGCGATGTCTTGTCCTGCTTGAAGTGTGCTTGAATCAACGGTGCTGTGGACAGTATTCGACGCTTGGGAGCTGGGCTTTATACTGAACAAGACCAGCATTCGAACCACGCTTGTCGTCACAGTGCCCCATCAGCTTGGCTTCTGACAACATACCTCATGAGCAGCTGCATCCCCCAAGCAAAGCGGATTCATACTTCCACGAGCCGTATCCAGGCACCAATGCATGGCACTTGAGGTGACATGCATCCTGCTGGTTCCTGCATGCATTCACTTGTTCACCGGTCTCTCCGAAGAACACATCGAGCATCAGAAAATCTTTTTGACATCGACCTCTTTGACTCGCTCTGGTGCTTCTGTTAGCTACGGTCGTTGCCTTCCCGTTATGTCGTTCAGCTCGATGTATCGTTGAGTGCAATGGAGGGAAAACTTGGAGTTGATGGGCCGGACAAAAATAGAAGCGACGATCGCATCTGCCGAGCTATTGACTGCAGGACGTCCTATGAGCGTGGTCGATGGCATAGTAGTTGTAAAGTACCTTGCAGCAAAGGAGCGCGACCTCGAACATGGAAGTTTATTTGTAACGCATCGAAAGCGGCTAGTGTCAATACCACAGGACCAATTTGGAAGGTGAAGGATGTGATGTCAGGCTGTTGAATGAGCGCCTTTGGCCCCCAACTTCGTACTCGAATAACACCCATGCATGTGTGCTGACATGGGGAGCTATATTAGCTTGACGGCATAGGTCTCCATAAGTCTCCATGGAGGTATTCTGACTACAGATTGTAGAGGTGAAAGTCAATGAAGATTTGGTAGAAGCCTGTCAGTATCTCTTCATGCTGCATGTGATGACAGCGTGCCAGGAACCAACGAAATGGCCACTGCAAGAGCTGTAGGAGTTTATAATGTCAGATATCTAGCCCGAGTAAATCATTTCATTCTGTTTTGAAGGCCACTGATACCGGCTTGAGGTTCGCAGCTGGTATTGCGCTCCCTCAGTGTGAGAGTGGTCTATATAGTACATGGTGGTCTGTAACAAGAGAGGACTTGTGAACCGAGCGACTCCACTTTCGAGCCAAGTAGATTTGCGAAGGCACGGCGTCGGATGCTTCAACCTGTTACTGGAGCCGTTTCTGTGGCTGGGAGCAAGACTGGCTTCACTGTGTATGGCACAATCGTTAGTGCCTATTACCGACTTGATCTGCTGTAAGTGATACTCACGTGCTGGTTTCAAACTGTAGTTACAATTACCACCTGAAGAACATCTACCATTCAAGTTGTCTGCCGAATTGAACGAGCCGTTTGCTTCGAATCTTTCGAAGATGTTGGAGATCGGTGCCTCTGGCTCCACTCCATGTATGAACTTCAACTCAAAGTCATTCACATAAGCAGAAGCACCAGTACCCGGAAAGACTTGTAGCGCGAAGTGGCCCTGCTCCACGGAATTGCAAGGCCAGGTGCGACCTACGGGAGACTCTCCCCTGTACCACCTTGCCTCACAGTTGATGCCTTGAAGGCCTGCTGGAACAGTCCCATTATGTGTACCTTGAGTGAAACTGTACGAATTGGGATCGGTGAAGTTCGCACGAATATAACTCCCTACAGGTTCGAGTCAATTAGCAGATACACGAGACCGTGTGTATCGAGGATTCGTACATGGGGTACTGCCAGGTCGGCCTGGCGGACTGCTAGTCACGATATTGGTCACCTCGAAGGGCAAGAGGGTAGCTTGGCGAATCTCTAAAGAAGCCGCTGAGGTAGAGAAGCCAAGGGCTAGAATGGCAGCGGAGAAGGAGCTGGCGAAGCGCATGTTGAGATGTAGTGAAGAAGCGTTGCGGCTTGCCAGCGATCGTAGTTTGTTCGCGAATATGCTTTTGAGACGCCCTTGACGATGTTGTGTTGAATCTGTGGTATTCCGAGTTGTCGACTTTATACGTAACTCAGCTGAAGTTTGAGCGTTGATCTTGACTGCAAGCTTTCAACCTTGCTCCTTCGAGCGATACCGGTAAAGACAGGGACTTTGATCAAGCGAGGCACAAGTCCGCGGTCGTACCACCAAAAGAGGAACTTGGGCCCCCATTTTGTATTGAAACAATACAACCAATGCATATAAGCTGACATGCGGAGTAAATTGCAGCTCGTTTGGCGACAGATTTTCCATTTAATTGTTGCACTACCAGACAAGATGCCTGCAATAGGTCTCAAGGGCCGACGACTTTTGCGAGCGTCTTGCGACGATGTGAGGCTCATGATGCGACCCGGCTAACTATACACAAGCCTATGATGTTTTGGCCAGAGAATCCATGTCATGGCCTGAGCAGCTGTAAAAGCGGCTCCCTCAGCAATGCAATGGTCTTGCCATTTGATATGCAACGCCAGTGGTACGGACTGCAAAAGGTAGGGTTAATGCCTGTGGCTTCTGCTATATAAGCGTGACCCGTCAGAAAGGTTCGAGTACGATGAGTTCGCGACCACCCCTAGGATATTGCAAGAACTAGTTCGCTCAGATTATACAACATCATGGAACGCTGTTGTTGTTGTCGCTGTACCCATGGTTTGTTGTCCCTGGCTCGAAGAGGAGTAGTGGAATACCGCACGGACCATGTACCAAGACTTCGCTTACCGGTAGCGCCTTCCCACAGCGAGGAGGCATTCAATATCGTTTTTGTGAACTTTCGACTGACCTCGACAAGCCGACTAACCCAACAGACGACCCCAAAGGTACGCTTTCCACCACCGAATTCGACGATATACCAGAGTCAGCCAGAATTGCGACATCGAGACCACTCTGCGAACACACTTCCCAACCTGCACACCGCTCAGCAACGTACCGGCGCACGCGATACCAGCAATCATTACAGCTTCATACGTTTCAGCGGGGTAGACAAGGAGGGGAGCATGTTTGCATTGGTGGTCTCCAGGCAATCTCTGCGGCACTGAAATACTCAATATTGGAAGAATAGAGGCTAACAGATTGTGAACAGCAGTCTTCTGTAATCTGCAAACATGGGGTATCTATGCACGCTCCCTTCTTCACACATCACCAAGACTAACATCCCCCAGTATCTCTCGCGACTCTCGCCACAAGCGCTCCGCTTCCGGTGCGAAGCGCGCATACTACCGCAAGAAGAGGTAAGCAAGCTTCTTGCATAAACCGATCGCATCTCAAGTCATGTTTCTAACATGGCTTCAGGGCTTTCGAGAAGGGCCGCCAGCCTGCCAACACCCGTATTGGCGCTAAGCGTGTCCACCTCGTCCGCACCCGTGGCGGCAACCGCAAGTTCCGCGCCCTCCGTCTCGATGCCGGTAACTTCTCCTGGGGTTCCGAGGGTATCGCCAAGAAGACTCGTGTCATCGGTGTCGTCTACCACCCCTCCAACAACGAGCTCGTCCGCACCAACACCCTGACCCGCTCCGCCGTTGTTCAGATCGATGCTGCTCCCTTCAGGCAGTGGTACGAGGCCCACTACGGCCAGTCCCTGGGCCGCAGAAGGCAGGCCAAGTCTGGCGAGAAGGCCGAGGACATCAAGAAGTCCAACTCCGTCTCCAAGAAGCAGGCTGAGCGTCTCTCCGGCTCCGGCAAGGTCGACTCCGCCGTCGAGAAGCAGTTCGAGGCTGGTCGTCTGTACGCTGTCGTCTCTTCCCGCCCCGGTCAGTCCGGCCGCTGCGACGGTTACGTCCTCGAGGGTGAGGAGCTCGCTTTCTACCAGCGTCTCCTCAGGAAGTAAGGGTGATGTTTGGGGATTCTTCGGTGCATTGGTCAGGTCACAAAAGGTGTTTAGTCATGTATCTGGTCTGCACAAGCGCAGAACTTCGAATGAACAAGGCATGATAGTGCCACTTCTCTAGATACCACGAGTCTATGAATTCTCGATTTCAACGTTACGTGGGCATTCTTTTCGCCGCTTTCACTCTTCTGACGCTCACGTTACCGCATGTCCCAGATGCTGGTAATCAAGATATTTGACATGCATTTATGGCGACTCTGCTAAAATGCCTTTACACAATTCCTTTCCGCTGTGGAAAAAGTGCAGGAATTTATTGCGCTAGTGTAAACACCGCCCGGCGACCCACCCACCAACTTCACCGAACACCGAACATGTTTCTAACATTATCAGATAAGATGAGCTGACATACGGACGACTTCCGCTGCTATCTTCTAACAGGAGGGTAACCTGACAACATTTATCAGCATACCTTGAGCCGATTGGAGCGACATCGGTTGCCACCATGTTCTCGAGGCCCACTGTGGTTGACGTGCTCGAGCGTGCAGCTGTCGACATCTTGAACTCGCAGCGACATTATAAAGACAAGCAACACTGGCAACCATGACAACCCATATTGGCACTGTACAAGCTTCCAAGTACTGCATATCACAAACACAAACATGCCTACCGAATTCATATCTCTAGCGTTCCCTAACGCTTCCACCGAATTGGAGCCCATTCCGGGTGCATCCATCGACCCAGATTTCCTTAAGAGATATGCCCAGAACTTGGATGACTACGGGTTCAACTACACTCTCCAGCCCTATGACTCTTCCTACTTCGACCCATTCACAACTGGTGCTACAATCGCCTCGCACACCAAGAACCTTAAGGTCATCATTGCACTTCGTCCCAACACAGTCTACCCAACCGTAGCCGCCAAATCCCTTGCAACTCTCGATCAACTCTCCAAAGGTCGCGCTGTTGTGCACTTCATCGCCGGTGGCAGCGACGCCGAGCAGGCCAAAGAAGGTGACTTCCTGCCCAAAGATGAACGTTACGGACGTCTAGAAGAGTACATCAAGATCCTCAAGCGCGCATGGGAGTCCCCCGAGCCGTTCGACTGGGAGGGCAAGTATTATCAATTCAAGCAATTCAGCAACCGCGTCAGGCCAGTCAACGGAAAGAGCATTCCAATCTCGGTCGGTGGGAGCAGCGATGAAGCGTACCGCATTGGTGGTCAGTTGGCTGATATCTTCGGCTTGTGGGGCGAGCCGCTGAAAGAGACCAAGCAGCAGATTGATAGGATCTATGCTGAGGCTGAGAAGGCGGGTAGGACGGATAGGCCAAGGATTTGGGTTACGTTCCGACCGATTGTGGCGGAGACGGAGGAGTTGGCGTGGCAGAAGGCACATAAGACACTCGAGGCGCTGCAGACGCACCGTGTGGCGGGGCTGGGGAGGGTTCCGGCGAATGCGCCCCCACCACAGAATGTTGGCAGCCAGAGGCTGCTCGACATTGCGAAGAAGGGCGAGGTTCAGGATAGGGCATTGTGGTACCCCACTGTTACGGCAACGAACGCAAGGGGAGCCTCGACCGCATTGGTAGGAAGCTACCAGACAGTCATCGATTCCATCTTGGACTACGTCGATCTCGGTTGCGAACTCATCTCCATCCGCGGGTATGATAATCTCAACGATGCAATCGATTACGGAAGGTACATCCTACCAGGTGTACGGAAGGAGCTGGAGAAGAGAGAAGGCGTGAAGCAGGAAGGCAGTGGGATTGTGAACAAGGTTGCGGAGGCTGTAGAAAGCGTCACTGTTCACAACGGTTGAGCGACTTAGCTGTTACTACTAAGCAGTATCAAGCCATACGATTGATGAGATAGAAACTATGCCCTGACTCTCTCTTTGCGCGATCAGGCCGGTGCGGTTCAGTCCTGCACCCCGTCTCATTGCTCAATTTATCCCAGCAGTTTCACTTGTATCCTTGCGGGTACCTTTCTCGTGACTCGTCTGTATTCATTGGCCCACAACGCCTTCAACTATAATTGTACCAGAAGTCGCTCTCCTCGTCGACTTCAGCCTCTCCTAGGGTCAACGTCAGCGCCTCCATGTCTCTCTGTCTTGATGTAAACATGTGACGTACCCACATCGCCTGCAGAGTTTGTTCAGTACTGTGCGTAGCCGATCAGGGGGGGGGGGGGGCAGAACTGATCGCGTCGAAGACACTGGCTCTGGACTCCATGTTTGATAATTGGCGGTGGAGGACTTCTGTTAGAAACAGCGATGTGGGTAGGCGGTAACGGGACGAATTCTGGCGTGAGTGTTTTTCACAGTGACTGGTATGCTAGGACCGATATTGTGCTGTAGTGCCCTCTCACTTATAAGCCCCCTTCACGCTATAGTACCCCCTTATATCGATAAGCCTAGTGGTACTCAAACTTGATCGATTGTTCGTCTCGTGGACTACCTCCTGACCCTCTTACTGCGATCCGGTCGATGCGGCGTGATCTTGCATCCTTTATCGTTACCCAGTTTGTTACAACAAGTCCATCTGAACCCCTCTGGAAACAACTTGCGCATCTCTGGAGTATCGATCTCACCGTGACAATCCTCGTCGTGATCGGCCCAGAAGTCCTGTTCTTCGTCGACTTCATCATCTCCTAGATTGGAGTTAGCGTGGATCAAACTAGGGCTGCTCTCCAAGCCGGCATGAATAGGCAAGATGTGAAAGACACAGCAGCTTACCGTCATGCCACTGACAGCTCCTCGGCCCGTTCTGCGTCACATCATACTCTTTCTCACACTGAACACAATGCTCAAACCTCTGTCGGGAATACGTGCTCTTCCTCTTGGACCTCGGAGCATCGTCCCCGTCAGCATCAGAGTAGTCCGATGAGTCCTGCTCCTCATCACCATGACCCGCTCCATTAGGCCGATTCTGCAAAGTATATGCTTTTGATTGGCCTTTCCTGAGAAGCAGCTCCTCACCGACGAGGGAGAGGCCGCCAGGTTGCTCATTCACTACTTTCTTCAAGATGGCGCGAAGACGATCTGGGGTGGCGGAATCTATGGCGTCGTAAATCCTTTGGCGTTTTTGCTGGATGGTTTCTGAGCGGCCGTTGGAAGCAAGCATTGCGGGGTCGGAGTGATGAAGGACCTTTTGCGGTGATGGAACAATGCTGGAAAGGTTCATGTTGGAAGGAGGGAAGATGACGTCGATGCGTTGGATGGATGGGGACGCGATGCAGGGCAGGTTGCTTTCACGTTGGCCCGTAGGCGCTAGACTGGATGAGGTACAAACGTGGGGATGTGCATGGAGATAACCTTGGAGCGCAACTACCCTGTTTGTACTTATGGATTCAGACTCGTAAAACTATACTGCTTTGTCGTCGTTGACCAACGTGCAGCACGTTGCTGCTTCAGGACACCCTGATCCTGACCAACATTGGTAAATTCAAATTAGCTCTAATGCAGTCCTTTCCAGAGTGTCAATGTGCAAGTGACCAAATGACAGGCACTGAATATCAACGTCTGACTCGTAGGAGCCTTCCAAGTTATAGTATAACGTGCGTCCTGACAAGAACGAAGAAAGAAGACGGCGTGATATCGTATCGAAAAGTATATGGCGTGGACAAGTTGCGGTCGTCTTGATGGTTCGTTGAAACTGAGCGTGTCCGGTAGGTTGGAGAGGCTCGGAAAAACTGCAGTTTACTTGCTGCCCTTCTTGAAGAGCTCGAATGTCTCAACCAAGGCACTCCTGAGCTCTTCCCTCTTAGCCTGCTCGTTCCTTATGCTATTGGTTACTGCGATGTCAACAATGTCGATAGGAGCTTGTGAGTTGCTGGCGTATGCCTCGCCGCCAAAGAGCACCCGTAGATTGATCCAAACCGGGATGCTGGTAGCCTTCGTCGACTTTGAGTTCTCAATCAAATCCTCCGTTAGATCGTTGCGAAGACGCTTGATGTAGACAGTCCACTTCTCGTTTGACTTCCTGGCCCATTGGTGTCCAAAGCCTTTTGTGGCTGCGTCCATTTCGAGGACGAGGGTAAGCGTGTCAAGTCCGCGGTAGTATTTCTTCATGACATTGTACCCGCCACTTAGAAGCCAGTCCAGGTCGTAGAACGTCCGAATACGAATGTTTAACTTTGTGACGAGACGCTGGTACCCCGAGGGAAAGAGAGGGATACTGTAATCAGGGAGCGGAGTCAGCTCGTCGGTGGGCTTGACAACCTCGAAGTCATTTTTGCTGTACATGACCGCCCGCGCTTCGTTGAAGACCTCTTTGCTGGTACGAAGGATGTTGATGTTGATGCCTGGAAGACGAGAGAAACGAGTTTTGAGACCGTCGACCTTAACTTGAGCAAGAGCGTATGCGATACCAGGAAGGAGTTCTCGACGCTCGGTGTAGAGAAGTGCTTTACGCTCATCGTGGTATGCAGTGTGCTTCTGGCGCACACAGATGATGGCCGGGACGACCAGCAGATGCTCGTAGATCTTGTTGCGAAGAGGGAGAGGTAGTTTTAGGAAAGGGAACGGCTCGACGGCTTTAGATGTGGTAGCCGACACAACAAGCGAGGCAAGGTCGGACTTGTGGAGGCTGGCTGGTGCAGGAGCGACGGAAGCTGTAGAAATTGTGGTCGCAGCAGTCGAAGACCCGCGAACAGAAAGTTGCGAGCTATTGCCCGATAGAGCGGAGCTGGTGTTGCTGCCACGGTCGCCATTGTCGATCTCGATGTCGGACCCTTCGTTGTAGTCTTCGAAGAACTCAGTAAGTGTTTCGCCTTCCTTGACCTTCGTTTGACGCCTGTTGCTGTTGTGTGCCTCCTGTGGCCGAGCAAACGGCTCTTGCTTGCAGACACCTCCAGTAGACGGCGGGGTCAACAGGCCGGAGCGTGGAGGAGATGTTGACAGTCGTGGCGTCGAGTGCTCCATGTCGAGGGGCTCAAGTAGTTGGCTTGCTAACTCGAGCTACGTCTGTGGGAGGAACTGAGAAGTTGAAAGTAGATGCTGAGAAGAGAAGCGAGCGAGTTCAACCGTTGGTATATGTCGTGAAGGGTGATGGTGACGCGCAGTCAGTGCTCAGCGCTAAGCAAGGTGTCGCCAGACTCGAGGTCACGCTCACTGTCGAACAGGCTCGAGCCATGGTAAGGTGAAGGAGGGGTGGTGCCTCCTGTTTGCGGGGCTGATAGCGTACTGGGGCTGTTTGTTTGAAAGATGGCGCTGGGTGCGTAGGACTAAAAATGCGGCCTGTATCGTCGTAGCTGAACATCGAGGATGTGGAGAAGATCGGTGGAAGCTGTGCACTGTAAGCAGTAGATGACTTGAAAAGAGCACCCCGGAACACGGCCCACGACATTTCCGCAAGTCTTGTAGATGAACACCAACTAAATTGCTCTTCACGAATCATCTAGAGTACACAATCCTACCACATCCACACTTCCTTGGTGAACGTTGACCGCTCGGTATATCAGATTGCTATATTTACAAAGTGTCCTTGAGGAGCTTGTTCATCTTGGCCATCTTGGAGGAGACGGACAGGTCGATGGTGCGGTCGCCGATTTCAACAACGAGTCCACCACGGATCTCGGGGTTGACCTTGGGGACAACCTTGAGCTTCTGGCCCTGGCCAACGTACTGCGACTTGCTGACGGCGGTTTCGAGGCGGGAGAGGGTCTTGTTGTCGAGGGGCTGTTGATTGTCAGCGTTTCGGTCCTTGTACCTTCCTTCCAGTGTAATTTTCAACGTACAGCAGCGCTGGTAACAACGAGCTCAATCTCGCCGTGGTGCGCACCCATAAGGACGCTGAAGTTCTCTACGACGCCCTCTAGCACGCCCAATCGGTTGTTCTGGGCGAGTGTGTCGAGGAAGTTCTTGACGATGCCCTCCTTGTCCTGGCCGATGTGCTTCTGGAGCTCCTGGACGATCTGCTGCTTGTCGGAGACGGAGAGGGTGGGTGCGCGGAGGATCTCAGCGAGCTTGGCATCCTTCTTGAAAATGGCGGAGAGCTGCTCGAGCGACTTTGCGGTGTTGTCGAGGGTGCTGGTCTTGGCAGCAGCGGTGTACTGTTCGTCGCATAGCTGTTAGCCCATATCTCTCAAATCATCTCTGTGCCTGTTTCCCAGCCATTGCAGCCCAATTCCATCCCTACATCATCTGCCCCAGACCAATTGGGATCGTGAGACTCGTACCAAAGCGCTGGCGTATGTTCCATCAACACCGAAGAGGGCAACCGGAGGCTTGGTTGCTGCGCTGCTGGGTGCGGCGGCAGCGTAACCACGAGCGAAGCGGGCGGCAATGGGGGCGCGGGGGACACCAGCCCGGAAAGCGGTGCTGAAAGCTCGTGCAGCAGACATGGCGGGTGGAGAGGAGATGGATTGCGGGATGGGCGAGCTTCGGAGGGCTTTGGGCGTTGCGGTTGCGATGTTTCTGCTTCGCTCTCGGCATTCCGGTCTAAACCGAATCAAGGTTGGCCCGAGCGTCTATCTGGGTAACCTTTCGATGCTTCAACCTTCAGGAATCGAACGTGTTAGTTCATAATCTTGTTGGTTTTGACATTCTTTGAGATCAAAGGCGTCCTCGGAGTAGCAAGTAATTTCCTCTTCGAAAGTCTAGTAGAACTGGTCCTGAGAATTCAAAGCACAGATCACCCAATCTGACTGTTCAATCATCGACGAAGCCGAAACCGATTTTGCGCATTTTATAGCGATCTGAATTTACTTGTTCGTTGGCAATTTACGCCGCTATGTTAATTTGCAGTAATTGCGTCCGTGATCAACCTGCCACGTACACAAACCAACCTCAACACCCATGCTCAAAAACCCAGCTATACAGATTCCTCCCGAGTCACTCACGCTCGTCGCTCCCAGACTGAACTCTCTATCCTCCTTCCTCACGTTGTCTGTAATCTCCGCAAAAGTGCTCACATATACAAGGCCACCAAGTAAGCCCTCCCAAAATATGATGACGCACACAATGTAGTAGCTGGGGATGAAGTCGAACATGGCGTGTAGGGTGAGCAGGACAAGGTTGGCAACCTGTAGAAACGACGGCAGATATAGATGATGGACGCGTATGAACGGGGTTGACGACCGTGAAACAAAGACACCAACTTGGTAGATGACGGCATAGGTGCTGTAGAAGGAGCGGTACTCTGCAAAGGGAGAGTCGCGAAGGGGAAAGAGGAGGGTGGGGGCCACGCCTTGGTTGATGGTGTATTCGGCGATGTAGACAAGGAGGAGGGGCAGCATGCTATATGTTGTTAGTATACGTATACGTAGAACGAGGAAGCACCTACTAAGGGAAGAACAGCCCGCGAGCGCGGTTCAGGTTGGCCTTGAAGCTCTTCAGAGCTCCAGTGATGCCGTCCTCCTTGACAGGTGAAAAGCTTCGCCCAGATGCTGAGTTGATTGACGATGATAATAGCCCGTCGTGCTCCCTTCCATTCTCCAATGCCTCGTCTTCATCGTGCTGATCGTCGCTGTCCATAGCCTCATAGTCATGGCTCTTGCTCGATGCAGCCTTCAGTGGGCCAAGAGGCAGTACGAAATAGAAGCTAGCCAGCATGATCAGAGGCAGGAACGAGAAGAACAACAAGCTGGTGCGAGGGCTGATGTGCAGCGTGTTCGTTGCCAGCGCGTAAGCTCCGGCACCAACCAAGCCCGCGCCGCCTGTGCCAGAGCCCCAAGCTGCAAGAGCAAAGTGGCCGTAGTAGTGTGTCAACCCAAGGAAGCTGAGCTCCCCACCCCCACTGCTCAGACTTGCCAACATGACACCGCACATTTTTATCGCAATGGTCCTAGAATCCTGCAGTGCTGGTGTCAGGGCAATGACGAGCATGCCGCTTGCTGACAGAGCCACAAAGATCCATATTCGCACGTTGTAAGGTATCCTGTGTATGAAGTACGGCGCGCAAAGCTTCGTCAAGAAGGAAGGTATTACGTCGCAGAGGAGGACAACGCCTTTGGGGACGTCGGCGCCGACGAGGTCAAGGGCAGCAGAGAGGATGATAACGTAGAGGACGTTGTTGATGAGTCCTGGTGTTGTTAGCCATGTTCGCCGTGATGTTATACAGCTTCACGATGCACGAGCAAACACGACCTCGGGAGCTGGAATTATGGTTAACGCGAGCTAGCTCGACAAGCTACCATGGAAGACAGTGTCTGCCCTGAAATGCGGGGTATGAACATCGTTGCGAGCTCAAGTCTCCATGGTTGAGGCCTACTGATCGTCCTGAAGGCATACAAGATGGGTACTCACCAAACAACCAAAATGCAGCACAAACGCGGGGGTCAGCTCCGTCGAAGACAGCTTTTAGCCGTGCACGGTAGACGGCCCACGATGCAGCTGGAGAGCCCGGCATGGGGAGAGGCATGGAGAGCAGTCGACAGTGAGCATCAACATCACATAACGGTGTTCACTCGAAGGGGGCTGCTGCGCACGTGCGCATTGAGACAACAGGCATGTGATGGAGACGAGGCTTGTGGTGTTTGACGGGCCACGGCGCCTCGAACGTCACAGGGCGATCGGCACGGAAGAATAGCGGTGGACCTCGAATCAGGCACAAAATGCAGGGGTCTCGCGACGGTTTCCGAGTCTGTGTGCTTTTTCGTGAATAGACGAAGATTGCAAAGACGAGCGCTCACAAGCGTCAGCGTCATGAGTGCCTCCTAGCTCTACTATTGACCGGAATGGGCTCGAGCTACGCGCTCATGTAGGTCCATCACGTAAACGTCACTTCGAGATAGGGTCCTCTCCTCTAAAATGTACTGGCTTTTGCGGGGCGGCGTGACAGGGATCATTAGTGCCGTCGCGGCTGTTGGCTTACCTTCGGTGCATGGGATGCTTTCTCTTTCTCGCATCCTGTGCGCTGTGTCTCGCTCTTCCTGCGCTCAACCGTCTTCTTGGGCGTGTCTCCTGCACAGTAACAACAGATCTGCGGCCGCGATTGTTGCTCTTCTCTGTCAGTTTCGACTTCGAATCTACATTCTTCGCTCTCACTGCATTCCTGGACATTTGCTGCCTTGCTAGATGAGCCAAACTGGCTTGCCACACCATGGACGCTCGCCAGCCTGCGCCGCCGTCCACGCGCCCGCCGGACCGCCATCTGATCCATAATCCAAACCACCAGCCGCCGACCGCACACGCCTATCCTGGCTATCCTCCGTCGACACAACCGCAGCAGCCGCAGCAACCACAGCAGCCGCTGCACGTACCCTTCGCGACCTCGACCGATCCGTACGCGACGTCTCGACGCGATCCTTTTCTCCCGCAAGCCTCGCATCACGCACGGCAGCGCAGTCATGGAGCACCAGAGGGCGCGTCGCAAGCACATACTGAGAGAAATGGCGGCTGGGGAAACACAGGTACGCAACACGCTGGAGTAATTTCTTGGAGAGAGCACGGCATGTCGCTGTGTCTGGGACATGTTCACACACCCACGTTCTGGGTGCTGGACTATGTCTGAGACAGGGGTGGCACAGCTCGCATGGCTGGATGGGCTGCGCGGAGCCATGGAGACGCGAGGGAGAGACAGATGCGAGGACTCGTCGCGCACAACGCACTTGCATAATTGCTGCAGGACACGTCGACTACGGCCGCCCCAGGCTCTGAGTTGTGGCTTGAACACTGCACACCTCCACCCTTCACCGCCTGCTGTGGAGCCGAGTCTGTCGTTCCAAGCGTTGTTGCTGATGCTGTCTTGAGCAGACTCTGCTCTGTCCCGCGGCGCCCATGCATCGATCAATCCACCCATGCAAGCGATCACTACCGAGGGCAGCATTTTCGACAATCCGACTGTTGCGCGCTTCTGGTCATGGCCTCTCCGCACAGTTGGCTCGCCAAAGCTGCCTCGCCAAAGCTGCCTCGCCAAAGCTGCCCTATGCACCTCCTAACCTCTTACGGGAATAAACGGGCTGATCATGTTTAGTGCGCAATCACGGGAGCTTGTCCTATGGAGCTCATAGCATGCATCCTCAATCTGGTCCTCCATCGCAGCCATCTATGAGTGCGTCAGGTCCTCCGTCAGGCCCGTCGCCGTATGCCTTTGACGCGGCGCGCAGACGTTCGTTGAACGGTACGTCCCCACTTGTCTCACATGAAGCTAACGCCCCCGCGTTTGCGAACCAAGCTTCGTCTCATGCTGAACTTGAAGCAGCTCCCTCCCACGAGCCTCCATCCTTTGCACGACCCCAAATGCCGCCGCCGTCGTCGCCTCCACAGCAGCAGACGCATCCATCGCAATCGCAACGACCCCCGTACGCGTCAAATTTCGGTGCTAGCAGAGAGCTGCCTGGACTCGGTCAGGCGCATCGGCCGGGCAGCAGCATGTCCATCTCATCCCTCATCGGTGGAGGTGATGCAGGTGCTTCCGCCCAGGCGTCACAGTCACAGACGTCACCTCCCACGAACGCCTCGCTGCCCAACAACCATAGCATGCAGCCACCTTCGCCCAGACGCGCTTTCCCATCTGGAGCACGATCAGACTTTGCTCCTTTCCGTCGACAACCATCCCCTGACAGGTCAATGCATGGTAGCAACGCCTCAAGAGCATCTGAGGGGCATAATTTCTCCGCTGGCTCACCACCGACCCGGCCGTACAGCAACCATGGCTCGCCCAACCTAGGCCAGCAGTCCCTCCCACCTTCGCACCAAGCCTACAAACCCTCAGTGTTTCCGTCGCAAGGTCTCTTCGGACCTTCGCCAAATGACCCTCTAGCTCGAGATGCCCGTCAACCCCCGGGCAGCGTTCCACCCCGCCCCAATAGCCAGCCAAATGGGCCTGCAGGTCCAGCCGGACGAGAGGGAGCGTCGCTCTACGATGCATTGAGAGGGCGTCGTAGTGCTTACGGGCCACCTGAGGAGCGACGCCGAACACTGGGGGAGCAGTCGAGACCTGATGCAGCAGAACTTCTGCGAGGAATTGGTCAAGGTGTGACAGACAGGAACCGACCTGTTACCGTACACCCTGTCTCGCAATCCGCCTTCGATCCACCGCGGGAACAGCATGGTGCTACTGCTTCGAATGAGCCCTCGCGCAGTCTCTGGCAACCATCGGCGCCCAGCGAGCCTTCCCGTGAACCTGCTGAGACTCATCGAGAGGAACCGTCAGCACTTTATCGCAGTTACGGTACCTACCCACCTCCTGTACCGGGTCCTCCACGTTACGGACCCCCAACGTTGAGCGAGATGGCGCCACGACGGAGCTTGGATCAATTGAACAATCGCGTAGTCGAGCAGTACCATGCGCCGCCTACCTCAGATCCCAACTCCAAGGAACGCCATCAAACAGAGCCACTCACCCGCTCCTTCTCTTCAGGCGGAAGCTCGTACCCAGGAAGATCTATGTACGGAATGGGCGAGCCAATGCAGCATTCGAAGTCGCATATCGGTTTGGGGCTGGAGGAGAGCAGGAGGACAGGCCGCGCCTCTCCGTTGCCACAAGCTGTGCAGGGTGCACAGGCACCGCCTTTCATGACGGGCAAAGATCCTGGTATCAAGAGCGAATTCGGGCGCATGTTCTCCGGTCTCGGCGGTCTGGGATCGTCGACACCATTGCGCGGAAGCCCATTGCCTCAGAACGGCCAAGATGGACAAGAGCTTGGCGAGATGATGAGGAGGATCAGCTCACAGCAGGGTAGGAAGCCAAAGAGAGTAAAGGATGAAAGCAATGTCTTCGACGATGACAGCAATGATGGAAGAGGAACCCCGACAGGCGTTCGAGGTACTAAACGCAACAAGCACGCTCATCCTCTTGGCCACCACCATCATCATGCGCCACATCACCAGTAAGTGCTCTAAGGTTCGGGATCTTGTCGTTTGGCATGCTGACATATTAGTCATCACCATCACCATCACCACCACAATGACGACTTAGCCTCAACCGCATCGGCGACCGTAAGTGGACGGCAGTCAAGCCTGCCTCAAAGTGGTCCAGCGCAGCCTGTGCACCACCATCACCATGTTCAAGGCACACCACACCATCATCATCACCACCACACACCTCGTGTAGCACCTCTAACAGCAAAGTTACCTCCGAAGGTTCACGACGTCCAGCCTGTTCTCGAGGAAGCCGCCAAACTTCCCCGCAGACATCTTGGATCCCACGTATACGAAGCCACTACTGACCTACCAAGACCAAACTCATCGTTGGATGATCAATTTGGATACGCATCCAAGCCCAATCGGCTGCCTAGGTTCGAAATAAACCCCATCAACTGCACCTTTACCATCAGAGTGCCGCGATTCTATCTGAGACCTCGACAGAGGCAACATATCGTCCTGGAACGGCATCTATGGGGTGCGCGTGTCTATCGCGATGACTCGGATCCAATCGCGGCTGCAATACACTCTGGCTGGATCCGAGGAGAATGGGACGATACTGTTGATGTCAGCATGCTCGACCCACGCATCACAGCGCCCAACGACCCGAGTGATGCCGAGGACACACTCAACAAGGTCCCTGCGGCTCCGGTAACGCCTCCTGCGGACATGGATCTTCAAATCGAGATCCTCATATTACCGCAACTGCAGGAGTACACCTGCTCTGTAGAGTACGGCATCTCAAGCCGGCAGAGCAGAGGACATGATGGCTTGAGCTTCATGATCAATAAGATCAGATGGGTCGAGGAAGGTATCGGCAGCCGTGGGCAAGAGCGAACAGCAGCGGCGCTGAAGCGTAGACTTGACGCAAGCGCAACTCTTCTGGCTCTCATGAACGGCGGGGACGATCTACACCGTGTCAACGGCATGGCGAAGCTGCACGCCTAATCACGTTTTTCCAAGTTTGTAACGGCCATTTTTTTTTTCTTTTGGATATATTGCATTAAGTAGCGTCCGTTTCTCAGCATCGTAAGATTGTATCATTAGGACGTCCGTTTGAGCATTGCTATATACCCGTAGTTTTATGGCCCTGCCTTTAGCGCAAGGCGCGCATATGTATGGATATCTGGTAGAAGCTATATGAGCAATCTAATGTTTGACTTTGTACACACCTGAATTGTTAAGAACGTGTTGGTCCGCGGACACACATGCAACATGCACGTGCCAGCGATAGTCACCGCGATTGCATCAGAGATAGCGGTGTGTTGTGCTTTTTGCCGTGTTGTGGTGCCTGATAAGGCGATCTAGACATCCCAAGGCCCGAGAGCGGGAAGAGCAGTCTTGTCTCTGTCAAGTCTCCCCTGCCGCAAGGAGTAGAGAATATCCTTCATTTTGCCCGGAAGTACTTTCTACATTCTGTTTGTCTTCAGTCGACCACGAGGCTCACAGCTGCCCCACCAAACAAACACACCATTGCCAAACGAAGCCGCAGCGCCACTTCGCAACAGTGCTCCAACGACGATGGGTCACGCTAGGACCTATTCTATTTCGACGGTGAGTTGGCTCATTTTTTTCTGCAGCGTTCCTGATTGCTCGCGGTCTGTTCGCCGAGTCTGGACGACTGTCACTACACGCTGAAGTCACACGTTCCGGCATTCGGCGGCTCAAGGCATACAAATTGTGGTCCCGCAGTCTAGCCACAAGCAAGTGTCGTCATACTGGAGAGCAGTGCAGCAGCACGCGCACACGAACAATTCGAAGCACAAGGCCGTTGGAGCTTCCCAGTTGCGCCAGATCGGATCCAGCATTCAGGAACACAGATCAGGGCCTGCAATCAGCAACTGTCATTGTCAGCGCTGCGCCAGCCAGGTGGGACAACTTGCTGCGAGCCAACGCTTGTCATCGAATGAGAATCGCTTGTTGCGATTGCTCCACTGAGCCTTTTAGCACGGAGCCGCAGCCCGAACGCTTGTGAAAAGAAGAAGGCCGCTGTTCTAAATGCGGGGAACTGTCGTCCATCATCAAGCTTCCTCTCTTTTCGCTACTCGAGTACCGAGCCGAATTCACGACTCTGTAACGATACACCCCACACCCGTACAACTGCCGCTTCAACCTTCTCTCGCCCTACAGCTCTGCTGTACCCTGGATACTTGTTGACCGCCTACGCCTGGCATTGCCTTAAGCTTCTTTAATACCGCATTTTCACGCCGCACATCGGAAGTCCGCCGGCGAGATTCCGAACCGTATCACCATTCTTAACATTCGCTGTGTTGGAGAGATACTGCTGTTTCCCGCCTTTTTCGACAATTCGAGGAGCTGGTCTCACTGCACAACATGACGGAATCCAACGGCTACTATGCGCCAAACATGCGCGCTGTGCCTGCTGGCGAATTTGTAAAACCGCTCAGAAGAACTAACGGTGCCGGTGTGCAGGCTGAGGACACGCGGATATGCGTCGTCATGGTGGGTTTGCCTGCAAGAGGCAAGAGTTTGATTGCACAGAAAGGTAAAGAGTGCCTCCTATAGCTCATCATTGCCCCTGTACTGACTGGGCACCAGTTGTTCGATATCTGCATTGGTTGTCAATCAAATCGAAAACCTTCAATGTGGGGCAGTATCGTCGAACTGCAACACCGAACCCCTCCGCCGAGTTTTTTGACCAGTCGAACCCCGAAGGAGAGCGACTTCGAAAAGCAGCTGCCGAGGCCGCTGTCAACGATATGTGCAAGTGGTTTTCGGAAGGCAGGGGTCTCATTGCGATTCTGGATGCGACGAACTCCACAAAGAGCCGTCGCAGGTGGATACAAGAGCGTTGTCAGGCCGAGAACATCGAAACCCTGTTTGTGGAATCGAAATGCGACGATGAGGACCTGATCATGAGCAACATTCTCGAAGTCAAGACTACGTCGCCAGACTACGTAGGACAGGACCCAGAAGAAGCTGCAGCGGATTTCCGAAACCGCATCCGAAACTACGAGAAGGTTTACCAGACGATTGACGAAGACGAGCGCGACCTCACGTACGTCAAGTTGATCGATGTGGGTAAGCAGGTCATTATCAACCAGATTCAGGACTACCTTCAGAGTCGCGTGGTCTACTACCTGATGAACCTGCACATCAAGCCGCGATCGATTTGGTTATCACGAGTAAGTTGGTGCTTTTATGTACAGGATCTGGAGTACTAACCGTCATAGCACGGCGAATCGCAATATAACCTGACGGGTCAGATCGGAGGAGATGCAGACCTTTCAGAACGCGGAGACGCTTACGCTCATGCGCTTCCGGGGCTTGTTGCACAGTCTGTGGGCGATGGCCGAAAGCTGACTGTCTGGACGTCAACATTGAAACGAACGATCCAAACCGCACGATTCCTTACTTTCGAAAAGCTCGAGTGGAAAGCGCTCGATGAGCTCGACTCCGGTGTCTGCGACGGCCTCACCTACGCCCAGATCGAGCAGAAATACCCCGAAGACTTTGCCTCACGCGACGAGGACAAGTACAACTACCGTTACCTTGGCGGAGAGTCGTATCGCGACGTGGTCATTCGCCTCGAGCCCATCATCATGGAGCTCGAGCGCAGCGAAAACATCTTGATCGTCACACACCAGGCCATCTTGAGATGCATATATGCATACTTCATGAATGTGCCACAAGAGCAGAGCCCCTGGATGGAGGTTCCGCTCCACACGCTTATCAAACTTACGCCCAAGGCGTACTCGACACAGGAGGAGAGGTTAAAGGCAGACATCCCCGCGGTCAGCACGTGGAGGGGAAAGGGCAGTAAGGCCGAGCACCAGCAGTCAGAGGGACATGCATAGAATGACGCTCATTAGGCACAGTTTGACCGCGACGAGTGAACGGGGCATCGACAATTTCACCAGTTGGTGGTCTAGAGGAAGGAAAAGAGGCGCAAGACTGGCGCATGGGTACTGGCATAGCTTGACATCTTTTGTCTCGGCGTTTTGTGCTACAGCATATACCAAGCAAATATACTTCATTGCTCGCACAGACACAGCGACTTCTGCGCGAAATCCATCTCATCGCTGACATATCTTCGAATCAGATGCTCGAGCTCTTGAGGTACAGAGCAGTTTCCTGTCACATTGGTCCCACCTTCTCAACCTAGCCATCCCCGCGGACATCCCACACCTCAAGCTCACCCCATCATCCCTACGAGCCCGAGCAAGTCCGCAACGCTCGCAACAACCACATCCGCGCAATTCCTGAGCCATGCCGACTAATCCCTGGAGCCCAAGCTCGCAATACTCCTCCACCGTGCTCAACGACCCCTCCGCCATCCCCTTACACGCCGCACCCGCAGCAGCACCGCACGCATCTGCAACCACACTACCACGCCCACGCCAGAGCTCTGCGCAACTACAGCAAGGGCTGCAAGCACAACAGGGGCCGTTCACGGCGGCGCAAAGGAGTGCGCAGGCGCGCGGGAAACCATTCATCACCCCAGCTACTACCAGCGGGAGTAGCAGAAGCAGACACAACGACCCGGAGAGCTACGCACAACGCGAACGGAGGAATGAGGCAGCAGCTATCCTGGATAGTCAGGAGATGTTGATCTGGTACGCGGCAAGTCGGAATGAGAGTGTAAGCCAGACGAGGAGGTATTATTTGAATGTTGTGCTGGGCGTGGAGGAATCGCCTAGGGATTGGAAAGAAGAGTGGGAAGTGCGACCGATGGAAACGGGTGGGCCGGGCAGCCCCAAGGGGAAACCCCCGAAAGGCAAGGGGAAGGAGAGAGAGAAAGAGAGGGAGAGGGGGGCGAAGAAGCGGTTTAGTGCTGGGGGGCCGCATGTTACGTACGGTGGGGGGGAGTAGTGTGGGTTGACACGTGATGGCGTGGTGACAAGGAAGGAAGCTCTCCATCGTGTCTGGAGGTGTTCAGGGTGCTTTGAACGTGGGTGTGCAGCCGGAGTTGAAGGCGTAGAGGAAGTCGCGGTAGGAAGTGCGCGTTACAAGGACCTCAAGATGAGACTTGGTGATTACATCTACAAGAGGCAAACAGCTGCAGGGAGGACGTGCAGGTCTGAGAGACCTAGGAAATCCTTGGGCACTGAGGAGAGCGTGTTTTATTCTTTGGGCAGCATTATACCCCCGGCGCAATGGAGCTTGTGAGCTTGTGCTTAATATGGTATACTTACAGAGAGGAGTATAGGTGCAATTGATGATCTTCTTTGATTCGAAACATTGCGCTGCAAGCGTCCAGTCCTATACATCGCTGCTTCGCCGAGCTACGACACCCATCCAAGTGCTATATACACAACAACAATAACAACAACAACAACATCATCAACAATTTCCTACACTTTAGACCTCGGCACCATCTTACACGCCCTCCTCCATAGTGACATTCCTCCACCACGGCTTTTCAGAACCTCTCTTGGCAAACATCTCCTCCGCATCACCAACCTGCCGTCTCTCAGACACTTCCCTGCTAACCTGGCCACTCAGCTTGAGCCGCATAGCCTTGAGCGCGAGGAAACTGTTGGCCCCTCTCGCTCCATTACGCGCCAGTCCTCGAGACGGTGACCCAGATCCAGAACGTATCAGTTCGCTGGACACCCAGCCACCGTCCCTCGTGACGGGTAGTTGCTATTGGAGGGGTTCCGAGGACGAGGAGAGCCGGTTGAGGTGTAGGTAGACGTCTGTTCCATAGCTGTTGCATTGTTAGAACATGAGCACTGAGGCTGGATGTGTTGGGTGGGGAGGCTTACCCTTCCATACTGATCAGCTTCAAATCACCGCCGAAGTATCGTGCATACAGCCGCGATATGGGTAGTCCGTAACCGAACCCAGCCATCGGGGCCTTGAAATCGCTCTTGTTGAAATCGGGGTCGAGACTCGGTGTTTGATCTACGGTCGTGTACATGTATGTCCAAACCAAGGGGATCGCGGATCGCGGGATACCGCCTCCTTCGTCGGAGATCTTGATTGTGATGTCCTCCTTGCCCTCGGCGACAATCACCTTCGTGACGGGGAAGTCTTCCTTATGCTGGCCGTGGCGCTCTACGACGGCACGCAAAGAGTTCTTCAGGGTCTCGAACAGCATGTGCGACAAATGGCCCGGCACGTACATGAAGCTGATGTCGTTGTTACAGACGAGCTGAACTTTGGGTGCGTCAAAAAGACCGTAATGGTCTTCACATACGAATCGCGCGTTCTCGATGGCTTCTTGAGCGAGTTCGCGGACGTTGGTCTTCGTGCAGATAATGCCGACATAATTGGGGTCTGAGCGGGAGCGCTGGTCGGTAAGGGCGATGTGCTGGCCGATGAGCATACGGATACCGATGCGGGACATGTAGAAGCGGTCTAGGAAGGCTTGTATGTTGTGGTCAATCTGCATCCTTTGTCTCTTGCGCTTCCACTCCAGGATGCCTTGGGCGACGGTTGTTACGACGCTGTCGTGCCGCCTCTTGATCTTCTCCAGGGTGTCTGCAAACTTTGTGTTGTATGCGCTCAGCTCTGGCGGCCACTCCAGACCGTCGTCTGCCGCAGCAAAGTATCTCCGGCTTGATGTTGCGCCCTTGTGGTCTTTCCCGTTGCCGTTGCCGTTACCATATTCTGGCGCAGACCGGTACTGGCCCCTTTGTATGCTGGGATTCTGTGTTGCCTTGATCAGAGGCGGTGGGCGCTTCGCTGGCTTCAAGAGCCTATCTTTGACGTCGCTGGACAGATTCGGCCGGGGAAGCTGGACGAGTTCCTGCACATTCGTGAGTCAGGACTACTTTTAGAAAGACGCCACTGCGCGTACCTCGAACGACTGCGCATACCAATCGCGCACTCTGCATATCGATGGCATCTCATTGAGGCCATCTGGGAGATCACTAAGCTCCTGCACGCGATGTGCTAATCGAATGGGCAGCTCTTCGGAAAGGAACTGTGACGCGCGGAAGAGGGTCCCTGTTGACGGCTTCTCTCCAAACTGCACCATCTGCCGAAGGGAGACACCTGGACTGACATCAGACGATACAGGGACATAATACTCCAAGACACGAACCAGTAGCCGGGAAGTTGCTGTAGTGCTGCTCTGACGTTAGCTCGTGAAAGCACCTTGTGCAACGGCGTTACACACCTTGATGGTCTCCATCAGCTTCTCTGAGCGTTTCCACGACATGACTGCAGATGTTCAAGGCCTTGCGGGCCCTGTCGGTCGTGTTGTCGCCAAAGTGCTGCCGGCGGTCGACGTTCGTCGTAGATCAATATTCCGCCCCGCTATGACCTCAGAAAGGTACTGGAAAGATAGGCCGAGGTAACAATGGCGCACGCTGTGCAATTCAAGATAACAATTCCTGGGGGGTGAGAGGTGCGTGAATGCGTGTCTGCGACGGTGCACGAGGCAATTGAACGTGGGTGGATATCGCAATGGGGCCAGTGACTTGACTAGGATGCAATCCGGGCGACCTGGACTGCACCCCACAGATCACCTTCACGTGTGACCAGGACAGCCGCACGCTTGCAATTTAGAACCCCACGAGTGACAGGAGCCTTGTGTCAACGATGCTTGCTTCTTTTCTGCACTCTGTTGCCCGCGCAATGCAGCCCGCTCAAGCTCTCGTCGTTGCACGCCCAAGCATCGCAAAGCTTCAGCCACAAGCAATGCGCCCGAGGCTCACAAAGCTCCAGTCCTTCGCTCGGCGCTCATCGGGAGTGCCTTCCACAACGCCGAGGTCGCGTGAGGCCAGCACCATCTGCCCCCGTTCTCCGTGATTGGTGGATGCTCTGCTACTGTGGGTCTTCACGGCGTCTGCTGCAGTAATTCGAACCATTTCGACCAGCATACGTTTAGCGTACAGTTCAGAAGATGAAGATGTTCGCGATGCACAGTCAGAATACTCTTCGTCACAAGACGCCAATTGACTACGGTGCTGTAGATGAGCTCCACTGGTAACCATAGATCAAACGCCATAACTCACGAGCCACTATGCGCAGGTTTGCTCTGAGGAAAGAGTTTATTTCCTTCTAGAAACGTTCCAATCTTGAAGTTCGTGGGAAAACAGTCATAGTAACTCGTCTTGACTCGATAGATAATCTTCGTCTTCAACTTCATGTCCATATTCATGTCCAATTCTATATCACCACTCCTCATGTTACCACTCCCCTTTTGCAAATTCTCCTATGTCCGCTGCCTCTGTCTCGGTCCTGTCCATCTCAACTCCAGCACCATCCCCATCGCCGATGATGGAAGATAGTCCCCACCTTCCAAGGTTCTTAGGATCCTACGTCCTTTCACTTAACGTTAAACGCAACATCATCTTTGACCCTTTTGGCAGGTCCGTTAGCTGTCACCGTCCCTTCCAGCGTTGGATCTGACAGAAGTGTAGATGCATCCGCATCTTGCGGCTAAACGTCGGTGCCCTTCCTTGCGCGAGGTTTTGGCTTGCTCTCATGTCCAGGCTTCTTCCCGCCTGGTGGTTTCTCTGGGGCTGTCCATCATTCAAGGGTTGGTTTCAAGCTCGTCAAGACAAGAGTGCCCGTTGAGGAGTCAAATGTGTTTAGGAAAGAGCAGAAACTGAGAAGTAAGTTGGTGTTCAAGACACTGCCGGTCCAGCAAATGGAGGCGGTGGCCGCACTTCGTGTTGCTGGGCTCTTCCGTCCTCTGATGCACACTGTAGTATACGTTAGAAAGCTGACTAGCGTGTAGCGAGGGTGACACTGAAGAGACATTGTGGAAACGTTCAAAGTAGATCTTAACGCTGAAAGAGGCATCTCTTGTCTGGCGGCGTATCAGTGAAGTGCAAGAACTTGTGATCGCAATCTGGCTTGCAACCCTTCCTGCTGTCAGCATCGCTGAGGCTCGACTGTGTCTTCATGTTCTGGAAAGAGGGAAGCAAGACTTGAGTGACTAAATGACCCATATCCATGCACACGTAGCTGCTATATGTCCATACGTTCTGTCATTCTCCTATATGTGCAATAGACAGATATGATCAGTGGTGTAAAGAACGCTAGCCGGGATCATTGCCTGGGAGACGGTCTCCACAAGGAGCCGCACGTCCGGCCAACATTTGAGTGGGCCCTCCGCATGCGCGTCAGAAATTTTACCTCGCATTTCATTGGTGGAAATCCGGCAAGAAAGGAGGCTCTTGAGCGTAGAGCCTTGGGATTGCCGTGTTATCGACAAAGTTCATCCATGACACGTAGCCAAGATCTGTGGCACGGTTCCAGGATGCGATGGGTTCAAGACAAAAGGCTAATGTAAGGTTCGAGTCCAAGGCGAATGGTCACAGCAGAGCATGGAGATGTGATTGAAGAGAAGATCTTTATTTCGAGCGTGCCGCTAATTCCAACCCGAATATGCAGCACCAGAAATCGAAAGGCGCCAGATGATATTCCAAACATAATCTACACAGGGCGGTGGCGCGCCAGAGGCGCACTTCACCGCCGCAATCGTACGTCTAGCGTGGGTGTTGGTACAATCGGAAGAAGGTTTGGTTGAAAGGGACTATAGAAGGGTCATGACGGGTCGGTAGATGAGGGAAGCGTCCGGGGAGGATATAGAGCGCTTATTTGGTCTCCTCCTGGAGGAAGGCGATGAGGTCGTTGCGGTCCTTGGGCTTCTTGAGACCACCGAAGGCCATCTTGGTACCGGGAATGTACTTCTTGGGGTTCTCGAGGTACTCGAAGAGGGTGTTCTCATCCCAGGTGATGCCCTTCTGCTTGTTGGCGTCGGTGTAGGAGTAGCCGTCGACCTGGCCAGTCTTGCGGCCGAAAAGACCGTGGAGCATGGGACCGATCTTGTTGCCCTCACCCTCCTTCAGGGTGTGGCATTGCGCGCAACGGGTCTTGAAAAGGTTGGCACCCTTCTTAGCATCGCCTGTAATGATCTGTTAATAAAAACTCTATTAGGATGAAGCCATCGCCATCGCATCCGAAAAACTCGCCGCCCTTCCTCCCTTGATCGCAAAGCGTGCACCTTGCGGATCACACCCAACGAGATGCTCGAAGCTCGTCTTAACAGCTGCCAGTACCACCTGGCGACTGTTGCTGACGCTGTTCGTGATGCGCAAGCTCAATGAGCGTCGGGAGGCCGTGGCGTGAAGAAAGAGTTGCGATGACGTCCGAAGCTTGTTGAGAACGTGGAAACGTACCCTTCTCGTAACCCATTGTGAATGAAGTTGGTGGTGTTGGGAGTTGGTGATAGAGATGGAGGTTAGGTAATGGAAGCTGGAGCTGTAGATGAGCTTGAAGGCGATAGTAGGAGAAGAAGAAAGACTCGCAAATTTGAGGCGCTTTTCTTGATCAAGGATGAAAGCGTGCACGGGCCGAGAGCGCAAACCGCGCTTTCCCGATGAGGTCACAGCACGGTCGCGCCTGCTTTCTGTTACGCCTGCTGCGTCCAATCACAAATCATTCATTGTTCAGTGAGACCGTGGCTGGGAGTCACGTGCAGCTCGACTGTCCTTGGTCACCACATATTCAATGCAGAATATCACTACAGACCGGTGATTTTATTCGATAAACTTTGCAGAGGCTATGTAGAAGCTACAAGTAGAGTTTGTTTCGAACTCTTGATTCATAGTGATTCATCGCATTAAACATCATTGCCTTCTCGAAGCTCAATCGATCTTGAGAGGAACGCCTCGGAAATTCTCGCCGCCTGTCTCCGAGGTGGCTGCGTTGCCGCGGGATACCGCTTTCTTTATCGATTGCCGATGAGCGCATTCTTGCCGATGAGCGCATTCTTGCCGATGAACTCCTGGTTAGGAATTACAGCCATCACGTGTAGCTGTCCCTCTGTCTGGGCCCGCTGGATTGTAACTCTTGCAGGATGTCCGTTTGGCCCTGCTCAAGCAGACTCTAGCCGTAGCAGTTGCAAGCGAACGAGCCGAGTCAGCAGAAGACCCCTGTCAATGTACCCAGGTTGGTTCGCATATCCGTGTACGATCACGCGTTGGAACTTGCTTGCGCGAGACGTGTGCATAATCACGTCCACTACCCGAATACCCTGCTCCTTCCCTGTCATCGTGATAGCATTCCAGGGCAGACTCAGTGTCTTTGCCTGCGACACTCGTCAATCCTTCCTCAGGGCTTCGTCCGGGGTGTCCGCCCATACGTCAATGTACCATATCTGACCTCATTGTTATCCTGCACCCCGCTGCGCAGCACGAATGGACCAGATCCCCAGCATATTATATGCCGATGAAGACTACACAACATGGCTAATCCTCGGTGCCAGCAGAGGCATTGGACTGGAGTTTGTACGGCAGCTATTAACAAAAAATGAGCGCATCATCGCCACGGTGCGAGAACCATTTGCAGCGCATGCTTCAGCCTTGTGGGGTCAGGCTGGCGGGGATCATGGGAGATGTCGAATGGAGATCTGTGACATACTGTCTGAGGAGAGCATCATAGTATGTTCTGTCCGCATTAAGCACTTTTGAATCTTGGAGCCATTACAACTTCTTGTGGTGTTATAAGCTAACTCGAGGTAGAGATTTGTTTCAACACTGGCCACCATACCAAATTTGAAGATCGACTATGTAGTCTTGAATGCTGGAGTACTGAGATACCCGAATGTAAGGAATCACGAAAGTGTAATATCGACTGAGCTGCACTAATTCCATCAGAGAGCTACTGAGCTGTACGTATCCCTTCACCATACCACTTCCGGTTTAAAGCATGCATCCTCGTCGGGCCTCAGCTGGGGTGCCAGCCACACGATACGCGGTCCCAACCTGATCGTCGTATCTACGTGCTCAGCTGAGGCCCATAATCTGGGAAACCATTGCCAAGTACGTTGGCAATGGCGCTGACTATGGCTGTTGGCAACTGCGACATTACTGTCGATACACCTAGCGATGCCTTTGCCGATAACGACCATAGTGGTCTTGAGAATGGCTTCCAGAACTGTCCAGATAGCGTCAAGGTTAAGGCAATGCTGACAACGATCACAGCTCTTTCGACGAATTCGCCTTCCACCTCCACACCAACACAATCGGACCTATCATAACCGCTCAGAAGCTGCTACAAACCAACATCCCCATCGGCACCATAGTGTTCATGTCCTCAGACAGCGGTTCAGCAGGCCAATTTCGCGAGATGGAAGACGGATTCGCCGCCTATGCTGCCTCAAAAGCAGCCTTAAACATGGCTGTTCGTCACATGGCCGCTGAGTTAAAGAGGAAGGACGATGATACGATTTTGCTGTGCATGCACCCCGGCGAAGTGGCGACAGATATGGCGAATGTGCAGTTGCCGTGGGAGGTGCAGGGGATCATTACGCCGGAGGAGAGTGTGGGGAAGATGATTGAAGTGATCAAGAGTAAGGGGATTCAGCATAGCGGGACTTTTTGGACGTATGAAAACAAGGTAAGCCCCGCACTTTCTCATAGGCGGGCGATGACTGACAATGTATAGCCATACGTTTGGTGACAGACCTTTCGCATTGTATCTACTACTACCTGCATTCTCCGGTAACCCTCCACTAGGATGATACCCCTACTAGAGTGCATAGACACCATGAATGATCAGACCCTCAACTCCGAACCCCGGCGTGCATCGAGAAGCTGACTGAACACTGTCAGTGGCTTGGATACTTACTCGGTGATTTGTAGTGGTCATTACTCGATTTCACTAAAGAGGCGCCTCACAAGATCATTACCCCAATCGAGACGCTGGTCACCTTCGGGCAGCTGGTACCCGGCGGCGCTATCGGTACCCTCGACATTCTCCTCACAGCGTTCATACCTGCCGTTGTTCCCATCCCAGTCAACACAACCCTCAGCACCACAGTCTGCATCGTTGCAGCGCCGGTATGGTCCTTGAGGATCACAGCCCTTCCTCATCTCACGGCACCTCTGGCAGCGTGGCTTGGGGCCAAGTTCTTTGTCGCCAGCATTGGGCTGGTGAAAAGAATCTGGCGAAACAACACTGGCTGCCAGATGTGCCTTCTCCTCTTGTCCTGCTTTCTGCCTTTGGATGAAAGCCTCACATCTTGCACGCTGCTCCTTGCGGATCTCCGCCCTTCTATCCTCCGATGACAAACCCAAGGATTCCTGTGAGTGCTCATACAGTGCACTCATCCCAAAAGGTATCCTTTGCGGGTTCGTCATGAGTGGACGCCATTTACGAGGGCTCTGGTTCATCGCATCCACCATCTCAAGAGCGCTGCCGATGCTTACCTGCTTCTCTCCATATACCACAGGAGGATTCGGAGCTTGTGGTGACGATGGAAAGCCCTGGAGAGTCCACGAGGGGTTCGATCCTTGCACAGCATCTGGTGTAAAACCTTGGATACCCTCAGCTTCGATGGAGTCTCCAAGCCCCAGCTCATCAACATGTTGACTGTGCAGCGGCTTCTTGCTACGGTTCTTCCGTCGCTTCCTGTTTGGAATGCCGACTGGGGGCAGGATTGCGAGAGTGGGTGTTTCCTCCCTGACGGATAGAGTAGGCAGCGGTCGTTGCATGCGCAAGGCATTTGAGTGCCCATGTAGCCCTTGCCGGATCGACTCTTCTTCTTCCTGCTGCCGACGCAGCCGCTCTGCCAATTTTCTGCCCGCCTTCTTCCCTCGGTGAGTCTTCTTCTTCTGTATGGCCCAGTCCCCGAAATCGATTGCAGCGCCAACATTGGTCGGAATGATGCTGTTCTCAGCTTGTATCTGCTCTATAGGGCGTTTCTGCTCCTTGCATCGCTGCCTGGCGACACTTGTGAGCTGAGGCAGCGGCTGACCCAGCATTCCTTTTGGGGTTCTACCTCGCACAGCTATGATCTCGTCGCGCGGAGAAGAGTCAGGAACTTCGAAGAAGGTTGACCTATTGATTCCGGGAGGCGTCACCGGCTCGTATTTGATATTGGATTGCATGCTAGGTGCAAACGATTCCAGCTCCTGCTTCACTTGAGCGAGACTGCGTAAACGTACAGGACACAAAGATAGAGAGCATGTTGGATCGTGATTGTCGATGCCGTGCGGTAGGCTCACTGTCTGTTGGGATGTGCTCATATTGTGGAGGTAGTCGCATCGCCTTCCGGGTTTCGGGTTACAGTAGCCCTTGTGATAGTAGAAGAAGCAAATCAGTGGTATTGTGCTCATGCTGCGAGGTCCTTTTGGTGGATCGAAGGGCTGCGGTGCGAACGTCATCGGGCTATCGTTCGCTGCGAGCACGGATTCCGGTTGTGGTGGAAAGCTGTGCATGAGTGCGAAGTAGGTTGCTCCAGGTTCAGAATGTTGGCCATCAAGGCAGAGACTGAGCGGCCTGAAGTCCCGTTGTGACATGTCGCGCGGGCACTCGAGGATCGAAACGACGTTGCTAAGATCTAACGAGCTGCCTTCTTCGAGCTTGACGCGCTTATTATTGCTCTTGCGCGAGTGTGTTGTAGGGCGTTTGCTGAGTGTGCCGGAATGACTGATGGACAACAGGGTCTCTTCTTGCACAAGTGGGGTTGATGGAGGGGAAAGCAGTTGCGATAGGTCGACGTAATCAGATTCATCATACTCGTTCCTTCCCGGTCCCTGCTGTACCTTCACCTCACCCTCCTGGCCCGTTCTTTCCTCACCCGCATTGCCAGCGGGCGCCTGAGAGGTAATACCATATCGCACTGATACGCCTAGGATGTCATGGTTCGATATCATGGAGGTACCTTCACCGGCCTCGCTCATGTCAGTATCAATGTTGGCGTTGCTGTCGTTGTCGCTCGAGCTCTCACCAGTTGTTGTTGCACGGCTGAATGCTGCGCCGTCCATCTGACCACCCATTTTGCGGCGGCGTCGTTGATACTCCTGAGGCCTAGTCGCGGCCTCTAGATCTGTTCGGAGAGGGCATAGTGGGAGTGCACAGGGCTGAAAGTGACGGTAGCCGGGAGGCGGCGGGATGGGCCAGGTTGGATGGGCCTCATGTGGTCGATCGCATTCATCGCCTCGTCGGCATGCACCATGGTACCAGAAGAAACAAGTTTCCTTTGGAGGACCGGGTGGAGCTGGAGTGGACAGCTGGATCTTCGTGCGATCGGGCAAAGGAATAGAGTTGACACTGGAGCTGATCTGGCTGTTGGGTGCGCTTCGACCATAGTGTGTGTTGGACCCCTCACGGGGTGTTGATGAAGGTCGATCAGTCTGCGAGCGTTGCGCAGGCTGCCAGAACTCAGGACACCCGCAAACTCCATTATGAGTGTCGAAGTGAGGACACTGGCGGCTCTCTTTACTGTTCATGTTCTGTGCTAGTGGTAGGGCTGTTTAATTGAATGTGGTAAAGTGTGTCAGTAGTCGGTTGAATGTTGAGGTAGATGGGCAGAAGTAAGAAAGAGGAGAAACCATGATTGAGAAGTCTATAACCACTGTTGGAATCCCACGTGGCTTTGAACAGGCAGAGGCGGTGTGCAGGTGGAGTGTGAGGCGACAGCGACGTCCTTGGTGAAAGAATGCGACAAGAAGCTGTGCTGTATAAACAGACCATAAGTGGGTGAGTTCGCTCCTGCAGGCGGGAGAGTAAGAGACGGGCAACGGAACGACAGGAAGCGGTCAACACGTATGGAAGATGTACGGTCTGTTATAAATGGGAAACTAGAGAATCGAAATGCTCAAAGGCAGCCGGGGAGCAGCCCTACCACATGGTCCCCAAAATGCGAGACGCCACCTTTACTATGGCATATGTACCAACACTAAACGCAACTAGAGAGACACCAGCGAAGATAGCGAAGGCCCTCAAGTTTCTTGACTCGATGCCAGACCTCTTTAGCTTCCGTTCTTCGTGTTTGCCCAGTTCTGTTAATGTATCGTACTCTGGTACATACTTGAAGTCGAACGTAGTCTCCTCGCCAGCAAGCCCCCATTTCGCCTTGACTATCACATCCCAAAATACTATCTTGGCCCTTCTGACATGGTCGCGGTCCCAGGCAGGGATCAAGCGATTCATGTAACAGTAGACCGCGAAGAAGAGACATTGACCCGCCATCAGCGCCCAGTAGTATAGAGACACTTGTCTGAGACCAAGGGCATCAGATAAGGCGTTTCCATTCAACCATCGTGCACTGGCAGTGAGCATATCGGCAGACACGAACGTTGGTGGCGTCTCCTTCAGGGAAAGAATAATGTTGTTGGCCATGGTCTTTGACATCTCTGAAGGGTGGACTTCGTTGTAGAAGAGTGACTCCATGATGGCCTTTGCCTTTGGCGTAGTGGTGAAGAAGGTATCTGGCGTGCCGAGAATGTATGCGATATATCGCCACAGAGCAAGGTAGTCCTCGATTTCCTGATTGCTAAGGAAGATGCCCTGACGTGGGAAGCTAAGCCAGATCAGTGACGATGAGAACGTGCCGATGGTAGCGATCTGGTCCAGGTCGTTCACCGGTATCCCCCACTCTTTCACGTTGTAGTAATTTGGTTTTGTTTCTGCGAGCTTCAGGATGCGTTGGCGCACCGCTGCATGCAAGAGACGAACTCTTACAGACGAAGCATGCCCTTCGCCACCAGGCTTGATGCCTTCCAAAGACCTGGTACACTGAAGAATGTGCTGTGTAGTTTCGAACAATCGTCTTCTAGCCACCTTCGTGTTGAAGCCTCCAGTGCGAGCTAGAGTCTCGACAACTCGCGCAGCACCCATACCACCAAGTAAGGACTGGAAGGTGAGTCCAGTCAGCGCTGGCCCTCCATACCGATAAAACACATCTTGGCCTCTTTCGATCTGATCCCAGTCTACCCAATCTGGGACAGTGTTGATCTGCTGCCACAGCTTGTCGAGTTTAGGGTCTGATTCGTGGTGTTCCTTGAGTAATGCGTATAGGTCTCGCTGTGGTACCGGATACACCTTTTCCTTTTCTTCATTGGTGCCCTCAGTCCGAACAGGTACTGGCTGTGTGTTGCTGTTCCTTGGCAAGACTCCCTTCTGATGTGGCGAAATGGCATTCAGTCGATCCACACACTCCTCTGCCAGTACGTCGTAAGAGTGTTTCCACGGCTCTGATTGCTCAGGTGTAATGTGATCATCCGTCCATTCAAACTCATAAGCCCAGACACTTCGCTTGGTGAGTTGAAATACCTCTCATAGACTTCCTGATCGAGACGTACCTTCTGGTGTTCTCAGTGCGCCTACGAAATGGGTTGGGCCAAGCCATGCTTGTAGCTTGAGTATTTGGTGGAACGAAATAGGGCGATCGGGTTCACAAGTGCAACAACAGTGTGAAGGAGACGATCAGTCTGTGGCTTTGTATCTCTGGCCCCATGGTACCGTCATGTTCAACCGAGGCGGCTAGCGCATTGGAGGGGACCCCATTTTGCCGCCTTCGACTGCAGATCTGAGCACATGGTGCTTCTGTCGACCGATCGGATCCTGGGAGAGCTTGCTTCCGTGGTGGCAGTTGAAACTTCTCTAAGTCTTGGTGCTAAGTGTGTTGCGTCACCACTCAATCGTGTTGGCTGCACGTTTGCGGCACGTTTGCGGCGAGTATGTCCAAACCACCGATTGGTCGGTCCTTCCTAGAAGTTCGAGTCCGTGCACGAGATTCTAAACTTCGAGATGGAACGGTCTTTACGAACTAATCAACAGTATCCATCATGAACTGTCACTCGTACCCGCGAAGGGCGCTCAGTCTCTTTACTCGATCTTTAACAGACATCAAGCCATCATTCCGTGCGCGACAACTGCATAGCAAACCCAATCGGCCATCAGATCCCTTCCCTGACGCTCGACCATCGCAAAGACCGCGCAACGCTCCTACAAGGTCGCCAAAAGCTGTCGCAACCACGACCTTCGACGAGAGCACAGCAGAATGGACAGTAGGGCGCTCGACTCGTCCCGCATGGCAGGCTGAGAAGGAGGCCATGAAGAAGAAGCTCAACGGAGAAGCCTGGAATCCGCGCAAGAAGCTATCGCCTGATACAATGGAAGGCATACGGCATCTGCACCAGACGCAACCCGACAAGTTCACAACACCAGTACTCGCCGAACATTTCAAAGTCTCGTCTGAAGCCATACGGCGGATACTGAAGAGCAAGTGGCAGCCGAGCGACGAGGAGCACGAAGAGCGTATGCAGAGGTGGGACAAGCGAGGCGAGAGGATTTGGTCGAACCTGGTAGAAATGGGTATCAAGCCACCGAAGAAGTGGAGAGATATGGGCGTTGGCCGTGCAGATAATGGCGACAGGCGGCCTGTTTGGAAGACACGGAGGAGGAACCAGATCGAAATCAGGGACAGCGCTCCTGAGGCATTCCTGCCTGAGGAAGACATTATACCAACTGTCGATGCGTCCGGCAACCGAAAGACAAAGACCACTATACCGCTGTCAGACAGGCTATAGGACTTCGTGGAAAAAGTCGGCATGCGGGCGACTGCATACCGCATACGGATTTCGGGGGCTTATACTATTGACGGTACCCTCAGCCATGGGCAATACCTCAGCCGCACCTGCTTTTCAGGTCCTGCCTCAGCGAGCATGTACACGGCGCACAGGATGAAGTAAATAGAGGCGAAGGCGCTTGGATTGCAACATAAGCGACGCGACTGTCTGACATGCGCAGATCTGCGTCGACGACTTGAATCTGGAAAGCTATACTGAGGCTGATTGATGCTGCATAAGCGGCTGAAGCAGTAACTGGGCACACCAAGCATATAGCAAACTAAACCCCAGCTGAGGTATTTTGATGCTATCAGCGTCAAAGACTGGAAGGTTTTGAGGGAACAAGGAGCTGAGTTATGCTCTGATGAATAAGCACAGCTTTTGAACGCTGCAACCATAGCAATGGCTTCTGTCTTAGCGTGTGAGCAGATCGAGCAGCTAGTGACTGTTGCTCCCTGACTTTTAAATGCTAAAGGCTCCATAACGAAAAGTAGAACAACATAAGTAGACAGTAAGCAGAGGGAACTATTGGTCCCTGAACACCTCTGACCAGAAATAGTTCCACTCAGATGTCGCGTGCTTGACAGGTAAGATTTACTCGGTTTCATTCCGAAATTCCGAAAGACCCTTGAACACTGCCGAGCCAATGAGAAACAAGTGCTTGGTAATTGTGCTATGTGCCGGGATATGCCGTGGGCCTTTATGACATAGCCTGGCGAACTTGACTGACAAACATCGATTGCTTGTCAATCACACCCACACATCACGCACCTATCCATCCATACCACGTCCAGTTGCAGTTGTCTCCTGGAAGTCCCCCTGCGACCATGTCTCTACCACGTACAACTCGCACACTGGCACGCTCCTCGGCGTTCGCATCTTCACGACTCGCCGCATCATCCTTCGCTCCCCGCCCATGTCCACAATGCTCGCGAGCCCTTTCTTCATCGACATCGTACCGTCAATCGTCTAAGCGTCAGATGCAAACTGCGACTGCCTACCAACCTTCGACACTACAGCCTCCACCACCCCCACCGCGAAACTTTGGTGTTCCGGACACATCGATAGCGGGCGGCGCATCCGAGGTAAAATCTTGGACACCGTCGCGGTTCGCTCCAGAGCAGCGGAGTCAAGCACCACAGCAAGAGCGATCAAACGTCAGTCTTCCGGAGGGTGAAGCGCAGAAGACACAGGCAGCACCCATTAAGTCAGCGCGGCCAAGAAGATACAACTTTGGACCCAGGAAGGCGACTATCAAGATCTCGCAATCAGCTGTCGGACATCTACGTGACCTGCTCAATCAGCCAGAGCCAAAGCTCATTCGAATTGGAACAAAGGCAAAGGGTTGCTCTGGATTGGCATACCACTTGGAATATGTGGACAAGCCCTCAAAGCTGGATGAGCAGGTTGAGCAGGATGGCGTTAAGGTCCTGATCGACAACAAGGCTTTGCTGAACATCATCGGGAGCGAGATGGACTGGTTAGATGACAAGTTGAACCAGCGCTTCATCTTCAAGAACCCAAACATGAGTAAGCATCACCCAGTAACGACTTCTTGAACCAAGCTAACATGCAATAGCTGAACAATGTGGATGTGGCGAGTCTTTTAGTGTATCATGATACCCCTCTCATTGTTTTATGTACAGTATTCGTCATTGGGCGGTATGACACAGCATTGCATATGGCGTTCAATTGGGTAGGCTAGGCCTGTTTGTATAGAATGCATTAGACAGTATATATGCATATCACAACACTACAGTTTCCCTGGCTCGTAGTCAAGCACCTTGATATTCTGTAGCAGCTCTCCAGCAAATTTGATAAAGTCTTGATGTGCAGGATCCTTGCTCACATAGTAGTCTCGGTCTTCTTCGCTCTCGAACTCTACCACAAAGCCATGGGTGTAGGGACTCTGGAAGTACCGATTAGCTTCGATGCATCTATGGTGCATAAGATACATACAGCATGACCCTCGTTGCTGTTGTTCCTCCCGCCAGAGAAGGACTTGATGTATGGTTTCTGAGAGCTTGCGTTCAAGCACTTGTCTTGCAATGCAAGCATACGATTACATGCCTACGCAAGTAACATCAGTACAAGATTGAACACCATGGATGATGGAGATAATCACCTCTTCCACCTGAGCATGACTTGCCAAAGGCTTCCACTCAAACAAGACAATATGTATGACAGTCATGGCGAGGTTAAGAGGAAGATATAAAGAAATCGAACGATAACACAAGAGCAAAGAGGATACAGTATGTCAGGCCAAAGATGGGGTACATAAGGCTCACGGAGCTATGACCCCCGCGTTCAACGTTCCGAGCTCCGCAGCCCTGCCGCGTGCTATCTCGTGGCAGCTCCGCAACTGATCAATGAACCCTCCACCATGCCCTCCAGAGAGCCATAGCGCGCACTGCCTCTTAACAGTCAACCATGCATGCTCATACGTTCGACTTACTCGATCAGCAGCTCAGCCACCAAGCTGCATCTCCTACTTGCATAGCACATAACGAACCCCTACGAGCCCCAACATGACGACCATACCGCTGCTCCCGGAGCAGCTCGTGTGTCTGATCATACGATTCTCTGCTTCGATACCAGACCTTTCACTATCCATACCTCTACCGAGGCTGACGCCAACACTCTCCTTAAAGCAGCTCATTCGATCGCACCTGCCGCCTGATCAGGCCTCTGCACGTCTACGCCTCATCTACGCCGGCAAGGTCCTCACAGACACTGCGCCATTGTCGACATCACTCAGACTACCACCTCCACTGCCGCGGGCTGATACATACAAGGAAGATGGGCCAGGTAGCAAGAGCAAGGGGAAGCAACCAGTACGGGACGCGCCAGCTGTGGAATACGGCGCGACAGCACCACCAGAAGCGAAGAAGTACTATATACACTGCTCGCTAGGTGATGCGCTCACTCCTGCTGAGCTGGAAAGCGAGGCTACTTTGGCGCAGAACACCGAGACATCCCTCAAGTCACAGTACGAAACATCACAAGGTTTGGCCAGCCATCGCCGATCCAGCAGCGGCGCACAGAGTAGCAGTAACAATGCCACCCAACGACGAGGCTCCTCCACCACGACCCCGGCACCACAAGGCTTCGACCGCCTTCTCACGTCCGGCTTCACAGCGCAAGAAGTAGCAAGCCTACGCTCGCACTTCCAGACCAACCTCTCCTTCACACATACTCCTGACACCATGCCCTCGCCCGCAGAGATGCGCGTCCTCGAAGATCGATGGCTGGATAGCACAGCCACAGACCCATCACCAGCCTTGACTGGGGAAGCGGATGCGGGATGGGGCGCAGGGTTTGCCGTGGAGGAGGGTGGTCTGGATGATATGCTGTGGGGGTACATGACGGGTTTTTTCTGGCCGCTGGGCGCGCTGATATGGGGTTTCAGGGAAGATGGAGTGTGGTCGAGAAGGAGACAGTTGGCCGTTGTTATGGGAGTGTTGATCAATGCGATCTTTGGTTTCATGAGATGGAGTGCTTAGGAGTACTCGAGGATACAAGCACAAAGCCCGTGCATTAGTCGTGGCATTTGTAGATGATAGGCGCATACGTGCAGCAATACATACCTTTTGACCACTTCATAGCTGAGCAGAAGTGATTAATCAGCACACGCTGTACGCCGCTGGCAATTGGCGACGATAGAGATACTGAGGTTAGGTGTAGTTGATACATTCATCGAAGACTACAAATTGAAGCTACAACAACAATCCGGGGAAGCCCCTAGTACCGGAAAGAACCTCACAATACAATGGCAAGGGCATGGGGTGACCAAATTTTCCACCCCAAAGGCGCGATCTCACGATGCCGTCCAATCTCGCGATCCTCCCCCAACACCCTCACGCAATCCACACCAAGTCTTTGACGGTGAGACAGCAAATTTTTCCCCCTTTACCTCCAAAGGCACCCTCTATACCTCCAAAGGTAGCATCCCATAATTCTAACACTGGCTTTACGTACAACTACCCACTCAAAATGCAACAACAAGTTTGCAACAAGTTTGCGCCGCAAGCATCGTGTTGGCGAGCGAGTCTAGAAGCCGCACGGTAGCCGGGAGACGTGGGCCGATGAGAAGCGACGGGAAACTTGTAACAGCAAGGGGTGTGGGCAATGGGCGTGCGAGGGCAGAAATTTCTAACGCGATGCCGTTAAGTGAAGTCGTTAAGCCTCTAAAGGAATTCGCACGAAGGCTCTGACTGGCCTTTACGTACGAGCTGCTAATTTTGAGGTGCGGCGGCTGATCGCCGACGGAGAAGCGCTTGCGGGAAAGGGCACGGACGCAAATGCTCAGCTTTGCGTGTGCTTTGCGTCTTTTCCGCCCTGTCGTCGACACACGCCCTGCGGGAAAACCATGAGTTGCCTTGTAGCCGCACGGGCCCCAACGCGCCATGTTGCTGAGAAATCCACTTTATTTCTAAGCGTGTGAGGCGTCTGATTGGCTCAAAGTTGACGAAGGTGTCATAGGACAATAATTTTCGATGGATTGCAACATGCGCAAGGCGTGCTGAGTAAAATTCTGTTGCAAGATGAGGTGTAACGGCGTGCGACTGACGATACTTGGCGGGTGTCATGTTTTTGGGGGGCTGTGGTGAGTGCTTTGGTATATAAGAGGGTGGATCGCTGGTCTGAGGGAGTATCAGACAGCACAAGCATCACTTCAAAAGCATCGACTTCGATCTACTACTTCGAATCAAATCGACTACGACTACTTTACTCGATTACTACATCAAGCCAACACACCAAACCACAATAATGTCTTCTACCGCAAACACCCAGAAGAGGCAGAACATCCTCTCCTCCTTCGCCGCTCACGCAAAGGCACACCACGAGGGCATGAACCAGGCCTACTACGGCTCCTCCAACTCCACACCTACCGTCTCCACCCCCGCCTCGCTCGAGACTTCGCGCAACAACTCCGTCGTCGCCGGCATGGTCGAAGCTCCCAAGTCCAAGACCAACGCCAGCAAGCTGTGGACTGCCATCAAGAACCACCATGACGAGATGAACGCAGCCTACACCGCCTTCTACTCCCCGGGCCAGTCTCGCGCAAACTCTCCCCACGGCTCCGTCTCCTCGACTCCCCGCGCCTCTCCCCGCGCCTCGATCGAGGAGCCCCACAGCGAGGAGGCAGCGCCCAAGCAGCCCACCAACCTCTCCAAGCACTGGAAGCAGCTCAAGACCAAGGTCGTCGAGCACCACAGGGGCGTCAATCAGGCCTACAGGGCTGCGTACGGCGCGGGCTTCTAAGTGGAGCGAGGAGAACTGAAATGAGAAGAAAAGTGATTTACTGCAAGCGTTGAATTTGGACTATGGTTCTGCGATATACCATTTGACTTTGTCTGGTTTGGGAACTGCGGGCGTTTATATATGGGAAGGGAAGAGGGATGGAGTGGAGGGATGGAAAAGGAATACCCAATACTACTTAATATTATAATTCGAGATACTATACTATCAAGCATACTTGCGACACACTTCTATTGCCACATCTTGCGTGACTTGGATCTTATCTTGTGAAGACACGCCTTACACACCTCAGTCGTCGATTGATGTTGGTCGACACACCCCTGCGCTACAAATCAGCCTAGGACACAGAGTTCTATATCTAAGAGGGGAAGGAGAGGAGGGGTCAGCTTGCCTAATTTGTTCGTGGCCGAGTAGTAGGACTACTGCTTATTGCACTGCTCTATAGCTCGATGGTCTCCTGTTTGCCGAGCTCGCTCAGAGGTCCCTTCTTGACCATCAAGGTCATGACCTCGTAAAGGGTGTCAGCGGCGGCCATGGTGGTCAGCTCGGCGTTGGTGTCGTAAGCTGGGGCAACCTCGACGATGTCGGCAGCGATCAGGTTGATGCCCTCGAGACCGCGGATGATGGTGCGGAGCTCGCGGGTGGTCCAACCGCCAGTCTCAGGAGTGCCAGTGGCAGGGGCGACTGCACATGTATGTCAGTGTTTGTTCGAGAGGGACTTGCTGCCAAGGAAGGCTCACAAGCAGGATCAAGGGTGTCGATGTCAATGCTGAGGTAGACAGGCTTCTCAGTACCGACCCTGTCTTTGATCTTCTTGATGATACCATCAGTACCAATCTTGTCAATCTCACGTGCCTCAACGATCTGGAAGCCGCAGTAGCCGTCATTCTCGTAGTCAGAAGGTCCGGACAGCGTCGTGCGGATTCCAGCATGGATGTTAGTGTCGTTGGCGAGGAGGCCTTCCTGGGCAGCGTGAAAGAAGTAAGTGCCGTGGTTGATGGCGGCTTGCTCGCTGGGTGAGCCGCCGAAGACTTTAGGCTTCCAGGTATCGAGATGGCTGTCAAAGTGGATAACACTGACGGGACCGTAGTTGCGGTTGATGGAACGGAGGAGAGGAAGAGTGATGGTGTGGTCACCTCCGAGAGTGATCAAGCGAGGCAGTGTGGTCCCTTTCTTAGACGGGCCAGGCTTGTCAGCGTGAGTGTGCGGTGCACGGCTCAGGAGGAGGTTGTGGCCTTCCTCGATTTGCTGGAGCGCATAGGCGTTGTCGTACCTGTTTATCACGTAAGTACTTACATTTCTTAGCTGCAGTGAATCTTTGGGCTTACGAAGTGACCGGGATATCGCCACAGTCAATGACTTTTGCCCACGAGTTGAAGGGGTTCGCTTTCAATGGGACATTATATCCGCCACTAAATCCAATCCTGCGTGAGCCTTTATGCCCAGGCGGACTAAAAGTAAGCATATGGTGCTTTGAAGAGACATACTAAAGATTGAGGCGACGAGAACCTTGTCTGATACCGCTGGGGCCGAAACGGGCACCTGGGCGGTACGATGTGCCAGTATCGAAGGGAGCACCTATTGGGCGTTAGCAACTGCTGGATGTGAGGGTATACAGTATTCCTTCTTACCAATGAACGCAATGTCAAAGTCGACTTTACTAGATAGACATGGGTGGTACGGAAGGCGACCGAAGGTGGAAATGCCGCTGAAGATGGAGTCCGCCTATCGAGAGGTCAATTGATGCTGCAGAGCCTCGACAACAGTTCTGAGCAACGAACCTGTGTACCGCCATCTCCAGGAAGAGTATTGTACCACAGCCCCTCGTGCGGGCCAGCCAATGGCTCCTGATCGTGGTCACGATCGCCATGTGCGGCTACAACAGCTGCGAAGCTGAGGAGAGCTGATGAAAGCTTCATGTCTGCAGAAAATCGAAGCAGAAATGGAATTGAGAAAGTTGAGATGATGAGAAAAAAGAGGTTGTGGGCGAGACCTGCAGTAAATAGCTGGGGAACAGCTCAGACCCCTCTGTATCATCAGCTCTTGACGAGGTCCTGTTAGGTAAACAGCTCGAAGCCACTTTGGCGACATGTGTATGCAGGTTCCGCACCATTTTACCTACATCTGGTTAGGAGCCTCCGGTGAGCTTCAAGTATCGACATAATAGGACGGCAGATAAACGGAGTTCTTGCTTGTGGACTTCGATAGCTGGGCCAAGGGAGCATTGCCCTACGATAAGCGTTGGAGTTGTCCGAAGATTCCAATGGTACGAACAGGGACATCCTCATGAATTTTTACCTCTTGAGACCATCTAGGTACTGGCCATTGCATTCGAGCTGGCATCCAGCTCATGGTCAGATCGTTCAGCAGCGAGGCAGCTTCAACCCCGCCTTGTGGGATGACACTGGAGATCGTACGATTCACCAATGGGAAGATGTCCAGACGGTGCCGTGAGCCTATAATTCAGAATCTCGTGTCTTGGCAGATAGCCTTATCTGAAGCTGGACATGGTATGTATGTATGTCGTTCTCTCGGTACGCTCGCGTATCCGGTGCAGATTCCACATATGGCCAATAGTGCTCCATTTCGTCACGCTCTTTGTAAAGATCAAAAGCACATCATAGGCCGGTGAGAGCTAGGTTCGGATAGTCTCCTTGGGATGCGGTGCGTTGATGCAGCTTGGAATCGGGTGGTAAGAAAACGCCCTAGACCACGACGGGTCAGGCTTGTGCCTAACATGAGGAGATTCGCGGAAGTGAAAACTGTTCACCATGCAGATGCAGGTGATGTCATTGATTGATCACTTAGCGACAGCGTTGAAGCGTGGGGAAAGCGGCGGAGCTTGTGGAGGTGGATGAGGTGTCGTTCGAGCGAGACAGGACAAGGGTCTTAGATACAAGCTCGCTTAGCTACATCGGGCTGGTACTTAACACCGGCTGCATGCTGACCCCGGTTTTCCTATCTAACTCTAATGTCTAAGAAGCGTTGCTAATGCCTGAGAATCCTCTGATTCGCCAATTCCTGGATCAACACCAGCGATCTATCTACAATCTTTGGTTGTGGACTGTGTTCGCCGCGACTTCCTCCGAGACACCCAACTCCGCTCGGTCATCACAGTCCATCCTCTCATATGCCCTCTTGACTTGATAGTTCCAGTCGCTCCACGCTACGATGACCCACTCGGCAAAGCCTACGAGATACAGAGCAATGCATTGGCCGACCCACAAGCCAGCCAGACCCCAGCCGTTGAAGGCAAGCCAGATACCGAGCGGCAAGGCTCCACAGTAGTAGCTGACGATGTTAACGGTTGCACCGATGTGTTGCCTACCCATGCCTCTGAGAGCGCCACCGCAGCTTCCGTTGAGCCCGTCCGCAATCTGGAAGAGAGCGACATACGGCATAACCTTCGCAGTGAGCCTAATGACCTCGATGTCATCGTTGAACATCTTTGCGTAGAAGTCCTTGACTCCCATGAGAATGGCCAGGACAACTACACCGAGAACCATGCTCAGGACCGCCGCTGTATTGGCGGCTCTTGCAGCGCCTTTCGCGTTGCGGGCACCCAGCAGGTTACCAACTCGTGAGGATGTAGCGACTCCAACTCCGAAAGGGATCGTGTTCATGACTTGATCGGTAGTCATGATGACACTCTGCGAGGCCAGAGGTACTGTCCCGAGCTTTCCCGCAACGAGAGCAACAATCTCGAAAGCCCACCACTCAGTTCCAACGTGGATGACGCCGAGGAAAGCCAAACGTGCAAATACCCAGGTATTCTGCAGACATTTGCGGTTCCATCCTCCCCAGCATTCCCATCCCTCGACGAAGCGCGCATATGCGAGAAGAAGCAGAAACGAAGCCCAGTATGCAATTCCAGTAGCGAGTGGCGCACCGAGAAGGCCCATGTTGAGAGTGTACACGAAGACGTAATTGAGTCCTGCACTGAGGGGAGACGTGATCAGGAGAACGTAAGTTCCTGGACGCATGATTTCTATGCCGGTGAGCATGTAGGCCCTTGAATGCGAAGTGACTGCGTACCTTGAGCTTGCATATACTTCTTCAAGGCCTCGAAGTAGATATAACCAATTCCACCAGGGGCAAGAACAGCGAGAAACTTTGCTGAATCTCGCGCAATGTACTCTTCTTGCCCCAGAGCTCTAAAGAGCGGTGCCGAGCATATCCAGAGAATGGCAATAGGTACATAAAACAGCAGAAGTACCACGAAAGCACGCTGCAAGATGATGCCCAGATCATGACGGTTCTTACTTCCAGTGAAGCTAGCAGATGCGAGGGTGTCGATCGCTGTTGTACCTCCGAGAGCGACAAGCCATCCTGTGGCCATAGCGAACATGTAGGAGAAAGCAGCTGTTGCAAGAGCTTCAGGAGACAAGCGCCCCACGATAAGCACCGAGACTGTTTGGAGAGAGTTCTGCAAAGCATATGCGAGTACCACTGGTATAGAACCTTTGAATAACACCCAGAACTCTTGTAGTACAAGCTGAAATTTGGTGCTGGATCCATCTTCAAGTTCGTAGGTTTCGCCAGTCGACCACTCGTCGTGTTGTGACGGAGGCAGGAGAGACGATCGCGCGTTAGGTTCCGCATCCGTCTTCGAAGTTGAAGTTGGTCTGAGCAGTCTTGGGACCCAAGATCGAGTTTTGCCTTCGTTCTCCATGGTGAAGTAGCTCGAGCAGAGGACCAAATCGGTGTGATTGCTTTGAGAGGAGGATAAGGTGACACCTATATGTATGAGAAGTTCTCAAAAACGGTGGAGTTGCTATTTACTGCAACAAGGAAGACCAACCGAGCGCCATGTGGTTCGTGCAATTCAAATTCCCAATGGTGATGAAGTGGATGCTGGTACAACGGGTTGACAATGCTGATAACAGCCTATGTTGACGGCCTATCACCAGTGTGATCACGGAAGCCTCAACCCATTGAATAATAGGGGCGGACGGGTAAAGCTTCCTGCGCGAGGATCTAACTCGATTGACAGCAAGGCGTTGGAGGTTTGTGATTGGATGTGTGTTTGCTGCGGTAGCCTTATCAACATGCATCCGTCTCGTCTTGACTAAGACCCTTCGGTAAGCTTGGAGTGACTCGAGTTATTTCTCACGATCTCAATGGGACCAATCAGGTTTGCGGGGAACGGCGTGGATTGTAGATACTGGTGGAGCCGGGATCGACCGCTCTTAGGAACCGTAAGCCAACGCCCCGTTCACTCTCTAGCACACCTGTGCACCTTGAAGTCAGATAGCGTATACACGGGAAGGAGATCCTGACGCGATTGCAGGGTACATTGGATGCGTAAGGTGTGTGTGCGAGAACGTCCGAGAGTTGCGGTCAACCTTTAGGCGAGTGTGCCGCCTTGGGATTCGCCGAGCTTGCGGGTCTGGCTGTACAGATACTGAATACCTGGCACCAGTTCGAAAGAAGGGCTGGCATCAGTATGAGCTGCCAATGAGACGCCTAATGAGTGGGCACAGTGGGGTACAAAGAGGGAGCGAAAGAAGACAGGGTTTGAGGCTGTTGGAGTGGAAAGAGCCGATTGGTCCGAGTTCCATCCCTCCTCAACCTCGCTCTTTACTCGTCGATCTTTCTTGAAAGCCCATACCCTCATGAAATCGAGAAAGCCGGAATCAGGCAATCGACCGCATCTCCACCACTACTAGGTATACGATCTTCTGAATACCTCCAGGTTTCTCTGTCAGGTAACAACAATCCACCATGCATATCTGTACCTGCTATTTTCGATTCTAGTCCGATTTACTATCAGCTCGCTCACGACGATAGCTTGGCGTTCCACGAACTGAGTTGGATTCAAAGCCATGTTTGGTATTGCGATGAGTCCTCCCCAACACATGCTTACATTGGCGTCCATAGATGTACAGGAGTCAGCATGCTAGCAAGGAAATATTTCAGGCTGTAGAGTTTGGTGTAGAAGATTGTAAGTGTGCATGGAACTTATTGATTCATTGAGGACTCTCATTTTATGTTAGCATCTCGCATCTCCTGGTGTCTTCTCTTGCTCGAAAGAATCCCTTCATATGCCATGTTACTGCATCGATTCTGAACCATCCCCTCTTTAGCAACCTTTGATAGCGACGCTATGATATTGTCAACTCAGTCTCAAGCTGAGAGCGCTCTCTTGCAGCGAGCAGGATTGTCGATGCAAGGGTGGCGTTTCGCGCAGTAATAGTCGGTAGCGCAAAAGCCATAAGCGCACTTGAGAACGCTGGCACGATTCTTGGAACAGACATACCATTTGTTCTCCTTGGGACTGCGGTTCCTTGCGACGAGCTTGGTAGGTACGTCTTCGCTTTGGTTAGGTGCAGAGCGGACTTCCGATTTGGCTGATGGAGACTGGCTCTCGCAAGAGACGGAGTCATCTTTGCACTTTGCACCGCTCTTGCAGTAGTGGTCCGTGGAGCAGAAGCCATATTTGCAGATCAGAACGCCAGTGCGGTCCTGGAAACAGATGTAGTGCTTGTTTTCTTGAGGTGAAGCGTATCTCGCGGCAACTTTGATATCGGGCGCTGAAGCTGGGACCTTGGGGATGGTAGTGTCGATGTCGCTGGATGTGTTCATGATAGGTTCCCCCATGTCAACACATGCAACGCCCTTGTCGTGGTTGAAGCAGTACGCATCGCAGAGGTTGATTGCAGAGCAAGTACCTCCGGCGGTGATCTCGCAGCGGATGACGTCCTTGCCCTCGCAGTGGTACTTCTGCGTCTGCGTGTTCTCCCAGAAGGTGGTGGAGCCGATCGTGGAGTGTGGACTGCCCATGTCGGAAGGTGCACCCAAGGCAAGTGCTACCAAGCAGAGCCCGGCAAGAATGGTCGTGGTGAGTTGCATCGTCGTGGTTGAGTCGCTTTTGGTGTCGATTGGTTTGTATATACTGAGTTGAGTTGCGAAGTTTTACCAGTGCGGAGTAGAGAGTAATACCTCGATGGGGGTGTTTTATCGATGAACGAGAGCGTTTGCCTGCCCCACTTGCGCAGCGCGTGGAGCAAGCGCAAGTGAAGGCAGCAGACAGAAGCTACGGTTGACGGGTGACGGGCAAGAAGTACTTGTGCCGCACTCCTCGGCCATGACGAAATGAAGGTGAGTGAGTCGTCTATTACAAGGTCCAATCTTAGGCCCAAAGTTAGAACAGATGCACACTGGATTTATGATAGGGCGGCGACGACCGAAGTCGTGACTGAGTTGCCATTTTGTTGCTACGTGAGGCTAGCACTGAAATGTCAAGTAGCACCTGAGGAACACCGTCCGTGGAAACGCAGTAGCACGGTACAATACGGTACCTGTCAGCTACCCGAGCACAGTGTCAGCGTGCTACCTCGCGCACACCCGTACTACACAAGAGAACCCAACAGCAGGGAGCCACCTTTCGATTTTCCGGCTACCGATTCGAAGCGCTGCTGAGACAACCAAGCGAAGAGCACTTCAATGTATCACACTTATGTTTGGTGAAAGTCACCAGGTTTGGATGTGCTTATGTCTGGGAGAACAAAGCTAACGATTTCGACCTCGAATGCATGTGATTCAGATGCAGCCACTGGCGGCCAGTGTACTTGTTGCACACTTCAACAGTGTGCGTTTTGTAGGAGTTCGAGACGCCGAGACGACAAGAACGATCTTTCATGGCCATACGGTAAGCTCCAGATTCATCTACTTTCCGACATCTACTCACATGACTCGCCGTGCTCCAAAGATGTATTGCAATGTGCATGGCATGATGCTGATCGTTCATAATGAAACTCCAGCATCATAAACGTGGTTGTTGCTACGCAACGCAACTTCACAATGTGAACCAGCTCTGCTTAAAACTATGAGCAAAGTTCCTGCGCGTCGGTACACTCTGCGTTAGTCCCGAAAAGTAGGTTGTCAATTCTGACTGTCAACTGCCTACATGACATGTTGTTCTACACATTTCTGATTATCAAGGAAGTCTTCAACATGCTCAAAGTCTACTCTAGGCCAACGAATCGCCGGCCGATCGTGGCTCGGAAAGACTCTAAACAGGCTGAAGAACTCGAATTGACTGACGAAGCCATCGCTAAACCCCAGCGCGAGAACTACCGACCGATTAGGGCCGAAGCATCGGAACGACAAGACGATGTTGTACAGGTCAAGCTAACCGAGGTGAACTTTGAGCTGCAAGGCTGTCGGCACATCGAACTGCACGACTGTGCGACACAAACCCACTCACCTAATCATTTTCTTAAGCGAACCAAATTCCGTTACCCTCCGGCAGCGACTATTGAAACACCGAAGGAAATCACTTTCCACGCGCGGTTTCATAAGTACTGGCATCATGAAGGGGTTCTCGGCGAAGGTGGAGATGGTATAGTACATCTCTACCAGCAAGGGAAACGACAAGGTATGTTTATTGCTGTGAAGCTGCCTCGATATTACTCGGCGCGCAAGGATCTGGCGCAAGAGATCAAGAACATGCGCACAATCGGCCAGCACAAGCACATCCTAGATCTATGCCATGCCACCGAAGATTGGTATCCTCACGGGCCGGCGCTGTTCCTCCCAGTCTGCGAGCTCGGCAATCTGGTCGATTATCGCGAGTCTTGGTGCGCGAAGCAAGGGTGGGAAGGCAAGCCTGAGCGTGTATCAGAGATCACGATGTGGAAGCTCTTCCGGGACATGGTGCTTGCTCTGAATTATCTCCACCACGAGCTCGGTACTCGCTATGTCCACAATGACTTCAAGCCACAGAATATCCTAGCTGTTAAGCCGCCAGATCATATTGAAGGTCAAGCCCTGCCTGAAGAGCCCATCTTCAAGCTCTCGGACTTCGCTCGACTCACGCCTTGGCCAACACCAAAGGGCCAGCACCCACAAGGCTTCGACGGTACTCCTGAATATGCGCCGCCAGAAATGGAACAAATTGCTCCTGTCCAGACCTCTGCGGACATCTGGGGTCTTGGTGCTACGCTGCAGTTTATGGCACTTGGCATCAATCCAATCCAGACGCGAGAGGCTTTCGTTCGGAGCCGGAAAGCCCAAGGTAAGACCTATCCTCACCCCGAAGACCATCAAATGTGGATGTCGGAGTATTGGCGCACTCGTGTTCCTACCGTCTTTAGACCAATCAACGTGCCCTTGACGGTGTTGCAGAAGGATTACGATCTGCCTTTCGACCTGCCAGGTTATCATCATTACGGTGCGCGCCTCGGCTTTTGGTATGCACAGCTGTGGAAGCCTGTCGCAACTCGACCTAAGGCTTCGAAGCTGGTTCGAGAAGCAATTCCGCACATGGACGACCACGTTGAGCGCCTCAAGCTCGAGTGTATGAAGCAAATGTTCTGAGGCGAGGGCCACAAAGCGGTTCGTAGGGAACGCTGAGCGTTGGATGAAAAGACCACGTAGGTTGCGTTATGTCTAATACAAAGAAAATCAACTTCTGATACTAAGTGTTACTATTCCCTTGTCATGAAAGTGTCATTGTGTCTTTGATCGTGCTGGAATGAAGCGCGGTCTAGCCATCCATCCCTGTCGTACTCCCGCACCCTGCCCCACTTGACGTCACCCAAACTACAGATCATTAATAGAGATTCCGATACACACAGCTTCCTCCAGTCATTCCTTCAGTCATTTTTACCGACCATGGATTGGACATCGAAGTTGCCTTTTGGGCAGGTGAAGCATGCAGAGCCGCACAAAGACGAGCAGTCGCTCACCACTCTGTTGAGCGCAGATCAATGCGCAGATCTCACGTTCATGATCGCTACGATCACAGCGACCATGCGACAGTCATTACTGGACATTTTTGTTGCTGAGGAAGCACCATTGGACGCCAAAGCTGCCAAATCGGAAGAGCAGACCTTGATAGACGCACCATCTGACCTTGAAAATGTCGAAGTGGCCAAGGAAGGCAAGCTGAAGCAAGAGCGGGAGAAGCGTGAGCAGAACGCAAAGGAAGAAATCGCGAAGCCGGAAGTGCAAGCGTTGAAGAAGGAGATGTTGCAGTATTTTGATGAGTGGAGGGGCAAAGTTATCAGCCGTATTGGCGAGGTGGTGAACTCAAGAGAAGAGGCGAGAGAGCAGACCAAGCACGTCGAAATTCACAAAGTCGAAGGACTTGCCAAAATGTCTGAGGCAGAAACAACGAGCCTCAAGGATCTCTCGCAAAAGGACAAAGACGAGGACACTGCCTTCAAGGAACGCTACCCAGCCGTAGATTCACAGCTCGCACGTCTCGACGAGGCTCAACGCGCCCTGATCCTGCACTCATTGGTTCTCATCCTCCTCAGTCTGAAGCACTACTCGGCACACTCACGAACTCTCCTACTCTACCTCACCAGCTCACTCCACCTCAACCTGTCCATTCTCAAGAAGGACGAAGAGACAGTCGCCCAAGGCCTCCTCGAAGCTGCATCTCAACAGCTCAACGCCGATGCCGAAACAAAGAAGGCGGCAGAAGCCTCCCAGACCGCACGAAAATGGAAGGTCGGTCTCGCCAGCGTTGCAGGTGCGGCACTCATCGGTGTGACTGGCGGTCTCGCCGCTCCTCTCCTTGCAGCAGGTGTAGGCTCCATTATGGGTGGTCTGGGGCTCGGAGCCACAGCTGCCGCGGGTTACCTGGGTACATTGGCAGGCTCCTCAGTCCTCGTCGGCGGCCTTTTCGGTGCATATGGTGCCCGTATGACGGGTGATGCAATGGACGCGTATGCACGACAAGTCGAAGACTTCGCGTTCTTGAACATCCACCGCTCGCAAGACCCTTCAAAGCAGGACAATGAGGCCCGACGTCTGCGCGTGGCCATTGCCGTGAGCGGCTGGCTGCGCAAACCCGAAGAAGTCGTTGCGCCATGGCGCTACATCGGCAAGGGTACAGAAGGTTTCGCTCTACGTTGGGAACTCGAAGCCTTGTTGAAGCTTGGACACAGTCTCGAGACATTCATCACAAGCGCAGCATGGGGCTACGCGAAGAAGAAGATCATCGAGCAGACCGTCTTTGCCGCCATCAACGCAGCGATGTGGCCCCTCGGCCTGCTCAAGATCGCCACTGTACTCGACAATCCGTTTAGTGTGGCGAAATTTCGCGCTGACAAGGCTGGCGAAGTGCTTGCAGACGCGCTCATCAACAAAGTCCAGGGCGAGCGCCCTGTCACACTGGTGGGATACTCACTCGGTGCAAGGCTCATATACTCGTGTCTTCAGCGTCTTGCAGAACGGAAAGCATTCGGGCTCATCGAGAATGTCGTACTCCTCGGCGCTCCATGCCCCTCAGATACCGCAGACTGGCGCAAAATGCGTTCCGTGGTCAGCGGCCGCGTTGTCAACGTCTTTAGCACACAAGACTACATCCTCGGATTCTTGTACCGTACGTCTTCCGTGCAGCTCGGCGTTGCCGGTTTGCAACCCATTCTGGGAATCCGCGGCGTTCAGAATGTCGACGTCACCGAACTCGTGGATGGGCATTTGCAGTACCGCTTCATCACCGGATCTATCCTGCGCAAGATCGGTTTCGAAGACGTCGACATTGCTGAAGTCGAAAAAGCGGAGCTTGAGATGACTAAACAGAAAGAGAAAGAAGAAGCCGAGAGGAGGAAGAATGAGGGTGAGGCGACTGGAGAAGAGGAGAAGGATGGTGAGAAAGAGAAGCAGAAGCTGGAGGGCGAGGTGCAAAAGAAGAGTGAGCAGAGCATGTGGCAGGTCATGCAAGATAAGACGAAAAACCTGGACATTGGAGGCTTCCTTGGGTCGAAGGATGATGCGGGGAAAGTGCCACCACCATCGTCAGCGGCCGTCGGTGAGAACAAGGAGCTCAAGAGGGCCTAGATGCTGTCGGGGTTTGGTTGATAAGGTAAACATACACAGAATCCAGCGAGTACACGAAGAACATAAATAATGAAATCTTATGAGCATCTGAAAGCGTTCAATATGTTCAGCTCCAACTCATATACACATCTGGCTCCTCAAAAAGCTCCCGGCGATGTGCACCTACGAGAAGTCCTCACCCGTCTCCTCGATCGTCGCCTTGATCCTCAACAACAGCGTCGTCTTCCACTTGTCCAACTTACTCAGCTGATCATACTGGAACAACTTATCAGCAAACAGCTCCTGATCGCCCTCCTGCACCGCTGCCGCCAAATCGCACAGCAACTGGTGCTCCCTCTGCTGGCTGAAGCTTGGATCCAGCTCCCTGTACCTGTCGAGCGCAGCATTGACACCGACCTGGTCGCCAGTGCATAGCTGGCAGATTCCGGCCTTGAGCAGATACTCTTTGACAGACCAGCGCATGAGGTTGTTCTGGATGGAGGTTTTGGCAACCTTCTCATAGAGTGAGATGGCTTTGTAGTAGTCCTTGCCTTCCAGGGCGACGAGGTCGGCGGTCTTGAGCCAGAGTTTGTTTGCGAGTGCCTGTTGGGGCTTGTTAGGTTTTGCCAAAAATATAAGGTGGGGTGCAATGTGTACCTCTGCATTGTCCTATTACGTGTTAGAACTTCATACTGAGAATGGGAAACTTGAAGTTGGACTTACACTCTCGTACCAGCCAGCAGCTTCTTCATAGGCTGCACCTGCACGAGCGTTGTCGCCGAGCTCGACTTCGTACAGTTCGGCAAGGTTCTGCTTGTGAGTGGCTGCGCGACGGAAGTTGCCTTTGCTACAGTAGTGTGCAACAGCTTTGTCTAAGCATCTTGCTGCTGCTTCTGGGTCATCCTTGCGGTAGGCCTCTGTCTCAATGTTAGATATTTACTCAGTATTTCAGGTGGAATATTTGTACTGAAGGCTTCTGTGAGTGTGTTGGCCTCGTCATCTGGCTCGTTCAGCTGTTGGCGCTGGACTGATGCTGCCTTTTCAAATGCTTCGCCAGCCTCCTTGCCTGCAAAACGTCAGTCGCCGGTCCCAAGTACCCTGTCTAACTCTTGCTCAATATCTCGTACCCATTTTCTGCATACGGAACGCATTTGCTGCGGCGATGAACTGCTCTGCTGCTGCCTCGTCTGTCACGTGCATTAGTATCGAACTCCATCTTGAACTCGAGATTGCTTAGTCGAACGTACACTTCTCTTGCCGCCCACCGAAAAAGCTGAATCCGCCAGATGCCTTCTGCAGCGAGGTCTCTGCCTGTTGTAGCACCTCGATATCAGTTATCTGCTTTGTGGCTGAGTTCGAGAAGGTGCCCCACCTGACGAAGCAGCGCTCGTGGGTCGCCAGCCATATTTGCGTCTGTGTGGGTATTCTAAGCTGTAGTCCTTGTTCGTGATCTGAAGAGAGGGAAAAGAAAGCAATAACTGTGCACTTCTTGATGTTTGGTCGAGACAGGTGGCTGCGTTAGCTGCTTCAAAGGCGATGACAACCCGGAGCCCGTGCGGCTTCCCGCTGACCTTGAGACGCTTGACCACAAGAGGCTAGTGTCCTTTTCAGCTTCGACGACGATGCAGTTGCCGAAGCTGTAGCTTCCTTAACAATCGTACGCGGTGGTAGTTGAGTGTTTGAAAGCGTGTTTAACAGCTGAAAGAAGTGAGGAACCACCCACACTCGACATCACCGATCCCCACTTTTCGCCGAAGGACCACATCCTCACAATGACCTCGCGGCGCGTGTTACTGAGCGCCAGGTCTCTCTTCCAACCTTCGCATTGCTCTTACCGTCCGTTCCATACGTCATTACAGCTGTCAGCAGCCCAGTCACTCAGAAGTACGGTACCGAACAGCCAGCAGAGACCAGGCATCCACCCAGACGAACTCGAGGAGCTCCTTGCAAAGCCTACCTGGTCTGTTGAATCGCTCCTGCCACCGGAAACACGCGCTCCGGACGCACCAGAAATCACCTCAAAGCAATTACATCATCTGCTGCGACTCTCAGCTTTGCCGCTTCCTGAAACGCCTGAGCAGGAGCAAAAGATGCTAGACACGCTTGCAGCACAGCTGCACTTTGTAGGCGAGATACAGCGAGTGGACACAACGGGTGTCAAGCCTCTACGAGCGATACGTGACGAGACGAAGGAAGCAGAGCAGGAGCAGACAATTGGGCTGGACACACTTAAAGAGGCACTGGCGAAAGAAAAGGTCATTGGCAAGTGGCATAGGCGCATACAGAGGGACACCACGCCGGTCGACGCCAGGGACGTCGAAGACTGGGATGTCCTGGGGTCTGCTGAGAAGAAGGCTGGCAAGTACTTTGTCGTCGAGAGCGAGCGGCCGCCAGAGTGAGGGCCGCAACTATGCATTAAATGTAAGTTTTCAATTACTCGCACCTGTCACAGCTTGGGTATACTAATGTATGCTCTGCAAAAGAGATGAGGAACCGAAAACACAAACAACGCTAACTCCATCGCCCGCCATGGTATCGTGCTTCAAATTGTCTGAGAACAAAAAGACCACCAGGTCCAAAAGTTGAATGAGGATATCAAAGGAAACCAACACGCAGAGTTCAAAGTACACAAAAGGCCCTCGATCTAATTGATCGTGGAGTCAATCAGAGCATCAAGGCAACAAAGCAACGTTCGTCGACACGATACGCTAGCGCATTTCTTCTTGGAGTCGCAGTGACAGAAAGGTTGGTCGTCCTCGATGTCAGATAAGTCCGGCGTTGAGAGTCGGCGTGGTCGTGGTGCCAGCGGAGGCGCTACTGGCTTCGAGGCTTTGATAGCCCCAGGTTTGGTATCTGGTTGGTCCTGCTGGAGGCTTTCACGTGATGGGACGATGATAATCGATCTTTTTGATGTTGGCTTGGAGGGAGTCAGGCTTGGGCGCATGACAGACTGCGGCGCAAAAGAGTACTCGGTTGGCTGCAGCAAGTGCTGCATGTCCCGCGGTGCCGGTGGTGATTGGCGTGAAGGGGACCGAACTTCATACGACTCCGCGACATATCGATCCTGACCGTCCAGATGGTACGCGACTTCTCGATACTTGACGGAACTCGATGAATGGCTCGTCGGCATGACAATTGCTGGCGCCGATGACGATGACGGCAGCGACGGCATGGTGGAGCCAGCAGTCGGCGTGTAGGGATACCACATGCTGAGTACGAAGACACTTTGACTGTGCAAGTGTCTTTTTGATGGATAAGAGTTGAGGTTTGATGGCATTGTGGTGATGCGTGGGTGCAATGGTGGTGAGATGGAGGGGTGACGGAAGAGGAGGTAGGTTTGGAAGGTGGGCGGTGCGAGATATATCAATGCAGGTCAGCCCGCCAAGCCCAGCACCCCCCGAATACCTCTGGCTACCTCCCTTACCACGCTACGCCTCTACAACTACGCGCACCCGCATTACCAGCCACGAGGACTCTCGATACTTCTAGACAGCCGGTAGTCATGTTCGAGAAGGGTCAGTACACGATTTATTTAGTTCGAGCGGGACTCGGTATGCCTCCAGGACACAGCACGAGCGGCCTCCAACATAAGACGCGTTCCTACGCTACTCATGCGCAAATGTGTCTATCCAGATCGACAAGACGCCCCTACGTGACTTCTACAGTCGATGCATCAACTTGCGCTTAACGCCTCACGTCACCTTGCCGTCGCCAAGCACCTTGCCTCCAACCGCGGATCAAAGCTGTTCAGCCATCAATACTAAAGTCGACCACGTTCAAGATACTCGCTAAGGCTATTTCTGATCATCAATGCAAAAATTCCTGGCTCTGCATGCCATTATCACCACATTTCTTCCGGTTTTTGAATATGCCAAGCACTAAGCTAAGCAAAATTCCGAATTCAGACGAACGGACCCCTAACGGATTGGAACGCCTACTCCTCACCCATCGTTTGTCTACACTGGCTAGGTTTGACTATTACAGTTTACCCAGCATGCCAAAACCGTCAAATGCTCTCTTTAGCACACATAAGAGTGTACCAAGTACTACGATGACGGTTGTTGTGATATATGGCCATATCGGCCATCTGTGAATAGGGTCTTTGGCGTAGCGATAACCTGTGCCCTGCTTCCGACTCGGTCCACGGTATCAGTAGGATATGTGGTCCTTTGCTCTGATCATGTACTCCCAAATATCGGGAGCTTGATCCCTGCGTTGCCGGATTCGCTCAAGAAACTACCGTGCTTTCATGCCGTTGAGTTTGACCTTTTTTACTACCCTTGTCTCGACCATGGTCATGCATCGTGGAACACAAGTCTGGATGTGCTTAGACACAAGCTCATCAATCAAACGGCTCTCCGCCTCAGCAACCTTCTGAGTTCGGTGGACACCTAAATGTGTGCATGCGTGTTGCGGCTTCTTGCCGTCTCAGTGCTCCCACTTCGCCGTTTCGATAACTTCTTCACTCTGCTTTTTACGATGAGCTCTGTGGCGTCGTCAGGGGTATCATCAGAGGCATAGTCAGAGACATCGCCCTCAAGCTCCGCCTCCATATCCGACCCCTTGATCTCCAAATCCCTTTGCGCAGCCAGGAAGTCATCTTCGGCAATGTAACCAAACCGGAACTTTGGGCCATTTTGCGTATCCAGCATATTCAGGGATGGGTTTGCGCCTAAGCGAAACATTCTCCATGCTCAATTCTCGGAGGGCCGGTAGGCGAAGTAAATGGACGATGAACGGACTGTCAATGTGCTGCATGTCCAGTTTGAGCGTGTGGAGCTTCGAATAGACGTTGGAACTTGATACACCTTCTGATAGGCTACAACGTCAAAACTGGTGATATTGCATGCACTTCTAGATCGGGTTCGAATATGTCTGTCGTGCTGAAAGACGCCAAGTTTTCCGCTCGTAGAATGATGGTAGCGAGCTCGAAAAGTGAAGGCTCAAACTCCAAGAGTTACTTGATGGTGCACTTCACATATGCGAAGGGCTTGAACTGGGTGATGTCGTTTCCCACCTCCTGGATCCGCTCTGGAGAAGGCTTATCTCTGCTAGGCCCAAGCTCGCCTATACGCCCCCAATGACTTTTGAGGATTCGTAAAAGCTTACATATGGTAGGATCGTGGTGTATTTGTTGGACATGTCCGAGGATGGCCTGGGTTTGAATTGATTCGTACCGGTTATACAGCAGTTGATGTGCAATGGGCTTGAATCGATGGCAGGACCTCGTGAGAGCGGCTAGAGTGCGTCCGAAGTGCTCAAGGTCAGGTCATCGACAGGCTCGCGGTATCCGAGAACCTCGCAGAGTAGCTTATCAAGAATTAAAATAGATGCCATCGTGGCTCAATCGCAGTGAGAGGTTGTTTCTTGCGCCCCTAAAAAATCCTCCTAATAAGTCAGACCAATATCGAATCGTGGAGTTATGTTCGACACTGCAGTTCCATACGATCCAAAGACAAAGACCTGATAGTAGCAGATAGCTCCTTTAATTTGCTATTGTGGCATGCTGCAACGTCCTTGTTGGCTTTGCATGCCTGTAAAAGCCCCATTCTCTGATCTCTCGTGTATACACTGAAGGTCTGTCAACTAATGTGCAGTTTGAAGAGGAAAGGGTTGACTTACTGTGCTTGTCATCGAACATCATCGTATACTTGAAACGCACGCCATGTTTACGGTATGTGTCCTTGATCTGCCAGGAGTCTAGTAGGAGGATCGAATCGGTTGTAGACAGCGAGTTGTAGCTGATCTAAACCTCCCTTCAAACTCGGACTCTCTTCCCACAACTCCGGAAGCGCGCTATAGAAGGCATTCTCGAAACTATAGAACGGAGACCATGTTGTTGTCAGCGTGAGCGATAGCTCATCCAAGCTTGACGGTAAGGTATTGCGCATAACCGGATAGCATCGGAATTGGGGTCAGGCTTGACCTCCCAGAAGTCAGTTGTCCTGTAGCCTGGTCATCCCATTAGTAGGGGAAATGGTAGCGACAGAGGTTTGAGCTAGTCAATTTTTTCAACCCCTTCTAGTCTTTCCTACCAATGGCTACTACCATACAAGGAATGGTCGCCGTCATGTTTGAGTTCCATTCCTTCAGAGAGCTGTTGTGTCGCTGGAGAGCAGTAAGTATCTCCGCAAAACACGGTCGAGAAGTTCCCAGCCAAGCTTACTTGAGATCGTGGTAGTTGTCATACGAGAAACAAGAGAGTGCTTTGAAGCAGCCGACCATGCCTAGAATCCCCTCTACATATCCTTTAGCCTCACCACGCAAGCGGAGTGGTTCGACGCTTGATGTCGATGAAACCATGAGCCACGGCCTCAGTTGCTTCCAAGCGCAGCCTTTGGAGGCGTGGAAGGGCAAACAGATGAAGCAGGGTGGGAGTGCAGGGTCCACACAAATCCATGATTATCGTATGCATTTTCGAATATGCAAAGCCCCCGCGCAGACTGACTGAGATACGTTGTGCTGCCCGCAGAATCGGCTGGAGCCAGATTGGCACCGAAGGTGGGCCAGCGAATCCATGATAGGCTTCGACACCTAACGACCGCAAGTGCGGTGTTTGAAAGATGCGTAAGGCCAGTTTCAAGTGGGCAGGATTCTTCTTGAGGGCTGTTCTATGATCGTGTCGTAATGCCGGGGAATCTGTGATGGCAGCCTGGTAGTCAAGATGGCGTCGGTCAGTCGCTTTGTATTTGTGGTTTCGACTGAAATCATTTATAAAGATTCAGATGTGCTTCAGCGCGGAGTGGAGCGCGCCATCAGAGGCTAGTCTCTGCAAGAAGCCAAGCTGTGGTCGCTGGAAGCTGCTCTCGTATCGACGATATAGGCACCGTTCTGCTATCGGACGAAACTTATGACAGGTCCTGGCCATAGTGGCGAGGGTGCGCGCAGAGTGACGGATATTCCATTCGCCGTCGTTGGCGGTCTGGCTCCACAGTGGTAGTGGCTCGTCGATGGGTTTCAGATGCTCCAAAATCTTTTCGACTAGTTCGGCAGGGAGGTCGAAAAGGGACGCCAGTTCGGATAGTCAGTTTATAGTTCCGTAGTGCCTAGAGTCTGACACCTCCAGGCTGCACCTTCAGTCCAGCCCTTGCAAAACAACGCTGAAAACACGATCTCTGAAAGGACATTCTGTTGATCTAGAAGCCTGCAGTATACCTTGTGATGAGAGTGTTGGTTGCTGAGCTTTCGAAGTTGTAGAGGATCGTTGTGTGCGTACTGAAACTGCAGTGGAAGCAAGGGGCGATATATAGGGCTGCCGCAAATATTCCTTACCGGTTGTTGAACGCCTATAAATCAAACCATGGATATACGATACTTCGTACCAAGCAATCGAATTGACTCACGAGAGTTCTGATTCCTCTGTGGTGCCATTAGTTTGAATACCTCCAGGCTACCCATTCCGCCCTAACATTGCACCGTAAGCCTCGAGATGTAAATATTGGAAAAAGAACAGTCGTGTCAAGTATGGGCTTGTCAGCCTGGCAATTTGCATTGATGCCCTCATCGCGTCAACAACCTTGCGTTCATGTTGACATGTACTGTGATACTTTCGAACCTCCAGCATTGCTGAAGGAAGTTAGTTGTCATGAATGACAGCCTCCCCGCATTTGCAATATGGGATGGCCACTTGGCTGCCATTCGAGGCAAACGTTTGGCCCTTGATAGGGTTCAGGTATCGCGTGCCTTTAAACGCACACTGTTCACTTGGTAAGACATTCATGAGATGCCGACCGATGCATTGCGCCGTTTTTTGTTCGTACTAGGCTAGGCGATGGAGGGAGAAGTTTAGTGTTCGTGGGTTAATCCAGTGGAAGAAGGACCGCTTCGGTTGGGACTGCGGAACCAAGGACCCCCATCAACTGCCAAACGGCATGCAGTAGCCAAGACTCGGTATACACAAGCCTCAAATACAGATGGAAATGTCGCGTTACGCTGTTTGAATGTGTTTCACATATTTGGATATAATCACCTCTACTCTACTCAATCTTACTGCGTCCCCTGCCTCTCATCCCCAGTCACGACATCTCCCTAATATTACAAAAACGCCCGTCAATGTGGTAGTAGTTCGGTTCTTCGTAATCCTTCCCAACGCAAACTCCAAGACTCGCTTTGTCTACACCAACAACCAAACGTGAAAGAAAACGAGCGCTTAGAAATGCCGAGTAAAAGAGGTATCCTGCCCCAAGCCCAAATGCGCGAAATGCCCAATGGTTTGTACAACAATGCAAATGCAGTGAAGAAGAGAACAGCCATGATATACAAAGGCGCCGTATATGCGATGAGTTGTACGAGCCGAGACTGCGAAATGCAAGGATACTGATGCTCAAGCAAGGATCCAAGTTGATGGCGAACAGCGCAGGTACAACTCGAGATGGTGCGTTCGGGATCCCGGATTGTGATGCTTGTCCCTGGTGTTGCATCTAGAGATCGATACCTGCGGTGCATTATGTCCGTGTAAGCAGTCGCAATTAGATGGGCCATAAATGAGATGTCGGAAAGACCCAACTGTCGATTCCAATGTAGATGCGTCTTGCATAGAATGCCGCCAAGAAGATGCAGTACAACTCGAAGAAGAAAACGTCTATGATTACGTGCTTTTGCAATGGTCGGTCTGGGGTATTGTCGTTCGTCGTAAGCAAATGTGGCCGCCAACGTGGAAGGATCACACCGAAGAACTATCCAGCAGTCCTTGGCGAGGTAGAAAAGAAGAAGCTCAAGCGACTTATTTGCAGTCGGACATGAATGAGTTCTTGGGCCAGTCGTAACCGGACGATTGCCTGCATATTCGTCAGTATGATGGTGAGTTGCCAACTATGTAACGATACATACCAGTCTGTGTGGTTGGGGTTTTCGTAAGCAACCGGGTGGTTCTTGATGTATGACGTAGTTTCATAGCCTTCGGGATCGCAGGTCATGATCTCGTTGCCCTCTGGTTGATATATACGAATGTAGTCGATACGCATGATGGCGGGTAACATAGCCGCAATTTGTGCGAAATCGATGGCTGCGAAACTGTTGGACATGCCAAAGTTGGCGATGATGGCCAGAGGCTCCTCTGGAATCACTCGAGTTCCAATGTTGCCATTGGGACGTGTAGCTGGGGCCTTCATCGTCCAGGTCTTGTCGTCGCCCACGTACCAGGTGATGAAGCCATCATCGCCTGTCTTGTACTCAAACGCGTACTTCTGGTACTGCTTGCCATCATACCAATCAGTGTTTAAATTAGTCAGACCAGAAATAGCTTGCTGGTAGGGCCCGCCCTTGTACGAGTTTATCATGGTGATTGTGTTGTCGTAGACCTCCATTTGTTCTGTCAAATGTTAGTAGAGCCTGATGGCTGGACTTGCAGGCACTTACCATAGTCCGGCATGTACCAGGTGTCAAAAGGTGCAGCTTGGAAAGACTGAGATACGACTCCCACAGCGTTACTCTCGCCGGGTCCCAGAAAGTGAACTGAGCCTTCCAGAGCATCGATTTCGGGAGCGCTACGAGACTTGCCAGGGGTGGGGTGGTCTTCACCTGAGCAAGTGCAGGCAGGGAGCCTCATTCCCGGGAGATAGCTGAGACCATCGTATGAACTCTGGTTTGGCGTAATACCAATGTCGCACTTGTCGTGGTAACTGTACGGCCACAGGCCCTCGGTTGAACCAAGGTATCCGGGACGAGCCAAGTTGCCCATGGTCCAGAAACCAGGCCAGAAACCACTAATGTCGCCTCTGCCAGGTAACGAGATACTAGCTTCCAAATGGCCGCCCTTGTAGCACAACTTGTTCCACGACTGGACCATGCCTGATCGGTAGTTGAGGCCGTGGTTTTTGAACAGATCGAACTTGAAGTTCAGTGTACCGTTCTCGGTATAGGCCGCGTCGGGGTCATACCACTGTTGCGTATTAGTACTGATCCAGAAACCTCGACATCCGTGTCGCTTACCTCCAAATCCTGCGTGGCACCGTACCAGATATCCACGGCCTGGAAATATGGATCATCACCATCGTAGAAAGTACGTCCGTCAGTGTTAAATTCGTCAGAGAAAACCAACTTCTGCGTAGAGCCATCGTATGATTTGCGTGTCATTGCAGACTGCGGTGTGTCTGGGTCGACCAGGCCCTTTCGCAGGTTTGTTAAAAGCGGCTCGTGCTCTTTGCCCTTGATGCAAAGCGGGTTGTTCGTGCAAGGTCCGATTTCCTTCTCCGTCAACTTGTCGACGAAAGTACTGCAGAGTTGTCAGTGAATGTCAAACGTGAGTATTGACGTCAGATGCTCGACATACAGGATAGGGTAGCCAATGAACAAGAACAGCAGGCCAAGCACCATGATTCCAAGACCACCCAGGTTGACCATTCCTCTTCTTGTGAAGATATCGCAGTCGCGCTTCTCTTTCTCGCCTGGTTCTGGGTTGTGCAGAGCATCGTCCGCCTCGACGTCTTCTGGAAACAGTAGTAACCCTGCAGACGGATGGATGTTGAACTTCTCCGATACTGTCTGTGTGTTGAGATCCTCTTCGCTCCCTGCCCGCGATGGTGCTCTTGAATCGTCGAATGGCGAGGCGAATGGTCCTCTCGATGACATATCGGACTCCCAACTTGTGCGCCGCGAGGACATGGCCGAATGCGACCGCAGCGGCGATTCATCTCTAAAGGGCTTCATCTTCGATTTTCGCGGCGGCAACAGGAGATCCCCAGATTCTGCAAGACCGACATTGGAATAGATGTTGGGTTCTTGTGTCACTGATCGAAGGCCAGAGCTCGGTGCGGTGCCAGGTCGAAGAGATGCCGTTAATGATCGCGCCGAATTCGTTCGTGCTGTGCTCGGTCGTACTTGGGGCGGCGAGTTGTCGTCCGTTATTATGTCATGCGAGCCAGAGTTGAGGCGGAGATGCGGCGGGTTCTCCCCTCGAGGGGACAGCGGCGCCGACATGGTCAAAGAGCGTATGTGGTGGTGATGCTAGCGATCGTGTCCTATAGCTGCTATAGGGGTCCAAGAAAGGGCGGGCTGCGGCGGCGAATGAGTGTTGTTGTCCGCGGCATGCAACTTGAATGCCTAAGAAGGGAACGACGTGTATAGCGCCCTGCAGGTGGGGGTCAGGGCAACAGCAACGCCAGTATGCGCAATTGAAGCCTCGTGGTACGCAGTCCAAAAAACACGCAGAGGGGAACGCTGCTCGGTATCGCTTCTGGTGAAGAGCAGGAGAAGGGACGCCGCGAGGAGTGAAAATGGAGGTGCAGGCGCACGGGGGAGGTGTCTTGCTCCTAGTCTAAACGGGGGCGTCCAGGGTTGGCAGGTTAAGCCAGGTACCGCCAGGAACGACTTGGCACACTATGTCACTACTCGCAGCAGCAGCGTGCGTGGGGGAAAGCCGGGGTGAACACAGGACCAGTGGCGGTGTCGAGTGGTGTGGTGAGCGGCCTCAAGAGTTACACAGGCAAAAGACTGCAGAAACACCGAATGTAGTACGAAGAAACGGCGAAGTTGGCACGCAGAGGAATCAAGATTCACCAAGTGGCAAGCACGGCCTGAAGCTCAGGGACGAAGATCTCGAAGCTCGAACAAGGAACCAAACAAGGAGCGGCCAATCACCCTGGGCAGCCTCCAAGCAGCTCGACAAGGCGCTTGCATGGAGGCGACTCTTTTCACTGCCGCTTGCGCACCCACTATCCACGCCCGGGCTAAATTTACTCGGCCTAGAAGCTCAACCACAGCAGCCAATTCAACAACATGTTTCAACGGTCAATAGCTCTTCCCTGTGCTACAACTGCCACAGCCTGCCAATCGACGGAGGGAATTCCAAACATTATGCCTGGCCTGGCTCATATTGCTGTCATGCGCTGTCCCAGGGCCACCCTCCCCTGCCCCTTTTGAGATGATCGTCTCCCTGTTCTCGTCGAGTCGTCATGCGCCTGCAGTCCTTGTTTCTGCTGAAACATCGGCATTTCACTCGTCTTCACCGTGTCTTTGCTCGTGAACCTGTCGCACAAGACAGAAAGCAGCATCCTCAGCTGGGTTTGCCGTATTGCTGGGGAAAGAGATGCGTGTGGGCTGGCTAGCTCAGCGATCTTCAACGTCGCGGGTGACGCGTCGCACCACATATAATATCCCACCGCAAAGCGTAACATCGTGTCTTTGAACATGCGCAGCACTGCCACGCTCTTAGTCAGGACGTTGTGAGTGCAGTGTGATCCCAATCTCGTGTTCACGTTCGACATCCGTATCGCTGCTGCGGGAGCGGCTAAACCGTGATCACCGCGACCAAGCACTCTACTGATCCTTCAAGGATTTGGTAAAATTGCGAGGCTGAATCCTGTGGTCGAGGCTGCAATAATTCTTCTCTTAACAATACAACGCCCTGCACCACTAAATCTCACATGCAGTAGGTCAAGAACGCTAAGATATGCCAAAGAAAGGGGTGTCGAAACTTCGGTGACAGCCGCAGCTGCATGGCACGGGAAAGGCTGCGGGAAGGGGAAGTTCTCAAGGCGCCATTCTGAAAGAGTGGCCAGCCGCGGCTAGTGCATGATTGGCCGCTTCAGAACATCGCTGCCAGCAAATGAGCGCTGTGCACTGGAGTTTGGTGTGAGCAATGAAGCTGAGGGAGATTTGGATGGACATGTTTGAGCAGGAATGAGAGTGGGGCGTACCTGAAGCTAAGTGCATGCACATGAAGATGACGTCGATTTGTATGAGACTCCTGCGTTGATACGAGAAAGATCCACTGTTGTGCTATGGAGAAAACTGTCAGCTGTGGATCAAGAGCGTTACCCTCCGAGCACGTCCATACAAAGACCATCTCGGAGTCAGCCGGTGAATTTTGTATGAGCTTTGCAAGCCCGCTGTTGTGACAATGACTGCGTAGGAGAACTGTACAGAATAGTTGCCGAGCCTACAGGACTTGTGCAAAGTCAACTCTGTGGTGAGCATTGCAGCTTCGGTTCTAAAGACCATCGACACAAGCCTTTCACGCACCACAAAGCACTGTAGTATAGCTAATACTTTCATAGCATTCAGAGTATCTAAGACTCAACACTCAACGCCTTCAGTCCCACAATCTTCCCTCCCTCCTTATCCACACCCACAACATAGTACTCCGCCCTCGTACCCTCCAGCTCAACCCTAAACACCTTTACCTCTCCATTCCCAGCCTTCTTCACCGCATCAACAACCTTCTTATACTGCGTCTCAAACCCCTTCTCCGTAACCTCTTTAACCTTATGCTCACCCAATAACTTCTTCAAATCGCCTATGCCGTGTTAGCCATGCCCATTCCTCCTCGTTCCAACACTCGAGGAACACATACTCGCTGACACAGAGCTACCGTCGAACTCGAGAGCGACAGGTTCAAACGGCTCATCCGCATCACTAACATAGTACTCCTCTACGCTCTCCAGCGCCTTCGGCACCGCCGTATTCACGCTCTTCGTGCCGTATCCCTTCTGGCTCAGATCCTGTTGCTCTGCCGGTGCAACGTCCTGGTTTGCTTTCTCGAGGAAGGCAGCATAGTCTGCGTCTGACGACATGGTGCGTGTGGGTGTATATGTGTATGCTTGTGTGAGCGGGCGCGGGGTGGTTATGACAGAGCGTGTTCGTGTGCGGTTTGGGGCGGTTGAGGGGTAGTAAAAGCTTGCAACGCGTGTAGAGGATGTGGTGTAAGGTGCGACTTTGGTTTTGTGAGGCGTGTACTGTGGTAAAGCGCGTGCGACACGTTGTGGGAGCTGGTTCATGGTTTCGCGACAGCGATGACGCAACGCAACTGAGGTGCATGTGCAAGGGCGGCAGCTGCTCGCGGACGTGCCCCACTTACAGCTGCGATTCGCGCAGTCGAAACGATTGTGCGACGTTGATCGTGATAGTTGGGTAGAACATTTTGTGTGACTTGATATGGGTCATCCTGAATACTAGTTGGAAATATAATAAATACAAAGCTTGAGCCGTAATATCGCTTTTAGTGATCATACATGCATGCAGCCAGATGAGGGTATCTCCACTTCAACACCATCTACAGAGCCTCCTAACCCGGTCATGAAGACCCTATTTGAAGAAAGAAAAAACGAGTGACAGAAACTATATACGGAACTCTAGATCGACAAGATCTCAATCGAACGTCGACATGATGCTTTTCCAGAACTTCTGATCTTTGGGAGTCGCGGTGAAAACTGGTGAGTCCACGAGAGTTTGACGAACCTTTGTAGGGCTCAGAAAGGATTCATCGAACAGCTCTTCCTAAGACTTCTGCTCGGCGGGAGTGGCAGGATGAGGAACCCCATTTGTGGGTGCGGTGTGGGGGCTGTTGCGCTCAGACTTCGTACCATTGGCCTTTGGCTCGTCGCCCTCATCATCGTAGTTTTCGTCAACGTCTACGTGGCGAGCGGCTGGCTCATGGTGCTCGGGACGAGGGGCCTCCTTTGCAGGTGCTGGTGTCTCTGACATGCGAGGGAGCGATGTCTGTGCTTGCGGTGGACCTCCGATCGGTGCCAGCGATGGCGGGTGGTGAGCAGCTTCTGATGGGTGGTAGCCATCGTTGAAGCGGCGAGCATCAGGAGCGGCCTGCGGGCTCTGGCGTGGAACTTGCGGTGACGAGACATGGTGTGGAGGTGAGGGGCGGCGGCTGTGAGGCTCCTCGAGCTTCTGACGCTTCTCATCGTTGCTCTGCAGCTTCGGGCTTTCCTCCCATTCCCTATGGCGCTTCGGCGGAGCAGTTGGCGGGCGGTCCTCACGATCTCGCGCGGCTGCTTCGGCCGCAGCAAGAGCAGCCGCTGGAGGAGGTGCACCGCTAGCAATACCACCGCTGGCAGAGGGATCAGCGTGATGCTGAGTCTGGTATGGTCCCTGATATCCGTTGCGTGGAGAGCCAGCGCGGTTCTCGACAAGGGGTCGCACCTCTGGCGGTGGGCTATTTGGACGTCCATATGGTGGAAGAGGCCCAGGGGTCGACTGACCTGGGGGTCCAGCCAGTCCAGTAGGTGGTGGGGGGGGAGGTGGTGGAACACTGCCAGCGCCAGCGTGTGGGCCGTAGTTGGGGTTAGAAATGCGGGTTGGCTGAGGCTGCTGCGCCTGGTGAGGAGGAGGCGGTGGCTGCTGTGCCTGAGCCGGTTGAGGTGTGAGCTGCGGCGGCTGAGGGTGGTACGGGCTGGGAGCCACATGATGCGTCTTCGGCGACGGTGACATGCCACGACGAAGAGATCCTGGACCTGGAGGAGGCGGACCGGCCGGACCAGATGGGCCAGGACCGTTAGTGGGTGGTCGTGGAGGTTCGCCGTAGGTCCTCGGAGGCTCTTGGCGCGGGCTTACTGGGCGCTGAGCAGCATGCTGCGTTGGTGGGCGAATACCCTCGCGCTGCTCGTAGGGGTTGAGAGACTGAGGTGGCAGGCCCGGATCCCTAATCTGAGCCAGAGGACGATCCCAGCCAGCAGTTCCAAGAGCCGGTGGAGCAGGTCCCTGAGGCGGCTGCGCAGGCTGAGAACCCCACTGAGGAGCAGCGGGTCCGTGAACAGAGGCAGGCTGATAAGCTTGAGGATGAACGTCTTGAGGTACAGGAGCATTGCCCTGGTTGGGAGCGCCAGCTGATCCTTGACCATTCTGGAGAAGCTGCAGACGGGCCTTGATATGGACGTTTGAAGGGTCGAGGTCAGCCGCGCGCTGGTATGCGTCAAGTGCATCAGCTGTCTGGTTGTTGCAGGACTCGTACAGGGTTCCGAGATCATACCAGACCTCCGAGATGTTGGGGTTGAGTCGGATAGCGCGCGAGTAGGCGTCCAGAGCATCGCGATACTGGTTGATCTGATAATACAACACACCGATACTGCACCAGAAAGTAGGGTTACGCCCATCCCGGTAGACGGCTTGTTGGTAGGCCTCGTATGCCTTGGGGTACTTCTGCTGGGACATGTAGCATCGACCGAGAAGGTACCAGCTCTGTGCATCGGTTTGATCTGAAGCCACAGACTTCTCCAGATACTCGATGGCCTGCTCCTGACTGGCATAGTTGGTGCTCTGCTGGTGGTGCAGCCAGCCCAGCTGTTGAAGGACTTTGGCGTGGTTGGGATCCCGCTCAAGCACACGACGATAGGCGCCCTTAGCAGCCTCGAACTCCTTCTGCTGCTCGTAGACGTGCCCAATTTGGAACCAGATGTCCTCTTCAGTTAGAGGGCGAGGTGGATTGGTGACGATGTACTTGAAGCACTGTTGCCTTGTCAGAGCTCAACCTGAAACTTTGTTTGCTTGTACTTACGTCCAGACTCTGGTTGAACTTCTGCTGCTGCTTGTATATTATACCGAGGCGGAAGTAGATCTCATTTGCCTTCTCAAAGTTGGGCTCCATGCGCATAACTTGGGAGAAAGCTTCCTCAGCGTGCTCAAGAGAGCCATAGCGGTCGTACAGAATGCCAATGCCATACCAGAGCTTGGGTTCCTGCACAGCCATTAGTCGAGTGTGCGTTTGACTAGACGCATGGTTGACATACCTTTGGATCAGACAGATGGTAGAGCGCTTGTTGGTAGGCAGAGTAAGCCTGCTGCAGATCGTCCATCATGAGGTAGCAGTGACCAAGGCTGCCCCAAACGTCGCCGTTGGCAGGGTCGACCTTGAGAATAGTGCGCAAATACTCTACAGCTTGCGGGAACGCGTCTTTGGTGCGCAAGATGCACGCAATGCCTTGCATGGCTGGCACAGACCACTGGTTGTACTTGAGCGCAAGCTGGTAGCACTCCATGGCGCTGTCCAAGTCCTGCATCTGTTCTGATAGAGAGCCTGGAGAATGTCAGTCATGGTCAGGCACTGCAATGCATGCTCACGTACCCATCTGCGTCCAGACAGCCTCGGTCAACTGGCCCAGATACTGCGACGGCGTCTTGGGCTGGTTGACGTGAGGCGGGTGGCCGTTGACTTGCGCATGCGCTGGATGCGGGCCGCTATGGTGCGGCGGGATGCCCGCAGTGGGCGAGGGTTGCTGGTGGCTCGCCATGGACGCTGATTTGGGGGAGTGCCAGCAGAGGCGGCTATGTCAACGCGCTATATGGCAGCGAGGAGAAGCAGGCAATGTGCCAGCGAGGGGTGATGAAGGCTATATATGTCAGTAAACATCACGGGGTAAGGTGTGGGGATGCAGTGATGCGTACCGTGGTTGCTTCTTCTAAGGGGATCGCGCAGATGAGCGAGTCGCGTATGGCAGAGGCAGTCGCGGAGAACGACAGGAGGGTGCGGAGAGGGCAGGCCAATCAGACAGAGCAGTGTCTAGCAGTGCAGATACACGCGAGATGATGCAGCAATGCACTGGTGATGGGCGATGGGCGGCGTTGAGATGGATGGGCGCGCGCCGTATACTCACTGTGGCCGAGAGAGCGTGAGGAAGCTGGAAGCGCGGAGGAGGGCAAGAAGGGCGGGAGAGCTCGAACAACGCTCTTTGCGAGAAGCGTAACCCTAACCCAGGCCAAGAGGTATCCAGAAGCAAAGTCCCACACTGCGCTAGAGCACTAAAGCACCGTGCAGGCCATGGACCCCATGCTCGTGTTGCGCAAGCCACATCGGGTACATGCCAGTTCGGTGGACCTGTTGGACAGCAAATTGCATCTCACCCACCAGAGCGCCAGGACGCCCGCCAGCACTCTCTCGCTGTGCGCCTGGGGACCGTGTCTGCGGGAGCATGGGAGGCTGTCATGTTATGAGCGTCGCAATGCCCATCATTCAGTGTGTATTCTCGAATCTGATCTCTGACTGGCCAACCAGCGCGATGAAACGGGCACCGCGAGATTTGACGCCGACACCCTGAGCAGCCTTCAAACTCTATCTTGTTTGGCGCGGGTCTGTCACCGGAACGAAGATGACGATTCGGCACCGTTCGTCCCATGTTCGTGTCGACTCCACCCTCGGTTATGAGGGTGAAGCCTGGTCCTTCCGCCTCGTCCAGAAAGGACACATTTAAGCTCTGCACACACCCACCCACTGTCCATGCACCACGGATGAAACAGTGTTCCTGAGCTGACAGCACGGTTTGCATGGAGTGCGGTCGCTGAATCAGTTCGCAGTGCGACCGTCGATGTTGTCGCTATGTGCAGAGTCATTGCAGCCGTTCTTCACAGCAATACATCAGGACAACCACTATGGCGGAATATTATTCTGCAATGATCTCGATATCAGTGACATTCCTCCGTTGCGCAGGCACCGTTGATCCTGCCTGGGCTCCCAAGAAAGTGGAGGCGCCTCTGACGGGTGTACTCCCAGCCACCTGATTTCTGCTCGGCACATTTGCGAGGTGATGCTCAGCTCTACCAACAAACTCACTGCGGCTGCCCATGTCGAGGCTCGCAAAGGACATGTCGCAGGAATATGGGAGAGATTGCATCCTGCATTACGTGCCCTGACCTCACGGCGCTGCGGTGCTGACGCCTTGCAGAAGCAGACGGCAAGCCGCAGGCCGCACAAAGGAGGTTGCACCGGCTGCGCGCACGAGGAGCCGGGACGTGATGGGCGATGGCTGATCTTCTCCACAACCCAGCGCAGAGCTTCGGTCGTCTATTTAGCGTCCTTTTGCGCCTTGGCTTCGCCCAGGGTGTGTGACGTCCCGTCGGCAAGACTCGTGTCACCACCAATCTAACCCTGCCATAACAGCCCGTCATTTGCTGCATGAGCGTGCAGCCGCGCCTCTGTGCTACCCACGCTTGCATCAACGTACCTGGCTTCTGGTGAGCGCATTCAGCTAGTCGAACCATGGTCGGCCACGGCTACACCAAGCCGCCCTGGCCCTATCTGGTGGCTCACAGTGACCGGGAGCGTGACAAGCGACACATCTGTTGGTGCCGCATCGGGCGATGGCTTGAGCAGGCGGCGTTTTGCTGAAAAGAGGTCCCGCCGCCGCTAGAATGCCACAAAAATGCTGGGCGCGTTGGGGTCTTTTTGGAACCGCAGCCACGTGAAGTGGGCTGGTCCTCCGCCACATCACCGAGTGTGGAGCCAGGGGTCTGCGCGTCATCGGCAAAGTAGCCGGAAAGGGATGCATCCATTTGCTAGGGGAGGCTGACGATTGTGAACCAGCAAATACAAGCCTTATTAAATCATCAATCTCTGCTGTCCAGATGTCGTCCAACTTGCCCACTGCGACGATTCAGAATGGTCGTCCTGGTTCGAGCTGTCGATTCAGAATGGTGCCGAGGAGCAGGGCCTCCGCCAACAGACGGCAGCGTGCATTAGGCCGAAACACACCAGCAGATCGCTCTCGTTGCCTTCTCATCAAGGCAATCACGTCAACGCAACGGTATTGGACATTGAGACTTCTGTTGAAAACATGAGGACCTGGTCTGCACCGTTATACGCCGACGTACCTTTTGAAAGGATGACCCTGCACTGCCCTGTCCACAACAACTGAACCCTGCAGTGCCTGCTGGGAGATCTACGCAACGCAAGGCTTCTTAATCTATTGCATTATATATCCATGAGCAAGTTTCCGGTCGCGTGTTGCAGGAAACAAACGACCCGCGACGCAAGACAAATGCCAGATAAGGCATGTCTTGTCTGACAGCTCAGCCTTGCCTTGGCGCAATCTATGGTAGTAGCTGACCAGCAGCCGTCCGACAACCTGGGCATTCCTCTTCTGGCAGCCAGAAACGCACCCTCGCTTCGAACGCATATTCCTATATCAGGACGTATGCAGTGCCGCAGCACCTCAGTGCTTGTGCTGACCAGCCTAACAACATGTCGTGCTCCGGGGAGCGCCATATTCGCTTGTAATATATGCAGTAACCATTTCGTCTGCAGCTATGCGTCGAGGCTCGCGTTTGCCTATCCGCGACTTTTCCGAACCCGCCTGCATGCTGCTACTGCGGCCGATCGGGCCCCGCGTGGAGACAGATGTCTCGTCCAAAGCGCCGTTGGCTGACAGGTTACGCATGACGACCAGATGAGGTGGAGCAACAAGTCTATCTCAAAGCTTGCAACTTGATCAGCATCTGCTTACGCAGCACCTTAATTCCCAGTATCCGCATTCCTAATTCGGTACAGGTCCCTTGGCCAATCGGCATGTGCAGGCCAAAAGGTGACTTGTCGGTCGTGCTGCGAGGAACGGGAGGCCGCATCTGCATGGTGCCAGCTGCATACCCGATCTTCCCCTTGTGGTCGCACAACTGCCCGTAGGTATCGCCCGCAGGCGTCCTCCGCCAACACCGAATGGAGCTTTCCAAGTGTTTTGTCGATTTGCTGGTACTTCCGGTGTACGAGGTAAGCCTTCGTGGTCAACGTTTCCCGCGACGACGCGTGGGTGTTGCGGGTTTGGGATCAGGGCGATTTCGGTACGATCATGGCGGATGGAGGTTGCGACAGACGAGTGTGTTGGCTGGCTGAGACATCTGCGAGGCGCAGATTGTTAACGAGAAAGAAGCAATTATTTTACTGGGCGCTCCCGTGTGGCTTCGGCCGTTTGGGGTGCTGCTTTCCAGTTCGGGTATCTATGCTCTTCACGTCCAGAAGTGGTTGACTTCCAGGCGAAGGGTCAACACTGGAATCGATGCACTCACATACTGTTCCTCTCAACGAAGTATGAGATACTCGTCTCTTTGCTTTGAGGTCAAGACGGAGCGAGAGTATCGTGCATGCTTCTAGGCACTACGCAACTGCATACGGGGTACCTCGACATACAGGGCAGAGGTAAGATATGAACACTCTTCCCTTTGAACAAACGAAAATACTGAACCGTTTCGTACTCGATCGCATCTCGAGTTATTCTTCTCGAGCCCTTCCAACCTTCTTCTAATTTCTATCATATTGTTCTATGATATCTGCAAGAAAGTTTGCCTGGGACAAGGTGCACAGGCTGAGGTATATGCAGATGGGCAGTCGGAAGTCCATCATCATACCTATAGTAGTCTTCGAGACTCCGTTTCTTCCGGAAGTTGCATTTGTGAGCGAGTAAGGGACTATCTGTTGCCTGGTGAACGACGCTTCATCTCGAACGCGACTAGATCACAGTTCAGTAACGAGAGTGCCTCTACTGGTGTCCCTTCTTTTCATTCAGGAACTAAATCCAGTCACGAATTCGCGACAGAAGTCAGTCTTGATAAGGCTGATAAGTTCGGATACCCGGATGACTACCTACTGCAGATTGCCTTTAGACGTATTGCAGCGCTTCCTGCGGACTCGTCTGGATACTGGCGTATAATGTTCGTCTTGCAACCAATACATAGTAAGCCTCGTTTTCAATCTCGTTGAGTCTAATAGCAGCAGAGGTATAGACCATACGATTTCATGCTAAAATACAAGCTGATGTGGTATAGGCCTCCAGCCGACTGAAGCCGCAGAGTTGATATTAAGGAGCACAATATCCACCGAAACATTGTCGCTCGCAAAAGTTCTGGATCGAAGACTGTATGACTAATCATCGACGGTGCAATGTCTCTGTTATGGATAGAAGCTGGTACCCAACTCGTCTACTTGACTGTAGTCCCCCAGAACGTTCCGAAACAGGTTGACGATTGGTCGAGACGAACGGCAACGATCTCCACGGGCCCTACATAACCCTCAGTCATTGCTGGGGAAGTACAGGTTGTCTCAAACTCACTGCTGACAACTATACGCAACTATTGAAGAGATTTCCTTTGCATATACTCTCGCAGTTGTACCAAGACGCGGTGTATGTGGCTCGAAGCCTAGGTCTTCGTTACATTTGGATCGATGCCCTGTGTATTACCCAGCAAGGTGATCAACTCAACGATTGGGGGAAAAAGCTCGAAGTAATGGGAAAGATCTACTCGAACTCATTCTGCAACACATCTGTTGCAGAAGCTCTAGATGGTCAACATGTGGTATTTCACTCCCGAGATCTGGGGACTCTCAACACGCAGGTTACGCGGTTGAACGTGGCAGGTCCTTCAAAGCCGTACCTGATCGCAGACCCTGCTTTTTGGGTGAAAGAAATCACCTATGCTCTAGCCAACACTCGAGGCTTACCTAAGAACATATCGGTGAATGTTGGTCGTTTTTAAAAATCTCAGCACACGGCGACATGCGGAATCGGACGAGCACTGCACGAACCCAGCATACTTGTTTATCCCGGGCCACTGTCGTGAACACCTACACGGCTTGCCAGCTTTCGGTTCCTAGTGACAAATTGGCCGCTCTTTTAGCGGTCGCAAAACAATGAGGCAAATTCTGCATGACGAACATGTGTACCCGGAATCTGAGCTACTTTGGTCACTGGCCAAGAATGGCGCACAAAAAGCTACAAGACCTGAAAAGTACCGCGCTCCAACTTGATCGTGGATGGCGATAGACGGTGAGGTCAACGCCGGAGCTCCATATAAGAATGATAAGATGCAATGGTTATACAAGGTGGTGAGTCTAGAGTTAGAACACTCAACGGACAACGCTACGGGCCCTGTAAGAGGTGGATGGTTGCGGCTGTGTGGTGCATTAAAGCAGATAGTATTGATGCCTGATGGATCACATGACCCACAGAATCAAGACGACTAAAGAATGCTTGTAGATGAAGTTGCAATAAGTGTGCGCATACATGCAGGACAACTCGTGCCCGACGTTAGGCTTGATCCCCGGAATGCGGAGTGTGCAGGCAAGGCTGAGCCCAATGCCTTGTATTGCAGGCCCGCAAATGAACATCCCGATGATGACAGGAGCATTCGTATTCTGTTACTTGAGGTGGTCGACCAAAAGAAAGGGACATATCAGCGTTGGTGTTTGCTTGGGGATGGGGTGAAGATCTGAAACAGAAACTTAGCAAGCGTAGCAAGATGGAGGATCAGTTCCCGTGTGAAGAGTTTTACGATAGACGGCACTTGATTCGGGTGATATGATGGGCCAAGCTCGTACGACTGTCCAGCAGACATCAATGATATGCTAAGTATATCCCGAGGTCTGTCGGGCGGAAAGATGGCAGAGGGGGTGTATGCGCTGATAACGCTCTTGCAGGAGAGCATTACGGAGTGTCTTTGCACGCGCACAAACTCTGTATTATTCTCTCCTTTATGTCTTCTTCTTCATAAGCTCTCTGTTGAGGCTTTCATACCAGCCTTACATCCACTCTTGCTTGGTTGCTCCTGCCTCGCCACTCCTCTCACATATTTCGCGCCGCTTCCTATGTCACCGCTCATACATAGTGATATTTAAAAAACTCTGTTTGTACAAGCACAGCGATCTTCGCAATCTGGCTGATTGAATATTTCACTTTCAAGGTCGCAGAGGGACAGATGCACGACCTACCAGATTTCAGGTGTCACAGTAGATTCCCCTTCGGACTGATCGCAATGTGCATAGTTGCGAAGCGAAGGAACGGGGTGATGCAACATATCTAGACAGTTGCAGCAGAGAAACTGGGAAATCTATCAGTCCAATGTCACGTGCGCTAAGTATCTACATATTCGTCTAAACAGAATGCTGAGGTGTAAGAGATGGGTGTTTTTTGAATTTGAGAGACGACCATTGTATACCTCGCAGACCTCTACCCGCCTATGAGCCCGAGATGTTGTCACTACTGGTGATGACTTCATGGAAACGAGTAAACGATGCCTAATCGCTTCGACGTTTTACCTAGCTATGCCGGATTCGTCCACTCTGAATTACAGGTTTGATGCATAGATCTTGTGGCCCATTGAAAGAAGCCGACGATGATCGTCAGGAAATAATACTGGCTCATCAGGAAGTAATATCCTTGGGCTTTGAAGGGCCACAAGAATATGAGTAGATGGTATGCTGCGATTTCTCACCCACTGCTTCTAAGGCAGCGCTCTCAGAACGCTAGAGACTACAAGTCTGCGTTCGACTTACACGATGATTGCTGGGGTCGGTAGCGCTTGAGCTATACTCGATTGCCGTCTCATGTATACTTCCAAATTATAACAACGTGGAAGGCGAATCGTTGCAAACAGGCACCTGCTGAACAGTAGGAACGATTCAAGGCGCACTTTGCTCCAGCTGGACGTGTGATCGATCAAGCAACTGGAAGAAAGTACACGTGTCCCCTTCATATGGTAACATTTATTGATTTAAACATCAGAGAGTGCCACACGTTGTGATATCTTGTTTCGAGTCCGATCTACGGAAACCAACATGAAAATTTACCGCTCTTGCGGTGCTGCATAGCCAAATCCAGTCATGTCAACAGAGCCTGTACCTGATGCATATGCACTTGGCGACATCATGGAAACGTTGAGAACGGCTTGCTGCTCAAAACCTGGTATTTCTGAAATACGACGAGACCACTGCCCGTAGATGTCAAGAATATTCACAAGAATATCTGTTCATGTCTGGGCGAGGTACAGTGATAGCATTGCCACACCTGGGGCCTGGTGTAAATCATATGTATACACAGGCGTCATCGGTATGCGCCTTGTTCCGGGTGTCCTGAAACCTTCTAGCGCCCCAAAGGCCAATGCACACCTACAACATGTTGATTTCTGATCAATGTTGTTGCATTTATGCACGATGCGCTCTTAACCGGAGTTCGAGCGGGTTACGGCGGGCCAAGTTGAGTAATCGAAAAGACAACTGGAACTCAATGTATCGATGATGGTACCTTTGCGCGGAGCAAAGATAAGGCAGATAAGGTACTACGCGTTCGTTTTTGGTAATCTATGGTCGAGGGTATAAAGAGCCGTATGTCCCGCAGCGCGCTAATTAGGAGCACTGCGCCGCCCTCGACCACACGATTCGTCGTAAAAGAGCGTTTCCTCGGAGTTTGCAATCTGGGCCGTCCATCCGTATTGTGACTTCGTGCGTTCGAGTCGCTCCAATGATGTCACGCTCGATGGACAGATTCAAGGCTCGACTTGCGCGCTACGACAATGCGTGGATGCCGTTGTTCTGAAGAATCCAGGTTGGGACCAGGCTCTCTGCAATTGACAATGCGAGAGAACGCTTGAATGCCGCACTTCGATGCGCTGACTACCACAACGTTTTGTCCGTCGTATTTTTTTATGCCGTGCAGGCCGGATCATGCTTTGATCGACGTGGAAATTTCTCTTCCCCCAGCCGGAGCTTCGTGATCTTCGCCCGCAGCATAGTCCAGGTGTCTAGCTCACACGTGCCTTTTCTCGAATCAACATCCTACCACAGTGTGTTTCGATCTGGCGCATAGCTTCATGCTTCTCCACATGGGCGGCGTTGATCGTCTTGATGGGCGATTGTAGTAAGCCTATAACCAACGATATGCAGTGGTATTATTCCTCCTCTTCACCTCGGCTGCCGCTGCTGTTGTTGCTGCTGCTGTTGTTGCTGCTGTTGTTGTTGCTGCTGTTGTTGTTGCTGCTGTTGTTGCTGCTGTTGTTGTTGCTGCTGTTGTTGTTGTTGCTGCTGTTGCTCCTGCGCCTCAAGCTCCTTCGCCTTCTTCTTCTCCTGGAACCCAGCAATCTTCCTCTCCATCTCTTTCTTCTTCATCATAAGGTCGTCGCGTGCAATTTCGAGTTGCGAAATGATTTCTTCGGGGGTGGCTTGTTGGTAGCGTTTGCGCTCCTGAAAGCTGTTAGCCATGTGCGTCTGTACAATTATGGACGTCAGGTTGGAGAGAGGCCTGTCATATGACAACGTGACGACATGCTGGGTGGTGACATACCTGCTTGACTTCGCGATCAGTCTTCAGTCCAGCGCCGTAAATGGTTCCAGTGACGGTAATGGCAGCGACCGCGCCAGTCATGATCCATCTGCGGATGGCTTGGACTTGTGGTGTAGCCATGGCATGCAACAGTGGCGTAAGTAAAGGAGATATTTGGCCGAGGCAATGGCAGGCTGTTTGTGGTCGAAGTGGTGTGAGATGGAAAAGGTGCAGGAGCTTTGCGGAAGAGCTCCGTTCGCCAAGGCCGTTTCACCGCGGAGATCTCGACGCGTTCCCCGCTCTTTATGCTTGACAACAAACAACAAAACCTACCTCCACGACAGCGAACGCACTATCTTCGACTTCGAAATCACCGGTACATATATCTAAAGACTCAAGAAACACCTCCAAAATGTCGCACAACTCCAGACCCAGCACGTCACGCATCAGCAGCGTGCCTTCGCAGAAGCCCCGCCAGCTCTCGCACCTTCAAGCCCAACTTGCGCATTTGACAGCGAACATGGCGGATCTCGAGAGCCTAATGCGGATGACAGCTGGTCAGGCGCAAGATATGCGCGCTCTGGGAGGATACTCAGGTGCAATGTGAGCGTTGTACTTGTTGTATTTCTGCGACGAGAAGGCTAACGTTGTTGCGCAGGTTCATGGCAGTAAGCAAAGTACTGGGCGAAGAGACCGTCAAGGGCGGCGAAGGCAAAGAAGGCGTTCGTGAGCAGGAGAAGTGAGGAAGATGAGGAACTTGCAGCAAGAATTAGACTCAAGGTGGAGACACCCGTCCCACAGACCGCATCCAAGATACCCAAGATACCGTATCGATGATACTATGGCACCATCCCATGCAGGAAGGAGATAGCGAAGATAGTCGCATTCTTGTATACCCACCGATGCCCAGTCGTTGGGTCGGATACTGGAGCTGGACGGTTGTGGAGAGGATAGCCGACATGTGGACAGGAGGACCAAGGAGTCGGTGCAGAGATATGGCCGGTGTCTCGACAGTTATGCCCATCGGTCGTCGCAGCAGAGTGCGCGAAGGTGTTGTTTTGCACGAATTGTGCCTGCACGTGCCTGGCTTTGTTGAGCACCTGTGGGGGTAGAGCAACGATCAGCACTTCTCTGCCCTAATTGATTTCGAATGAAGCATCTCCGTGCTCGCCGGCGGCCATCTGAGCAACGTTGAATACACTGTGCAGTCAGTATGATACAGTACCTGCTATTTTGCTCGGCGATTCAATACTGCAGGAGCAACGTCCGCGACATCTTATCAGCCAGCTGTCTTACCCCAGATCGCATCTCATTGGCGAGCCTTCTCCATGTTATCCAGTTCCTGCGCGTCGCGCTCGCGTGCGCGCACCTACCAAGATAAGATAGGTTTCACTTACTCCGCGATAGGAAGGACAACACAAAACAATGGCCCAAACGCTCGCAGATAGTAACACAAACTCGTGTTATTGGTGTGCGCGTCTTGACTCTGTAAGGGGAATGTGAGCACTGTAAGGTCCGCTAAGCAATGTCGCTATCATGGCGCAATGATAGCCGATAATGGTCTCACCGTGCTTTCCTAGGCGGGCGGTGTATAAAGCGAAGGCGTGCTCCACGATTCTGATCTGGGATAGACCATCGCATACGATCATTTCGAAGTCCGCTCGCCCTTCCGTTCCGCCATCGACTGTTGAATCCGCCATGGGCGCCAAGCCAGGGTCTTTGAACTTAGACCTGGTCTTCCACCCCTCGACTTCTCAACCCTGAGGAGAATGGAGGACGCCCTGAAGAACTCGAAGGATTCCGGTAGTATCAATATTGGGTCTGTCTAGTCGACCAAACGCTGCATACGCCGAGTCGAAGATACCTGCTCAGCCTCCTCGGATTGTCGCCGAGGTTGCGTTTGGGCATTGAGGCTATGCGCGCACAACACTAGAGCCTCGCATCTCAACACGGGATGTACCGACTCGTACTCGAGATAGCGCCGCACCATCGTCCGGTCCAACAGCCTAAAGCGTTTGTCGCTATCGAAAAGCTGACTGAAGCTGACCAACGACGTTGTCTGAAATCCAAACTGGAAATCCGCACACGCGAGTCTCCACGTCAGCCCAGGAGGGGAGGCACACGAGCAGACCCTCTTCGTCCCGCTGTCCGCGGTTGGCCCGTTGTCGCTCGTGTCTCTCCACTCGCCCACATGTTGATCGTAAAGTCGCGTGCAGAATCAAGGTCATTCTTTCAACAATCCGCGTGCGACTCCAAATTGTATCACGTACCTTTGTATCTCACCCCCACCGTATCCCGCGTGCGCTGCAGGGATCGGATGTATACTTGCATTCCGTGGCGGTTTCGACTGGCTCACAGAAACACGCACCGGAATATTAACAGCGGTCTCGGCGGTAAGTCCTTTGTAGGATTCGAAATGCCCAACCTAGGGTTGGATGCATTCTTGCGGACATTCTTTCGTTCAGCTTGCATTTCCGGGATTCCTTGGAAAATCGCGACCGTGAGCCCGGAGATTCTGGTTCGAATGCTGCAGCGTAGAAGGCGAGAAAGAGCGAAATATGCAAGCACTGACAGCATGCATACGCAGGCCTACAATTCGGTGTTGTCCATCAATTGTCAGGCTAGCCTCGAAATTAGCGGACAGTGTCGGTTGATCTGGGCTTTGCATCCCTGCTTTGCCATGCAAGTCAGATGCAAGTGGCTTGACAGACCTGCAGCATCAGGGAAGCACCTTGACCACCAGTTCCCAAGACAGCAAGCGTTGTGGGGGTCACGCTGCCCTCAGTCTCCAGTGGGCCCTGCCTCTGCGTACAGAATCTAGGTCAGTAAGCCGAAACCGCAGGGCCTCCGCTCCTGATCTTGGTGATGCAGTTGCATCATCAACATCTGAATCGTTATTGTAGGCTGGCTTTGGCCTTTGTTGTTGAGGTCGGCTCTGTCACATGTGACAGCCGCACGGCAGATGCGCGGTAAACAAGGGTCTAGCGGATGCGCGATGTCGAACACCAATGTCGACGGACTGTGGATGAGTCGCACCCTAGCCAGCACTCAAGTACTAACACCACGTAGTGCTGTGATGAACTCGTACCTGCTCCATCAGTACTTGAAGTAGGATGAAAGATCGTTGTTGTACATAGCAAAAATGGGGATTGAAACAATTGTCCCCCACTCAGTGTCGTGTTCGAGACTGGCTGGAAATGTCTTATGAGTTTGTTCAGGGTTATCGATAAAATGTTACAAATCTTCGTGCAGATCTTGAGTACACTCTGCAATATTGCACAACATTGAGACGAGGGTTTGGCGGTGCTGGTGAAGGTCGACAACTCTGCCGTAACGCAATGAGTGTGTGTTTGATATGTTCAAAGATAGCGGTGGAGCACATCGCATCGAGTATGCCCCACTATCCAGTTCTGCGGTTCAAGATTCCGAACTGCGCTCGAACTATACGTGGCAACAATGAGGCCACAATGAACTTGCCAGCCACGAGTGGAGTTGCTGTTGCATTGAGTGCTGGATCGCAATCGCTCCCTGCAGCTCTTTATTGAGGTATGCTCCACATTCCGCATCATCTCCGCAACCGTGCGGAGGAGGGCAAATTTACCGTTTCGAGAGATTGTTCGAAGCGTTGAAGGCCAACGACGTGGTGATGCAGACTCTTCTTTTAGAAGAACCAGCAACTCGTCATGGCTGCATGTACGAACACGAAAAGGCCCTTCTCCGGAGCATGTCCCGTCAAGTGAATGCACCTGCCGTGGGTGAACATGTCACCAAGTTCGTTTCCAGGCTATCAAGCTGCCAGGAGCATCGTCGGATATCCAGAAGCGCTGTCAGAATAGACTAGGTGCTCTGGCCACTGTATGAAACGTGTTGCACGCCATGAGCGCATCCGGTGGTGGAGCTGTCGAGCAGTGGAGCCTCTTAAAGGACCCTGAGATGGTTGAAATATCGGGTAAAGTAGGAAGGAAGGAGGGTGCCGTGACGCAATGAGCGTTCCGCTTTGTAGGCGGAAGGGATGCTGCTACTTCGGATAAATGAAGTGAACGATCTGGAACTGGCGTTAACGCTGCTTTCCCGGCAGTTTCGGAGGCTTTGTTCGTGTTGCAGACAGCTGTAGCGGCGTGCTAGAGGGACCCTCTCAGCGTTCAATTGCGACTCATGAAATGGCCGTTGCCAGCAGATTACGGCCGCGCGACCAGGCGCAAACAGATGGATTGGGATGACGGAGAACTAGAGGCGGAGTTAGCCTCGTCCTGCGGCTTTACAGAGAGCGAAAACGAACAATTGTAGTCGCCGACAGCCAATCAGAGGTGGTGTCTCGGTAAATTTGTATTACCGTGAGCTCGAGCTGGTTGTTAGTGGTGGATCTGTCGTCGTGCAGGACGACAGGACCAAGTGGGAAGGCATGGCGCAGGTCGCAGAGCGACATCCGAAGATCTACATTGGAGGAAGGAGCGCCGCAGACAGACTGCCACTGCTACTTTGCAGAGCAGCGATGATGAGAAAATGCGAAGAGGTGTGTTTTAGAGAGGGTGCAACAGCTCTCATGCAGTGCAACTTTGCCTGGTGTTGAACTGCATGTGCCCGAGAAACTTTCCACATGTGAACAAACGCCTCGCCAAAGATCTGTCTAGGGTTCCAAATTGCCATGCTGCACGGTACGGGACTCGTCTGCGCCTGGCAGGGATGTGCTCGAAGCGTACACGAAGGGACAGGCGTTCAAGCATTCCTGCAGCAGGCCAATCTGCAGGGTTGATGCGCTCGCAGCACTGTCTGTCGCTGCGGCCACGAGCTCCAGCAGGGCAGTCCGCACAGGATGTCTAGCATCTCGGCGTTAGCGGTGTTGTGTGCTCAGCAGGTTGCTTTTGGCAGCGAGTCGCGCGTTTGACGAGCATGGTAAGGCCGTCCGACCTGGCGCACTCGGCTGCACGTTCAAGCATCACCCTGAAGTCCCGCTGCTGACCAGGGGATTCATTGGTGTGCGATGAATCAAGTGGGGGTTTCGTGGGTGCGCCGACATTCTTCGGTCTCCACACGCATCTCACCAGGCCCATCTTCACACCCAGCGACCCGCCAAGCGCCACCGGCTGTCCGTCGCACGCTGAGCGGTAAGCTGCGTATGAATTATTGCGCCGTTCACTGAATGGTCCGAGTGCTGCTGTTCGAGGGCTTCCCCGTGGAGGCAGAACCAGAACAAAAGCAACTCGATCTCCAAGCCGGTGCTGCTGCGTACAACCGCATTACGCACGCCTTGCACCCACCTGCCCGCATACCCCCCTCACTACCCTTCTGGAAGCACTGTTTGTATTCGCAGAAGCACGGCTGCGGTTGCAAGAAAGTGGTCCACACCCAGGCCACACCAGGCCACATACCGCTACGTGGGGTGCGCCCATCCAAATAGAGCACGCGCCGACCGAGCGACTACATCATCGCTGCTCGCAGGCACGTTCCCTTTTGTGCCGTTCAGTCTTTCCTTCTACGACCACCGCAGCCATGGATTTTGAGCAGCTGCGAGAGGGCAGCCCTACGCTGTCACCGGGTGGCATGCTCGACGAACCCATCTTCCCGGCCTTTGGCAACGACGCCAGCGCGGTGAGCCCAGAGTCGCCCACCGAGCTGCAGAAGAACGATCCCTTGGGGACGCAAATATGGAAGCTCTACTCCCGGGCGAAGACACAGCTGCCAAACGCAGAGCGTATGTCCAACCTGACCTGGCGCATGATGGCCCTTAATATGCGCCGCGCAGAGTTCGAGCGCAATAAAGGGTATGAAAGACGCCATACTGCTAAACCGTTTACAGCGCTGCAACTGCGCACGTTTACCTAAGACATAGCTAACTCTGACTGTTGCATTCACAGGCCAAGCTCAGGTCCCCAGAGCAATGAATTGATGTCCCCGCCATCCGCGAGTGCGAGGCCGCCGCCACGGACTGCTCCCAGCGGAATTGCACAGCAACTGAGACGGTCCGCCGACCAGCAGGCGCAGGTGCAGCTGCTGCAGCAGCCACAGCAGCAGCCACAGCCACAGTCTGCGCACGACACCATGAACCTGGACGACTTCATATTTCCTTCTTCAGTCGGCAGTCCTGCAGGATTGTCGCCAGAGCCGTCGAATGGGGCGGAGGGCCCATTTAATGCAGGCCCGGGGGTGCCGATAAGGAAGGCTAATCAGCTCAACGACCACAACCTCTCCCTCGCCCACGCTTCTGCTCCACCAGTTCCTCCACAGATCAACAGAGAGAATGAATTCGGCTACGTCCCCCGGCACGTTCGCAAGACCAGCATTGACGAACGGCGAGTAAGTTGCTTATCTCTGCGCCCATCATGCCCCTCCGCGGTCCTGCTAACGTCCTTATCAGCCACCCAAGCGACGAGCAGAAGCCTCACCGCAGGTCCCTCCTGTCAACAGCATAATGATACCCACCGACGCCCAGGCAGAAGCCGACCTGAACCAGTACTCGCTCGACCACTCGATGCAGCCACCCGCCTTCCCCGCCTCGCAGGCGCAGGTACCCTTCTCGATCGACACATTCCAGATGCACGAGGATCCTGTTATAAGTTCAGCAGGACCGTTCCAGCAGAACTTTGGCTTCTCCCCCGTTGGTTCACCCATGATGAACCACGGCACCTCCTTCCCCAACATCTTCAACCCCAACTCAATGGCCTCCTCCCTCAACTCAACCGACTACTACTCGCCACCCAGTTCAGCCTTCCCCTCCGCCGTCTCGACACCGCAGCCCATGAACGACGATAACCAGATGTACTTCGATCGTCATGGCATGGACATTCGTAGCCAGCATAGCAGCGGTGTCTCGTATGGATCCCACCGTCCTTCGACGCTGTCAAACTCTATGCAGCCTCAGTTCGTTTTCAACCACAATGGGGGAGGACCAGACACAGTGTTCAGCCCTGTGACGAGCGCGAGTTCATCTCTACCCTTCTCAGCGACCTCATTTGGCCACTCTGGTCATGTCGATCCCTCACAAGTCCTCCATAACAGCCTACCTCTTCGACAGCAGCACGAGATGCAGATGCCACGAAACGAGAACATGTTCGCATTTGGTGCCGACTCAGATATTGAAGACGACGAAGGCAGCGCATTCGCTGACCGTAATATGCCAACACAGGAATTTTCGCCAATGGACGATGGTTCACTCGACTTCAATACGAACTACCAGTGGGAGACAAACTTGTCCAACCAGTTCAATCCTATGCAGGCGCGATACCCTGCAGGACCTCCACGCAAGACCGTTACAATTGGCCCCACCGAGATACATTCACCACAGGATCATTGGAGCCCGAGCAGCCTTGGTCGAACACATGGCTCAGCTGCCTCTGTGAGCGACATTCGCAACCGTGGGAACGATCCGCGTCGTGGGAAAATACCCCGTACTACCTCAACACCGAACGCTGCGGGATTATTACACCAAGCTATGCATGGCCGAACCCAATCATCGCCTAACTCACCACCAGAATCAGGTTTACAGTCAGGATTCAGTTCCGCTGCACCGTCTCGTCCTCAAAGTCCTGGCGGGACGAAGCCGGGGGAGAGTGGTGCACCCACAACATGTACCAATTGCTTCACTCAGACGACACCTCTTTGGCGACGCAATCCAGAGGGTGCACCTCTCTGCAACGCTTGCGGCCTGTTTTTGAAGTTGCATGGTGTAGTTCGGCCACTGTCGCTCAAGACAGACGTCATCAAGAAGCGCAATCGCGGCAGCGGCAATCCTCCTGTTGGGCCGAGTTCTACGCGAGCCTCGAAGAAGTCATCCCGTAAGAACTCGATCGCCATGACGCCAGTAACAACACCGAAAGCAGCAGAGTCTGAATCGCCGAAGTCAACAGGTTCCGGTGGCGGTATATCCACTAGCGTTAATCTCGCTCCAGCTGCCTCGAACTCTAAATCGGGCGGCGTAGTCCCCATAGCTCCCGGTCCACCCAAGAACACCAGCTCAGTGAGTGCCATCCAGCCTCGTCCACCAAGCATGGCGCCGAGACGAGCCCGCGCACAAAGCAAGAGTGGCACGCAAGAGTTGGAGATGGCCGATGCCGATGACACGAGTGGGAAGACGCCTCTTCGTAGGAAGGACGCTCCAATTGCAGCCCCAAGTCCATTCCCCAGCCAGAATCTGGGGGCTCTCCCTATGGGTGCCATGGGTCAAGGGCTGCAATCCTCTGGTCCTGCAGAATGGGTAAACACAGTACAAACGTTGAGAACGATCATACACTAACATAAGCACAGGAATGGCTGACCATGAGTTTGTAATCGCCGCGAAGATTCCACTCCTGCAAACGTTCAGAACGAGTCTGAAATACTTGCACTTTCAGCATCACATCCGGAGTTTAGTCTCGTATATGCCGGTGAACCACTTCTGGTCCGTCGCATTTGTGTTTTTGTTTCGGCCTCTTGGACCGAGTTTGATACCTTTTTCTTGCTATGCGTACAGCAACGATTAGACACGGACCGACTCTTGTTTGTTGACATACCCATTCGGTCCTTTTCAGCAGCCAGATGGAGGAGGCAGGCGCTCCATCAAGCTTTACACCGCTCTAATAATGATATGGAAGAGGTGAAGATGGGACGGAAATTCGGCCCCGGTTGGCTTCCGTCTCAAACCCTGTTAGGGAATCTGCATCCTGCACGAGCTTATGAGAGATATCCTGGGATTTGGTTGCAATAGAAGGCGCTTGTGGGGTTTTATCGTATCTTATGGGAGGGTCGATGTCGAATCTGACGATCTCGATGTAGTAGCTGGGATTTGTAGCTCGCGGGGATGTATATAAATGACCGCGCTGAGCCAATTTTCTTTATACATGTCTCGTGGGTTCGAGCAGTCTGAGGGCTTTCAGAAGGAATAATACCATATCATCACCTTCGACTCTGCGTGCCACCAGCTATGTTACTCGCCCACACTCACCACCACTGAGACTTCATCAAACGCGCTATGACATGTTTGAAAAAGCAACAGAAAAAGCTCAAGCCCTCCGGGATTCAATCCACAAATCGGAAGCAAGTCCAACGTTCGGCAAGCCACGATGTCTCGCTTCTTCCCTTCTTCCTCAAACCCTGTCTTGGCGTTCCTTCCCTCCCCACACTGTTCGAGCCAGCTACGTCATCGCCTATGGTCGCAACTGCTGCATCGAGACAACAACAACAACAACAACAGTGACCTTTGACATTTCACCAACCCATATTGGAGCTCTGTCGTACTTTGGTCTCAATCGCCACCATGCCGAAAGCATTGATCCTAGTCGCAGACGGCTCAGAGGAGATCGAGTTTGTCACTCCATACGATAGTAAGATGCTCCAAGTCACTAATCACACCATCACATCAAGCATACCAAACTGACACCATCTAGTCCTCACCCGCGCTGGCTTCGAAATCCAATCCGCAGGCGTCAACCTCAAGAACGAAAACTATGCACAGTACGACCTTCCACGTTCACTTCAAATTCCACTTTCCTGACCTCACACTCACCACCAAACAGCATGACACGCAACATCCGCATCGTCCCCGACCACCCCACCCTCTCCTCCGTAAGCAACCCAGAGAGCTACGACACCCTGATCCTCCCAGGCGGGGCTCCTGGCGCCAAAACATTCAGTAACTCCAACGACGTCCTCCAACTCATCGCTTCCTTCCGGGCACAGGGTAAGTACGTAGCCGCCATCTGCGCAGGCACAACGGCGCTTGTTGCGGCGCAGAAGCTTGCGGCTTCGAGCAAGACGGAGAGTGGCGCGAGTCAGAAGGTCAAGATTACGAGTCATCCGAGTGTGAAGGACGAGATTAAGGAGGCGGGGTGGGAGTATAGTGAGGAGAGGGTTGTTGTTGATAGGAGGGTGGTTACTTCGAGAGGGTAAGTTAGTTCTATTTCTTGTCTGCAAGAGCTATGTCTCGGAACATGTTCGAGAAAGTCGCTGATAATACCGCAGACCTGGCACAGCGATGTTGTTCGCACTTACGATTGTAGAGGTGCTGGTAGGCAAGGAGAAGAGGGATGAGATTTCAGGACCACTCATCGTAGCGGATAATTTGTGAGCATAACCTTGAAACTCCTTTTTGCGCTCAGTATAGATTGGTCGTGGTGCACAGAAAGATCAGCAACTACTTCGTAATCCTTCATTTCCCGGAAGCGTGCAGCCGAGTCACACCGTTGGTGTACTTACTTCACACAATGAAGAGGTAATTAGAGTTTTGATGTATGCAGACATTGTCATGAGTTCTATCTGAAGGGGTGAAACTCCACCATACCGAGCTACACGAATTCCGGTAAATGACCGCTTATGCATCAACCTTCTTAAACAACAACTTCTTCGTCGGATTCGGCAAACTAGACCTCCCTACCTCAATCTGCGCATACCTCTCCGTGAGCCCATCTGGCATCTTAATATCATAATCCAGAATCATCTTCGCAACAATCATCTTGATCTCATTCGCCGCAAAGAAGCGGCCAGGGCAAGCATGGCGTCCATATCCAAAAGCAAGGTTCTGCTCATTCGTAGTGACGAACTGGTTGCGCGCGTGGTCAGTTGTGCTACCGCCCCGACGCAGCTTGTAGTGCCGGAAGCCGTCAAACTTCTCGCTGTCGGGGTAGTATGTCGAGTCGTTGTAGATGGCTTGAGAGGGTACTTCGATGATGACACCTGGTGGGATGTATTGGCCATTGGAGAGGGTAATGCCTTTGAGAACACGACGAGTGAATGAGGCTAATGGTATCAGTATACATGTAGAAGAGGTAGCGTGGATACGACTTACTCATGCCTGGTGTGTAGACTCGGTTAACTTCCTTCATATAGCTGTCGAGCTTCTCCATCTGCTGCAGTGCTTTCGCAGTGATGTTGCCATCATGCTCAACGATGACACTGCGGATCTCTTCTCGCAGAGGACCAATGTACTCAGGTGTTGATGCTAATGTAAACAAGATGTTCGTTGCTGTAAGGGAGGTCGTGTGGATCGCAGCAAAGATCAAGATGAGCTGACATTTGGCATACTGCTCGACAGGAATGTTGTCGCCAGCGCTGCGATCCAACATCCATTGTGTCATATCGTCCGGCTTCTCCCAATTGGGGTCTTTTGCAGCATCCTGTCTCTGCTTGACAAGAGGGTAAAGATACTCTGTCGCCCTCCTCTCTCTCTGGCGCAGGCGGCGGATTTCTGGCGTTCGTGGTGCCATGAATGGTCGAAGCCAGGGTCGCAATTTCTTGATGGCAGTGACCGAGTCGATCAAGTCCAGTGTGTAGTTTGTTGCGCAATCGAGATACTCAGGGTCTTCACACAGCTCTGCTCCAACAAAGACACGGCCGGAGACTTGCGCAACGATATCAACTATGGTTTTGTAGATAGTGACTTCCGTCCAGTCATTGCATTCAGGCAAATACTTTGAGACGCAGGTGTTGACTTCTTGCCGTATGATGGGGTTCATACGACCTATGACTGTCAGTATGTCGATCATTCATAGGTAGCTATGTACATACCAAGAGCAGGAGTGAGATCTGACCTAACAGAGTGCATTATCAAATGCGACTCCGTGTCGATCTTCGTGTATTTGGTTTCCATAGTCTAGTCTTTGTCAGGCCCGCTATTTTCCATGTCACGATTCGATACTGACCTTGTCGACGGCTCTGGGAAAGCTAAGAACATCATCGGGAAGCTTCCGTAGCTCAGGCAGCAGACCGAGTGGGATGACAACATTGTCTTCTCCGTCAGATGAAGCAATGCGGTAAACAGAGTCTTTGAACTATCGATTTGTCAGTCGCTGCTGATTTGGAATGTAGAGTAAGCTCACCTTCTCATATCCGTCAAGATACATCTTCTTCGCAGAGTTGAGATACGCCTGGCGTTGCTTCTCTCCACTGGCCGATCCGCCAAAGACCGGCAGCTTCGCAAGGTGCGACCTGTAATTGAGTTTCGGTAATAAGGCGCATGCTGCGAAAAGCAAAGCAGCAATTGCCGCTGTCTGTATAGTATGTGCCAGTCCTGTGTATTGAAGTTCCATGGCTGTTGATGAAGTGTGGTGACAGTTCGTAAACATACATCGACATGGTCATATTTAACTTTGCTGTCGTTCGACTCTCCGGCCACTACCGAAGATGAGGGCTCTCAACGTTACCCATCGAAAGTGCTGCGTGAAACACACAACACGGTGAATACGGTCTTGGTAAACAAGCAATGTCCAAGCGAAGTATCACTACCTCGGAAACTACCGTGTCTGTGCGCGTGCCGACCGGATTCGCGTGCTGACCGCAATCACTAAAACACACCTATACTTCAACACATAATATCTCAGCAACCATGACAGGTATCAAAGAAGCACTTGAAGAAGTTAAAAGTTTGAAGCTAGGCAAAACACTTGTATACCAGACAATTGCAGATAAACATGGTGTTAATTGCACAACCTTGTTGTGGAAACACAAGCAGATACAAGCTGATCAAGAGACCAAGAATGCCAACCAGCAGAAGCTGACTCCACAACAAGAGAGCAAGCTTGTCAAGTATATAGAAGAGCTTACTGCTCATTGCCTTCCACCTACAAGGGAAATGATAGCAAGTTTTGTGTTGTCAATAGCCACAGAGCCAGTCAGCAAGAGCTGGGTTACCCACTTCATCAACAACCACTTAATCCATCTCATCTCTCAATACTCAATGGGTATGTGTGAGGGCTCGGCTCGGTCCCACCTGAGCTACAGAGGTATAGCATAAGCAACACGTAGCGCAAAGGGCCAGAGTGCCACATGTAACACCTACGACCGTATCCGCCCCAATACCGTATCCGCCCCAATACCAATGTGGTTCCTGCAGGTCTCAGCACACCGCTCCTTGTCTGTC